TTGTTATAGTCTGTGGTCAAATTGAGAATACATTTATATTGTTTGTAATTTGTTTCAAAATTCTTTTGGATTTTATAGGCTATTGAATATTTATTATTTTCCTATATAATTTAAAAAAAATAATCTCAATGTCGATCAAACTTAATGAATTATGTTTGATTTTCAACCACGAGGCGATCACTAGTAGGTATGTATATATGTATAATATAGTTATATAAAGATAATGATTATATAATTACATACGTACATTAAAAGAAACTTTGGCGATGCTTTACCTATAATTACGATTTCGTTAACATCTGCGCGTCCATTCAGTCCACTATTTTTGTAAGTTTCGGATTTTGGCATCCTCTACGCTGCAAAGCTATTACGTAACAATGCAGGTACAAGGCGTTTGTCAAATATGGACTTCTATTTGGCTGAATGTCGAACTAATTACTAATTAGTATTAAAAATAAATATTACTAAAGTAGCTTTCATTGAGTAAACTATTTATTGCCATATTAAATTCATTACACTATTATTATATCAAATAAATTTGTAACTAAGCTGAATCTGTACATTAAATATTTTTTGGAAAATCTTATTGAATATATAGTTTTTAGAATTTTTGTCTGTCTGTCTGCTGCTGTCTGTCTTCTGTCTCTTACCACATCACGGAAAAACCACTGAAGAGATTTTGATGAATTTGGTATGATGATAGCTGGTTATCCGGGTCATCATATAGGATACTTTTTACTGATAAAACGTAAGCAGGGACGAACCCGAAGCAGGGAGCGAGGGTGAGGCTAGTTAGATATATTATAAAATGTTATCATGTAAGTAATATTTATTTCTAACTAGCATTGCCCGCGGCTCCGCCCGCGTTCAGATGACCAAAAACTAAATTCTTAGGTGTTACATATTAGTATACTCTTACATTGCAGTTTTTGATTTTCCTCAGACACATAAGCACTTTTTCCCGCGGTAAAAAGTATGACGATACAAGAGTTACAAGCAGGCTACATCGCAGTTTACTTAGCTTGAGCAGGCGGTCGAGCGATGCGGGGCAGAGGGGATGGACTCGTACGGTACATAACTCAATGCTCGCCAAGTACCATACAAAATGCTTTTTCGCTACTAATTACTTCTAACAACGATATCTCAAAACTATTCATCTGATTGATTTAGTGTAAAGAGCAATTTAATCTGCATTAAATGATAAGCTAACTAAAATTTTCATGTTGGATAAGGATTATACCGAACTAAAGAAAATAACTTTGAAAATAACGTAATGTTTTTAATTAAAATGTAACTAAAAGTGGTTATTAGTCAACCGTAAGAGATATGAGATATGCTATCGATCGCGGATTTTTTGTAGCATTTTTATAGATTTGAATTTCTAGTACATTACTTAAACTGTATCTTTGCTAGTTTATGCGGCGTTCGCGTGGAAAGTTCCCATTTGGCGAGATTTTTTGCGACCTCTTCAACATTGTCGCCGTATTTCAGCTAATTTACATAAAAGCATACATAAATTATATACCTAAACCTTCCTCAAAGAATACTCTTTCTATTGTTGAAAACCGTATAAAACCGTTCAGTAAGTTTTGCAGTTTACCGCGTACAGACAGACAGGAGGACAGACAGGAGGACAGAAAGACGCGGCCGGGGGACTTATTTTTATAATAAGTATAGATGTAAAAGGATATTTAAAATTACAATGTTCAATTCAAACAAAGCTATTCAAACTGGAAGCCGTTATTGACATTTGAACTGTATAAAATGTCTACAAAACATTGTTATATCCCGTTACCATCTGTACTATATTTTCTGGATCTCACGACACATTAAGCACTTGGTCGGTAGGTGAGAAAAATGTGAATGACGATACAAGAGTTACAAGCAGGTAATTACCAGTATTACTTATTCCAGTCAAAGTGTCGGTACTAGTACGGTACATAAGTAGTATAGATCAAAGGTACCTACAAATGCTTTATTTTCTTCTTAAATTTTGCGACTTGAGCGGTCTCATTCATGATTCAGAGGACTCTTTAGTTTTTGAAGTAAAACTTCATTACGCATACTTGACTTGGGGGATAACGAAAAAATGTAGTGCGTTACGAGAAAATTTACGTACGTTTGTTGCCATGGTAACTGTTTTTATTGTCTGTTAAATGATATATAATATTATATTCTTTCCCTATAAATATATGATTGTGATATGCTTAATATGCGTTATTTTTAGTATCTCACCTACCCTAATTATTTAAAACAAATTGAATTTCATAAATGGTAACGATAACCTACAGAAATTTTACTTCTTGCACGTGTACACATCCATACACGCAATCTTTAATTTTGTTTACAACTAAGATAATATTATACAGATATGATAAACTTTAAAATATACTGACAGTAAAAGAATACATTTAAGAATATACCTATTAATATTACAATAATAATATTATAAATGTGAAAGTTTGTGAGTATGTATGGATGTTTGTTACTCTTTCACGCCAGAACGGCTGAATAGATGAAATTTGGCACAGAGATAGATTATAGTCTGGAATAACACATAGGCTACTTTCTATCCCGGAAAAATGTACGGTTCCCGTGGGATAGGTTTGGTCTTGTTTTCCTAAAGGCGAATCCGAGCGAAGCTAGGGTGAGCCGCTAGTACTCAATATGTGAATGTATATTATATATTCCGTCTGATACGTATTCTGAAAAATGTTATACAGATTGATTAAAATAATTGTTTATCTTATTCATCAATGACATCGTCATATCTTGTGGGAACTACACAAGTGAAGGTAGACTACATTTAAAATTTAAATTATGAGTACAACATACCGTAACCGTGAGAATACCTCATTGTATATGTTCGTAATGCCGCTATTCACATAACGTGAGATGTAACTATGCTCTAATTATTTATTTTGAAAAAACTCTATATACTCTCGTTCTTAGCTGTTCTTTAATATTATTGTTCAAACCAGGTTGCAGACGTCTTGACCTTATTGAATATAATCGTGAGACACGCTCTAAAGGTGACTTATTTAGACTTAAAATGGCTTTTCAGTTCTCTATCATCGGGTACTTCATTTTTGTGTTCTTATTAATAATAAAAGTAGGCTAAAAGTATTTAAGTGGATTTTAAAATAAACAAATAACCAATAAAGATAGGTATATAATTAGGTCATTACATTAGGTACCCAGCCCTAATTCTTTTTCTTTTTCTAAAATAAAAGTAGCCTATGTTACTCCTGATAACATCAGCTATCTTTCAGTGAAAGTCCCGTCAAAATCAGTCGAGCCGTTTCAGAGATTACCCGGAACAGACAGACAAAAAAATAAAAAGTTGTGTTATTCTTATAAGTACCGTATATGTATAATTTCATATGCATTTAGTAAAATGCTGTTATTTTGACATTGAAAAACAGACACTTCAATTTTATTTATCTGTATATATTACCTGTGGTTATATATTCGGTTTAGATCGGAATTCGGTCGGTTAGCATTTTTTCGTTTTAATGGAGACGTTTTATGGATTATTATTGTAACTTACGTTATGGTAATAATTAATATATCATCATCAATAACATTCCAAATATATTGAAAACTAGCGACTTAGTTACCCTTGCTTCACTCGGGTGTGTACCTAAGCTTGAATGGATTAGGAACGCACAGACGACAAACATACAAACATATTTATTTATAGAAATGATACAAAATATTACACAAACAAATATAGAAAATCATAAAAAAATCGTTGATATCTGTACTGGATGCTTCGATGTTTATGCCGAAGCAAATTCTAAACCACCATGATAATTCCTCTTCATCCTTAGTGTTTTTTTTTTTTTGAAATCTTTGATATACAACGACTTACTTTATACAAATCTATACATATAATAAAACTGTAACTTAGCGAAATCGATGTGCCCATTTCACTCGACTTTATAACTCGGGTCAACACTTAGGATACCTTTTACTACGGGAAAATCTTTCATTCCCACGGGAAAACACGATAACTGGTTCTATCGAGTCGTTCTTAGAAATTTACATGTCTAACGCTGCACTGGCATATTAGTAAATATTACTCAATTGTTTGCTCTTGAATGAGCCTTTTACCCCCAGGAACTTATAAATGAAAAGAGCAAATAAGATTGCCCCACATGTCCCATAAGCGGTCCCCACTGGTGATCTATATTTAAGAAAAACATGTTTTACTAATGGACGTTTTCTAAATATAGAAAATCTGAATAATAACCATTAAATGTTTTTTTCCTTATTAGTTTGAGGATACATTAGAAATAAATACCACTATTCATATCTATCTATCATACTATAATAAAATTGTAACTGAGCCGCATCTGTACATTAAATATTTTTTGGAAAATCCTATTGAAATAGACACTATTATTTATTATCGATATATAGGCTGAATCTATAGTTTTATCTATCTATATAATACATATGTATAATCTATAGCAGAAAAACCACTGAAGGGATTTTCATAAAATTTGGTATGGTGATAGCTGGTTATCCGGGTCAACATATACATGTAAATGTCTCATTTTTGAGAAAAAATACAAAAAACTGTAATGTAAGAGTATATATACTAAGATGTAAAACCTAAGAATTTGGTTTTTGGTCATATAAACGCCAGCGGAGCCGCGGGCAATGCTAGTATAATATACATCTAATTATGGATGTATTTGTCATCAAATAATTAGCGTTACAGTATGACGTGTGAAAACAGTGATAAATAAATTACATGACGCGAAGTTTAAACGACTTTATATAGATTGTTTGCTTTGTCTATTGTCTTAGAAATGAATCTGCTACGAACATACATACATTGATAATAATAAAACCCAAAAACTAAAATAAGCAAATAAACTTTAAAAATGTCATTGTTATTGTTTTATTTGTAAGTAAGTTTACTCGAATGTTACTGTGGTAGGTTTATGAGAATGATAAAGTTTATTATCACATTTTTTTTATTTGTTCAGGTGGATACGAGTCGCGCAGAGTGGTATGGGCGTGCGGTGAGACTCCGAGTACTCCACAAATATGACAGAGGGCGAGAAACAACAGAGCGCAGGCGGCGCGAATGCCGCACCGCAACACAGGAAAGGGCACAGGTAAAGGCTGAATTAATTATATTATACCTACAGGTAGATATTGCTACCTGCTACCCTTTTAAATTTCGCCGCTGTAGGACACTTAATACATTGTAATATATTGCTTTGTTTTAAACCTATTTTTTGTTCATTTGTCATTTTAAGGCATTGTGATACTTTTTAAAAACAGTACTCTGTTCAGTACATTCATTATCATTTCTCGTGAAAGTCATGTTGTTGATTATTTAATATTAAAAATTACCAATACTTCACATTGTTTACTTTTATGCGTGACAAACGTTTTTTTTTTACATCTTTGCAATATATTAGGTATTTTTAACTTTCGCAAAATACAACGCTTTCTCTCATAGCAATTTTCTAATGGATTAAACCATGTAACGACCTTGTCTACTCACCTGTATAAACGTTCGACCTTTATTATTACAATATTTTACGCTTGTATAACATGATTTTCTATTTTATATCTAAAATTCTCTATTATTACTGAAAGCAGTATTGAAGATATAAATTATAAACATTGTATAGCAGTTTAATGTTATTATTTATTGTAAAAATTAAACTGAAACAACAGCAGATACTAATCGATTAACGCCAGTATCGCAATCTGAAAATTACGTTTTAGTTTCTTTCCCTTGCGTCATTGTTTACATCGTAAATTGTGCGTTGCTACTTGCTACTACGCGACAGCTCGTTCCTGCTCAAATAACTATGTATACAACTATATATTACTAGTGCTGATGACACAATACTATTAGGTACATGTACATAGATGCCTAATAACTAATAAAAACTTCCATACAAAGAATTTGGACAGTCTTAAATCTGGACTATTCTTGGATATTTTTTGTTTTCTTAAATAAATGATATATTGCGTTGATCCAAAAATTATAAATAAAGCAAAATTCGTTTTGTATTTAGTAAACCCAATTTCAGTGACTAACAATTTTTAACCATGATAAAGAACATCAAAAAACAACAAACAAAGACATCTATGTATACAAACTACAAAGTACAAATTCAATACCAAATGGCTGATGTTTCCTTCACTTACAGTATTTTTTAAAATCAGAATTTACGTTTTTGGTATATATCATTTTCCTAATTTACAGACCCAACAGCAAGCCCATACAACACACACTATCTATAAATTTTGACTTTGAAGTAGTTTTTGTTTGTTTTTGATGGAATCCCATGCTAGTAGTAAGTACTACTACACTCAATATAGTATTGTTATTGTTAACCTTAATACCCCTTTAAAGTACAGAGCGGTTTTTTCTACTTTAAAATAACATTATCGCTCGTGTTCATTTATCATGTTTCTATCGTGTCGAATTTATAATTATAACGTAAGTAATACTGCGCCAATTTTACATTGAATAAAATATTTGAGTGCGTCACACAGATGAGCTCAATAAACACTACTTAGAAAATTGCTCCTTGTCAACATGAAAATTATAAAAAAAAATAAAACGCTTGTAAATGTGTATCACATAAAACTTAAATAACGAGTTAAGTCAAATTTAATGCTATAATAATTAAAAAATAGTTTTAATAAATCTATGTCATATGCTGTCTTCATCTTTTGTATACTTTTTTTTTTAAATATTTGATACATTCACACATGTACGGACATTTAAGATGACTAATAGTTTATTGCCATCGTAAGATCTTCATTGATAATGTTGTCACCATAATATCTGATATTGTTCTATTTGCGACATTGCCCCAAATTTGTACATAATCTCAGAACCCACTATAAACAACGCGATATCAAACCAGGCTTGTAAGTTTAATCACCTTATAATCTCCGTCCATAGAGCTAACGTGCCCTAACTATAAATGTAAAAATAACTTAAGGCCGCACATATATTTACATAGTATTTTAAAAAAGTGAAATCGCGAAAGGTTTAACTTTATAATGACGTCAGTGCGGCCGTTAGAAAATTTCGCTGCGTTGTTAACATAATATTACTCATATTGCTGTTTAGATATTGTCTTTTTCTGTTCTTGTTTGTACTACATTCCGTTAAAAATATGTCGGAGGTAACAGCTGAGCAGGTCAATTTACTTATGGAAAGGTATAGTTTTATTAATATAGAAATAATACTATAAATAATAATACAATAAACACCAATAATAACAACTACAGCAAACGAAAAAGTGAAACTAAATTATAAAAGTTAAAATTACATTTAATGAGTCACACCTATAATGGGATATCGGAATGTTTGATGGATAATTCATTTTGACCCAGGAGACAAGAGTCGATGTACGCGATGACGGGATTGTACGCGGAGTCAGGGTGCGCGGAGGGCGACGCGGCGGGCCCGAGCGCGCCGCAGCCGCCGCGGGAGACTACCAAGTGCCACAGCAGAAACGCATCTGCTTGTATTTGCGACAGGTATTATATATTTAAGCTTATTTCTACACTAATATAATTTTATTATTCATTAAGTGATAAAGTTTGTAAGTTTGGATGTAAAGATTAATCTCTGAAATTTCTGAACCGATTCTAAAAGTTTTGTTGCTAATAGCACATTATCTTTTATTCCAAAAAAAAATGTGTTTGCATAGATTAGTTTATATAGATAGTCAGAAATCATAATGATTTTAATTGAATTCGGAATAGATTGGCCGTTGAGTTGTTTTATCGGCGTTTGCTGCCTGAACAGTTTGAAATAAAGTATATAACAAAATGTGTGCCTAGGGCCACTTCCACCACCACCACACCTCACCCAGGCGAAGCGAAAATAAGTCGCTAATCTTTTCAAAGGCTGATTGATGATGATGGAATAATTAGAAATCTAATATGAACAGCTAGTAATCCGTTTAGCGTCACTAAATAGTTATTTGCGACAAACTAACATCATTATGCATCCGATAAAAAAGTAGTTTTTACACTTAGATCTAACTACTCATATCTTTGCAAAAATTAACCCTTACTTTAGTGAAGTTTTCTGTTGTTTTTCAATTGCAATGTCCCACGAGCATTTTTAAATGATTTTAACAATAAAATATCTCACAAAAGACCTAGAGATTTAGGGTACTAGAATTTGATTTAACAACAATATGCTTTTTGCAGAGATCGAGAGCGAGAGAGAGAGAAAGAAAAACCGCATCAATTGTTCCCAGAAATATTAGACATTCCTCATGACGCAAGAGACTGCGGCATCCTCTCTTGGAGACCGCTTTTTATCCAGAGATTTTCTAGTATTAAAGTAAGCCAAATGTCATTTATTAATAATGGAGCTTTATTTTCAATTTTATAAAATATCAAATTAATCTAAACCATTTTTTGTTTACAGGTGTTTGTATTTTTCCTTTCGTTCCTAGTAACGCTTCAGCAAGCCTTAAGCTCAGGTTACATAAATTCTGTGATCACAACAATCGAAAAACGTTTCGAAATACCCTCGAGCCTCTCGGGCCTTATAGCGAGCAGCTACGAGATCGGCAACGTTATAACTGTAATATTTGTCTCATACCTCGGAAGCAGGAGACATATTCCCGTATGGATAGCAGTTGGTAAGATTTTTCGTATATATATAATCTATTCTTATATGTATGTTATCTTATATTATTCATTAGTACCCAAGCGACCACGCTTTGCTCAGCGCTTTTTTTTTGTTTTTTTTTCCTAAAAAGATATAAAAATTGTTTTTTTTTAGAAATGACACCTACATAGATAAACTTAAAAAGCAAAACCTTATCTCAATACAAAATTTGATGCAAATAGTTGTTCGTTTCCCAGATATACCTACATTAAAAAAAATCATATACCTTCATGTATACAAGATTTTTTACTATTAAATTTATGAAATTTATTTTTATATTTTTAACTAACATGATTCGTTGGAAATTATATCTCGATTCGCCGAAATATAGTTTGGTAGTATTAAATGTAGGATGTTTATGTAATGAAACATTTTAGGTGCCGTCATAATGGGCATCGGGTCGTTGGTGTTTGTCGTGCCGCATTTTATAGCTGAGGCCAATAGCGAAATGTTAGCGAATAATAAGTCTGATGAAAATATTTGCCGGCTGCCGGGTGCTCTGGAACAAGACTTGGGCGGCCTCGGCAGACTTTCCCAGGGCTTGCCACCTAGCAACCTCAGGCCGGATAATTGTATTAAAGTATGCTATTGATTTATGCTTATTTTCCTTTCTAAGTGGATTACGTTATGTTTATTACTTAAGACGTGTCATCTAGTTGCCTTTTGTAGTTTTGTTACTGTTTTAAATAGTTTGTACTATAAACGTTTAGTTTTGTTAAAAAATGTGTATTTTAAATGAACATTTACTTACATTATGCTCTTAATTACTTTATATAGCATAACATACACTACAACCGCTTTAAAACGGATGTACTAACTAAACAGTTGTACTTGACCACACATTGAATGCTTTTACAGTTGCTCTATACTTTAGTTATAGTTAATATTATAATACCCATTTATCACACTATTAGAATATGTAAAAAAGTCCTCCTGGCCGATATCTACCACGGCGGCTAATCTCACTCAGACTAGCCAATTGCGTAGGAGATATTATAGTGCATAAGTGCACAAGTACACTCTCTGTTCTTGTCACTCTCATACTCCAGTGGGACGATAAATCAACACAACCGGTAAGATCAGGCACAAGAAGGGTGGCTTTACGTAACTATTTTACGAGGCACGGGGGTGAAACACAACCAACTTACCAAGTCCGGGCCGTTACTGGGAATTTCTTAACAGAAAACCCCTTTCTTTTTAACAAGGGCTAAATCGAGACTCAAACCCGGGACCTCCGGATCTGCAGCCAAACATACTAGGCAATAGACTTAGTAGTTAATAATAAGTTAAAATCCATAAGAGTAATATCGTATATAGCAAAACTAATATACTCAATTTCCACAAAAGAGCTCGCCCAGCACCTTCATGCCTGTGATGGTGTTCGTGGTGGCGCAACTGCTGCTCGGGTGCGGGGGCTCCCCGCTGCTCACGCTCGGCACCACGTACGTCGACGATCATGTCCGACCTGAGTCTTCTAGCATGTATATTGGTAAGTTTGTTATAAATTGTATTATCTATATTATGTTATAGACTAGTTTTTAGTTTTTACCAGCGGCACCCTATGCATAGTATCTATATTGAAAATGTATATGGTTATCTTTACTCTGAATATCACTCAAATCTTTTGAATCGTCACAGCAACATGAGAAAGTAACAAACAAACTCACAAACTTTCAATGAAATTAGTATGATAATGTACAGTTTCGTCAAAAAAATAAAATAAAGCGCTGCCAAATATAACGTGCAGAGCGTAATTTCTACTTATAAAAATGTTCTAAAACTAATCTAAATAGGTACTGCAAGTTTCTAGAAGAAACAGGTCGCTAACTAAAATAAAAAAAAGACGTGTGGCACTCGGAGACTGCCGCGGTAAAGCTATTGCATATCATTTTTTATCAACTTATGCAATTATAATTATTTATTTATTTTATTAATGCAGTATTTTTTTTCCTTGACTTTCTTCATTAATAAATGCACTTTGTTTATTCATATTTAAAACACTTTGTACACAAATTATACGAGTACAGATATTCACTGTTGTACATAGATGATAAATACCTATACACCTATATACTTTCTCACAAACAGCTGATTACGTTAGTTTTCCAATACAACCAATGCCACCTAAAGGCGGGTTGGTGAACTAAAGAGACAAGCGTGATATTTCAAAAAGTCATTAAAAGTTCTGGTATTTATCGATAGATGGAAAAACTAAAAAGTATCACCGCTGTGCCGGTCGGAGTGGGGGGTGTTAGGTTTTGTCGTTACGGAATTTCTGGATTCGGACCCACGCTCAAGGCCCGCGATAGAAGCTATGCAATAGCTTAAAAAAATATGCTCAGAAAACCAATGAAACATTAACTATAAATAGATAATATGAAACAAAAGACGCTTATTCGTTATTACATTAGGCTAATTATAAGACAAATGAGTAAGACGGCACAATGTTTTAATAAGATGTTGCGGCAGAAAGCCGTTTACAGCAGACTGAACATATCTTAGTCCCCGCCCCGCACTGAGCTCGCATTAAGCTAACCCATTTGTGCATAAAATATATAGCATCGTCTACATCAGCGGTTCCCAAATTGTGTTCTGCGGAACCCTAGGGTTCCGAGTTCCGTCCAAGAGTTAAATAAAACGTTGTCAGACATGAAGCCTAAATTTAGTGCCTAAATATACATATTATGTAAAAAAAGGATTTTTTATTTGTATTTTTTTTTCACGTCAAACAAGCAAGTATTCTAACTACAACACAATCGGTTATCAGTTATTATTAACTGGAATACGTTAAAAATATATGATCAATTAGGGTTCCGTGGTCTAAAAAATTTGGAAACCGCTGGTCTACATAACAACATTGAACGTAAAGTTATGGTTATCAGACTAATTCTTGTTGACCTTAACAGTACAAAATTTTATATTTAATTAATAATGAAAATGAAAAATGCAAATGAAAATGTTCTTTATTGCACACCATTATTTTACATTATATAGTTGAAACAGATTAAAGAGAAATATTACAATAAGCGGCCTTATCGCTAGAGAGCGATCTATTCTAGACATCCTTAGGGTAGAGAGAAAGAAGAGAGGAGGTAGGGGTGCAAACAATCTTAAAGAGAGATACAATGAATACATACATATACAAACAGATATATACATACATACATACATACAATATTGTAGAAGGTATAAAAATACACTAACTAACAGATCTTTTTATACTTCTTTCGCTACTTCCATTGTAATCATTATCTTCGTACACTTTTACTGGGGGATCCTCAGACTTTGATCTGACCTTTTTTAAGTATAATATATACCTACTCGATATACAATGGAAGAGTGAGTGGAAAGTTAAATATGAAAGACCTCTAAAGTTTTGAATACCAAATGTAACATTCAAACACAAATTTTGAAATGCAACTTGTTAGTAATTTTAATAATGAGGCTTAGACAAATGTCATTCTACAATCGTTGCAGTACTGCAATTTTAAAAATATTGAAATGACAAAATTAATAACTGTGACATAGAATCATAATATGTAATTCCTTTATATATTTTGAAATATCTATTCTTCAACAATATTGTACAATGACATATTGTCTATGTACGTGTACAGACAAACAGGATCTAGTCTAAGCTACTTTATCGTGCGAAAGGTACGATTAAACAATATTATTACTAAAATGTGTTTATATAAAAACTATATTCATTTTTTTTTCATATTATACAATATACATATACTAGCGACTCACTCTCGCTTCGCTCGGGTTCTTCCCTAGGTACGTTTTAACGGTTAGTATGAAATAGATAGACTATCTTTTATACGTATTTTAAAACAAAGTCCCTCGCGGTTCTATCGAGAAGTCTGTCTGTCTGTCAGAACGCGATAAACTCAAAAACTACCGAACAGATTTTCATAAGGTTTTCATCATTGGACGGAGTGATGTATGAGGAAGGTTATTGTCTATAATCCATTATGGTTTTGTATAAATTGGCTGAAATATGATGAAGGTTGTTGAAGATTTCGGAAAAAATCATACGAATAGGATCTTTACTGGCGTGCCCGCGTAAACTATAATTGCAGGCAGAACCACGAAATGTTCTAATAAATTGAGAAACAAAAATTACTACAAAAAATCCGGAACAGCATAATATGTCTATCTTTTAAGGTGGACTCGCAATAACCATTTTTATGGTTCTCAGATTGGGTCTAAAATAATGCTTATTTGCGAAGGTGTTTTTACTAACATGGTGTTAATCCTTATCTAAATAGATATGTTAGATAACTTATGCACTTAATTTAGACTAAATTTTACAAAACTGATCTCTTTATGAAGAAGAGAAGATATCACAAAATTAAAATAAATCGCGAAACGTAATAATATCGTAAACTCGACGAACGACAGCGGTGGCAGTGGCAGACGGGGGCGAGGAGGGTTCTAGCATGTCGCCTACTGACGCGAATGTTTCATAAAAACATCCAATATAGTTATTATAAAAACAATGTATAACGGAATTTTCTGCAAGTATATTATATACATACATATTAACATAAGTATGATGAGTTGTTGTTTTAATACAATCCGCATTATAACGTGTTTTCTCGTAGGACTGATATAATATGCCGTGGTAAAAAGTGCCTTTATGTCACTGTCTTCTTCAGCACACCAACCATCTCCACACAAAATGTCACTCTACACACACACTGTAAAGGAAGGACAGAAAACAAACACACTTTCAAATTTGTAATATGTATTATTATGGAAGTGCATTAATATTTCGAATTGACTTATAAACAATTTAAGGCTAAATAAAGAGTTTTTCATCTAAGCACTTGTATATAAAAGGTCAAAATTGGTATGTCCTAATATGAAAGTTGAAGTATGCTGTATATGGCGAGATTGTTTGTGTAAGCGCCACACGTCCTTTCTGCTATTACATCTTTATTGAAGGACCGAACGGCGCGTTGCTCGTAACCACACTCATAAACCAAACTGTGTAGACACGACACAGTTCAACGAACTTACCTAGACTTCACTCGTTACAATGTATTCATATTATAGGATCTAGTATCCATAACATCATGTCAATTTCTTATTTTGCATTAAAACTTCCCCCATTTGTAATTTTAATTTGTTGGCAACGTAGTATGTTTATAGCTTTAAAGGAAGGTCCCTTCATCGTGAATAAACTTAATAGACAAAAAAAGCGATTCACTGCTTTACTTTAAATAATTTATTGAACATATCGATCCGCTTTTGAAAATGTTATTTACTTTGGCCATTGTGAAATCATGAGCTATCATTGCATGATCACAAAAGGTGAATTCTGAACAGTTGGCACGTCGCTCGATTTGCTTAACCTCCAGAGTTTAACCCCTACCGTGATAAAGCGCCCTTGGCCTACCCGTTCCTGCCACTCATACAAAAAGCCAAACAATTTAATCAAAATAAAGCTTCCGTGTTAGATAGAGACATTTTCGCAGAAGCCAGTGGCAAAGTGCCCTTGGGACTGGGAGTGGTATGCTATTTTTAATTAATAGGTAAAACTAACGAAACTGTTACCTACTACGAGTATATTATATGACTTGTGTGTTGACATTCAATACTAGAAATGTGTTTTTTAAGTGTCAATTTACAACAAACTAGCATTGCCCGCGGCTCCGCCCGCGTTTAAATGACCGAAAACCAAATTCTTAGGTTTTACATATTAGTATACTCTTACAATGCAGTTTTTTAATTTTTCGCAGAAATGAGATATTTTCCCGCGGTAAAATGTATCCTATATGTTGACCCGGATAACCAGCTATCATCATACCAAATTTCATCAAAATTTGTCCAGTGGTTTTCTCGTGATGCGGTAACAGACAGACAAACAGACAAAAATTCTAAAAACTATAGATTCGGACTCTGTATCGATAATAATGTCTATCTCAATTAGATTTTCCAAAAAATATTTAATGTACAGATTCGACTTAGTTACAATTTTATATATGTATGGATTTAATTAACTCCGTTAACAACATAGACTTGTTTAGTTTAAAAAAAGGTTATTTTGTTACATATCATATCAAACTAATTATTACCAAAATGGAATATTTTATCCAATCGCACTATTGATAAAATACAGCAAATTTAATTAACAGAACTATTAATAATAATCTAATTTAAAAGTAAGGTTGTGTAATAAGGTTTCTTTAGTCTGCTGATCTCCACAGGTTGTACCTCCACTACCAGTGTACTTTGTAGACATTGTAGTATCTTCTTCATTTTCATAAAATATACTTTACGATATATTCCAGAAGTGTAAAGTATTTGCTTTTAGTTGTCATTTGTAATATCTTTAGTACAGTTAAATTCAGTTTATTACAAAACATTGGTCCATTGTTCACTTCTAACTGTAGTTGAACATTTTCCACACTAATGAATGATTAATTTTGAAACGTAAAAAAAATACCGCAATGTGAGGCCACCTAACATTTTTATCGAGTTTCAAGCCATAGGTATTAACCGCGAAATCCGTACCGTTTGCGGACCGCAAAACTAGAGTGACCTACTTTTGGTCCGCAATCGGTAGACGAGTTACTATTACTGCATGCAGCCTTTTTATTCGCTATCATCGAGATTTTTAGAAAAGAGTTTTATGTTAGATCTCATTTTGTACTTCAGTTACGTCATATTTTTTGTTTTATCCTTAAATATAATTATAATAGGTTTCAAAGTTAACCTTTCTGTTTGTTTATTACGTTTGAAAACCTTATTCGTTGATCCAATCTAAATGATTGATGATCATTTGGTATAGTTTTTGGACTTTATACAGATAATATTATTTCATCATAAGAAATCATTTTAGCTTTTAAGGTAGACAATAGAATCCGAAATAAGTACAATTTTATTAGGTATATGTTTTTCAGTCTTGCTTAATCTCTCTACACAATGTGTATAGATAGATAGATAGATAGATAGATACTTTATTGTACACCACAAAGAAATATACAAAAAGAAGATATAAACAATAGATTATGCACAGGAGGCGGCCTTGTCGCTATTAGCGATCTCTTCCAGGCAACCTTACGGCATAGGACAAAATTATATGAAATGATAGGCGGTGTACTTACTACACACAATTGCATATCCTAAATACATAAATAAGTACATACCCATATACATACATATATACATACATATATACTTACATACATACATATATACATACATATATGCATAAAGACAATGCATACATACATAAATGTAGATCAGATGAAAAACTATAAAAAGTATATTTTTATTTTATTTTATTAATATTCTTCTTCACAGGATGTATGTACAGCATGGCTGCATTTGGTCCAGTTCTTGGTTTCTTACTCGGTGCATATCTACTAAGATTTCATATGGACTCCTTTTCTGGTGCTATAATATCTATAGGTAATTTATAATTTTATTAGAATTATAGGATTCTTTTTGTAATTCAAACCAAAATGATGTGTAATAATAAACTTCTGTTTCTTTCTAGATCCTGGGGACCATAAATGGGTTGGGATGTGGTGGGGTGGATTTTTACTTTGTGGCCTTCTTCTCATTTTGGTCGCTATTCCATTTTTCTCATTCCCCAAAGTATTGGTGCGTGAAAAAGAGAAAATAAGGCTTGTTGAAAAAGCTGCCGCTGCGGCGGGGACCTCCACTTCTAAAACGCCTGCGAAACCACAATCTGATATCAAAGACACCGGATACGGAAAGGATATCAAAGGTATATTTTGTTTGCTATAAGAAAGAAGTTTTCTTGTTGTGATATTTTTCATCCTTTTTTGTTCGTATTCTAAAGCATATTAAAATATTGGTCATTTCCAGATATTCCTGTCTCAATGTGGCGTCTCCTCAAGAACCCAGTGTACGTGGTAACTTGCCTGGGGGCGTGTATGGAGCTCATGATAGTGTCTGGCTTTGTGGTTTTCTTACCAAAATATCTTGAAACACAATTCAGTCTTGGAAAGAGTCAAGCCAGCGTCTTCACTGGTAAGTTTGTAAACATTGTGAAATTTTAATGGGAGGATTCTTTATGTAATATTTAACTTATTAATGATAACAATTGCTTCGCTCAGGTGACCCTCATGGTAAATCTTTGCGAAAAAGCAATAAGCTACATTCAATGTGCTAGAATAAAAAGTAGCCTTCATCATTCTCCGGCTAAATAACAAAACCTCTCTAAATGCAAAAAATTAAGTCAATTCATTTGTTGACGTTACGAGAAGGAAGTAGAAACCAAAAAAACTCTCGTATTTAGTAATAAGATTTCTTAAATTCTTTAAAGTATTAGGTCACATGGTAACTGGTCTAGGCAGACTAGGCTATATGCGAAACAATTTTAAACGCCTCACCTGACATCAAAACAAGCTCGATATAGCATCGATCACACGCGAAAGAATAGTTGATGACCTCGTCTTACCAAAAAATCAATACAAGGCCACATGAAAATTAGCCTTCGCCCTATAATTCAATACTAAGAGAGGTATAAGTCTATATTGTCCATTAACTAAGCCAATTTTGTATTTAGTAAATAATAATGTGTTTCTCTTGATCAATTCTTTTTATTAATAAAATTATTATTAATAAAAAGAATTGATTTTATATTATTAGATTTGAATTTTAGCTGACTATTTTCTCTTAATATGTATTTAAATGGCTCTCATCTTAATCACAAAGCTGAAACAAACAACAAATATTTATAATTGATTGTTATAAATATTCACCTTATTTGATGTATGTATGTATGTAAAATGTCCAAAGCAGATAATATAAGCAACCTTTGTATAGGAATTAACAGTTTATAACGTGGCATATTATTATTATTATGAATACATAATACTTGTTTCTAATGTTAGACTAATTAATATAAAACGCTTTATTTTATCCCTATAATCTAAAATATAAACTACTAGCGATTCACCCTCGTTTCGCTCACGTTCGCCCCCTAGCTTGATACCCCATACAAACTTTCATCCCCAATTTTCACCCTCTTAAGATATAATTTCCGGAATAAAAAGTATCCTATATCCTTCCCAGGGTCTCAAACTATCTTCTTACCAAAATTTATTTAAGTCGGTTCAGTAGATCCAGACTTTACCCCATACCACGTCACAAACTCACAAACTCGCAATCTTTATTTACCTCTTTATAATATTAGTATAGATTAAACGCACTATTGACTTCAATAGCTAACTTCACTTGTTACTAGCTAACTATGTAATGAAATCATGGAATGCGATTTTAACGGACTTCTAATTATCCTATTGACTTGAAACCTAGTTAATATGTGAAATACAGATGACAATACAATAATGATGATGATATAGCCAAGATATTAGATCGTGGGGCTCTTTAATGGCATCTACCTTGTAATTAGTAAAAGCTCCAGATAGGAGAATAGAGGAATTGTTTAATTAATAACTAAACCTTTTAGTTTGGGCTCGTTTAATTGGTTTTGATAAGTCAAATCAGACACATATTACAGTTGGGTATAAGGAAGTTTCGATATGATATCCTCCTGACAGATTTCAGCCACGGCTGTCGATCTCATTGAGACCAGCCAACTGTGCAGGAGATGAGAAAAACAAATGTACGAATAGACACAAGTGCACTCTATTCCGACTGACGCCTTTAACGTGATCTCCGAGGTATAGACACGCGTCTCAACTCCGGGCTATTACTGAGATTTTGTTAACAGAAAGACTATCTAAACTTGACCCGACCCGTTACACGAACTCGGAACCGGATTAGTGGTGGTACATGCTAGCCACTGGACCACCGAAACAGTTAAATATACTATTATTATTGCAAACAGGTTCGGTCGCGATACCCGGCGCTTGTATCGGTATCTTCATGGGCGGGTGTCTGCTCAAACGGCTGGAGCTCCGGCCGAAGGGTGCGGTGCAGTTCGTTCTGATCTCCAACACCATCTGCCTCTCGTGCTACGCACTACTGTTCTTCCTCGGATGTGATAACATCAAAATGGCTGGGACTACTATTCCGTATACTAATAATAGGTGATTATGTGGTATTTTTTAGTGATTTAGGTGGATTTACCTTGGCGTAGATTCTTGTCTTTTGTCTTTTTAGTTTATGACATTTAATGAATAATAAATTTTAATATCTAACTAGCTGCGAGACATATAGTCATTTTGTGCCTTCTGATCTTCTTTTGAGTTGTCATAAGCAATCTCGTATATAAATAATTCAGAACTACAGTGTTGTTAAAAAAATTATATCCCATGGGAATGCGCTACTGGGATAAATTAAAATTATTCTTTGTGTACTAGCACATAAAATAATTTTAAATTTTTTAACTTTTTGTGGGACCGTAAAATCTATACAAACTCATTTACATTATTAAGTTTTCCTTCGATTAAGTTCAGGACTATCACCAACCTAGTAAAATATGGGTCGACTGGGAGAGATCTCTTATAGATACTCGTAAGCCTATCTTCGTCCATGACATTTTCTATGTATTTTTTATTGCTTTTTTTTAGTGCAATAAAGAATATATATATATATATATATATATATATATATATATATATATATATATATATATATATATATAATATGTAGTGGAAAATAAAACGTTTGAAACGTTTTTTTTAGTGCAATAAAGAATATATATATATATATATATATATATATATATATATATATATATATATATAATATGTAGTGGAAAATAAAACGTTTGAACAATTACAGCAACCCCGAGCCGTTCAAAGTGAACCTGACGGCGGCGTGCAACTTCAACTGCCTGTGCACGGAGACGGACATGGAGCCGGTGTGCGGCAACAACGGCCTCACGTACTTCTCGCCGTGCCACGCCGGCTGCGCCGCCTTCTCTTCGAGGTCCAACTTCACTAATTGTGCCTGTGAGTGTCGCTGTTTTATACTACATTTACTACTAACATATTGTGTTGTTTAACTTCAATTTTATTTCCCCGCGTTTCGAAAAGAGCTTAAAGCAAAAATGTTCATGGGAAAGAGAAAGGTTTTTGACGTCTCAAATAATTAAAAAAAATAAACTATTTAAAAATTGAATAATATGTAATATAAACAGTCGGTTGAAATATTGCAAAGCTAGGCTAACTAACGAGATATTTTATCTAAAAAATCTTTTGGTAGATACAGAGCATTTAGTTGAACATTTTATCTATGGATTTTAATTTTAGAATATTTCAAACATCAAATACACCAAATGTTCTAGGTACACATCTAATCATGGTTTTTTTTTTATTTTATATAATGAATTTAATTAACTTCAATACTTATCAAACAAAAAATTCCATGCCGCGCTGTAGGAAACCAATAATAACAAATGAATTGGTGAAAGTAGATAAAATAGGTTGTTTTATTCCATAAGCGGTAATAATATTATTGTTAACAGTAACACGTGATCTATGTGCCAATTTATGTCTTTGTTTGAGAAATGAGAGATAATAATATCAGAGGTGGGCGGTAATGACACTCCATTTGCGAGAAGTCGTTTCCTTTTCTCGTATCAGTTTCTTTAACTGTGTGTTTTTGTTTATGTACACTTAAGTTAACAAGAAATTTCCTACAGCTTTGCTTGCAATGTCGTAATTTTTTTTTGTCTTTTTGTTGTTGTTGTTTTTGGTCGTCTTAAAACTTAAGAAATAAACACATTTTATAGACCAGACAATATAAGTTGATATTTATCAACTACTAGCATTGCCCGCGGCTCCGCCCGCGTTCAAACGAGAAAACCCTAATTCTTAGGTTTTACATATTAGTATACTCTTACATTGCAGTTTTTGTTTTTTTTCTCAGAAATGAGATATTTTTCCGCGGTAAAAAGTATTCTATATGTTGATCCGGATAACCAGCTATCAAATTTCATCAAATCAATCTCTCCAGTGGTTTTTCCGTGATGCGGTAACAGACACACAGACAGACAGACAAAAATTCAAAAAACTATAGATCGGCCTCTGTATCGATCATAAAGTCTATTTCAATAAAAAATTCCAAAAAATATTCAATATACAGATTCGGCTTAGTTACGATTTTATTATATTTATAGATTTGCGTCCAGTTGACTCGAACAAAACAGTTGGTATATAATTCCAAACAGACGTTTGGAACCCCAAAAAAGAATACATATGTCCTTTAACAGTGACTAAAATTGCAATCAATAAACAGCACTGGATAGGCACATGTGGAAGGAATTTGAGGAGGCCTATGTCGCAAGACAACCTGACCCGGTAGCTGATAAATAGAAATCTTAGTAAAAAAAAGATACATATTAAGAATAAATTAGTGAAAAATGTAATTTAATTATACTTTAAATTTGTATTTATATAGAAAGGTAATATAGGTAAGGTAGGAGGAAATAAAGGCTATTTTTATTTATTTACTTTATAAAATTGTAATTCAACAGGTGTACACGAGAACAGTCGCGACATGGGCGTGGGCTTGGGCGTGGGGGTGGGGGTGGGGGTGGTGAGCGGCGCGTCGGCGTCGGCGCTGACGGCGGGCGCGGCGCGCGAGTACAGCGAGGTGACGGTGGTGCCGGTGGCCACGGCCGGCGCCTGCAACCCGCCCTGCACCACCATCTTCCCGTTCCTAGTGCTGCTGTTCTTCATGACATTTGTGGTTGCGGTCACACAGATGCCGCTGCTTATGATTGTGCTTCGGTTAGTGGATACTATCATTTTGAATATGTTTTAATTTTTTTGAGCGGAACCCCAATTCTTTTTCTAAAATAGAAGTAGCCTATGTTACTTCCTATAACATCAGATATCTTCCAGTGAAAGTCCCGTCAAAATCAGTCCTGCCGTTTCAGAGATTATCTGGAACAAACAGACAGATAGACAAAAATTTAAAAATTGTGTTTTTCTTATAAGTACCGTATATAATTTCATATGCATTTAGAAAAACGCTGTTATTTTGACATTACAAACAGACACTTCAATTTTATTTATCTGTATAGATTATAGTTTATGTGTCCTATGAGCTTTTAAATAGAATTCACGCGAAATATGATACGACGCAATTTTATAAAAATGTTATTATTTTTATTTTTGGAACCCTAACATTTTGTCTGTGTTATAAGTAACTAGTAGTAGATACGTTTATCCCGCGGTTCTGCTCGCGTAGTCTATTTATGAATTATCCATAACTGTTTCGATCCTAAACAGCGTTGGATCTACACGACTACTCAGCCCGCTGAGTAGTCGTTGGATTTACGCTAGGGGCACTCGGGGCTACAGCCCAATTCAGAGGGTGAAAAAATATATTTATTAGTTAAAACATTTTTTTCGAAAAATTGGAAAAAATTTATAAATCTTTTTTTTTTGCATTTTTCGAAAAATTTATAATTAACAGAAATTAAACTTTATCGAAACTTTTAAAACTAAAATTAACTCTTCAGCATTATTATATTTATGTGATAGTTTGGTAGTTATCATAATACTCGTGTTAAAAATTTTAGATCTGTGAGTGAAGAAGAGCGTTCATTCGCATTGGGAATGCAATTCGTTATATTCCGACTGTTCGGGTACATCCCCGCGCCCATCGTGTTCGGCAACCTCATAGACTCCACCTGCATACTGTGGAAGCAGTCCTGCAGCGGGGAGAAGGGGGGCCGCTGTCTGCTCTACGACATCGAACAGTTCAGATACAGGTACGTTAGGTTTTAACTGTAGTTTAGTGTGTGCAAAAAAATTGTTTTTTAGTTATTATGAAAATATCGTCCAAGATGCCGAAAAAAAATTCTGGTAATATTTTTAACCAGAATTTGTTTTCGTCATCTTGGACGATATTTTCATGGTAACTAAAGAAAAAAAATTTTTTTTAGCACACCTATTGTAGATATTTTTTACTTCGAAATTAATACTTTATTATCAAACTAACAGTACCCGCGGCTTCGCCCGCGTTTAAACTTCCGATCGCTACCAAACTTACATAGTTACCCGCGGGGCTAATATGAAGATTGACTGAAAATTTCATCAAAATCGCTCAAGCCGTTTTGGAGTCCGTATATAAGCATTATATGTATATAAAAATTAAATACCTAATTTATTCTACCCATCTGTATGTGTATTAAAAAGAATTATTAAAAGTAGTTTATAAAGAAGATAGTAAATATGACATATAAATACATACATCTATATTAAGAGCTTTCTCGGTTTTTAAAATTGGTTAAAATTTAGAGTTGTCAAAGCACCTCAGTAACTGTAACTTTGAAAGTATACTTATAAAACATTTCTGTATAGTGAATATAAGTACGGAAACTTGTTTTGGTATTAATATTATTATACATATTGCGCAGTTTATGTTGCATATATTTCAGTGTACTATATTTCAGTGTGGTAAAATTATTTCGACAATTAAGCAAATATTATGAGACAAACACAAAAAAATCATCAAAATCGGTTCAGAAGTTCATTGACATACGTACGTAGAAAAAAATTATATAAATAAACACACACTTCAATCACGTTCACTTTTATATCTTAATCCAAGGTTTTAAATACAATGTATGAAATGTCAGCTTGCAACATTCACATAGCATAATATTAAATGTCATATCGGTACTATTAATAGATTTTTTTTATTTTAAATAAAACAATATTTTCGGATTATTCTACGAAGTCATCCGAAAAGATAGTTTCATTTAAAATGTCAAATATTCGTGTAAATCTAAGAAAGTATTATTAGGTTTTTGAAGTAAAACTTCTTTACGCACGCTTGACAGTGTGGGTAAGCTGGTGAATGCGTTACGAAAAAATGTACGCACGTTTGTTCCGTAACCTTCAGAAGTTTTACTTCTTGCGCGCGTACACATTCATACACGCACTCTTTAATATATTTTTTAATGTTGTTCTAGATATGTCGGCCTCTGCGGTGGTATAAAGATCGTGGCTCTCGGTATATTCTTAGCGGACTGGTGGCTCGTACGGCGACGACGACATCTTGAGACTTCGCCTCCTCTCGATCCGCACAAGGACATTGCGGGTTCGATTATCAGCCTCGATAAATGTACGTTATAGATAATGGAAGTCATAGATGACATGTTAAAGTCAATATAAATAAGAACGAATTCACATTTTAAATTAACTTTACAATATATTCCTGTATCTATTGATATAATATGTACCTAATAATAAATGAGTGGGAGTCTTTTTCTAGAGTGGAACAGTGATCGTTCATTATTTTCGATATTTGTAAGATACATATTCATTTAAAAGTTTATTTAAGTAATTAATAAAGATAATAAGAGTATTAGAAATCTGTATATTAATATTCAAAAATCATACGATTTTTTTGTGTTACATTTGCACAAAAAATCACAAGTGTATGTATATTGGCGTTAAGATAGCTAATTATAATTTCTTCACAAAAAACAAATTTTTCATGTTTGTACAACGAGCACAATATTTAAAAAGCCGACCATAAGCAATAGTATATTTTTTATTATTATATGAAAATAAATTTACAGTATTCGAGGAGCTACCGTCAACGGACAACGCCAGCGGTTTCCGGTCGGGGCTGACGTCGGGGCCGAGCTCGGCGACCACCACGCCCCTGGAGCCCGCGCCCGCGCCCGACGCCGACGGCCGGGGCCGGCTGCAGCGCACCGACTCGCAGTACTCGCAGGACTCGCAGCGCACCGTCGGCAAGAACTCGCGCGTGCTCGTCGCCTCGCGACACCTGCGCAACGACTCCAAGACCATACAGCTCGAGTCACGCTCCTCGCATTCACACACACACTCACGGTCCCACTCCCGCGATCTAAGCCTCGACCAGTTGAAGCAGCTCGCACTCAAAAGCATGGAGAGCCTCGATCTGACAGCTCTTCCGCTGCCCCTACCCAAGTGCGTGGACGAAGAGAGCAAGCGGCTGATCGAGGGCGGCGTGCTGCGGCACCGGCGCACCAGCTCGAAGGACATGAAGCCGCCCGAGAGCAAGCACAAGCGCACGTCGTCGCACCACATCACGGTGGAACACGAGCTCAGCCTGCAACTGCAGAAGGGCCGCAGTGTGGACCAGCTCGCCGCCTCGCCCCTCGACCCGCGCGTCTAAACCGACATCACCTCCATATTGTATATAGTGAATCTCATGACGCCATGCTTGGAGTAATCCAACCGAGCGATACGACCGAGTTGGACCTTTAGCTAAATTGAGTGAGTGATATTTAAAAAGTGTGATAAAGTGAATAGAAAAAATAATTTCTATAATCGACGTGTACCATATGTTTGTTTCTATGCCGGCTGTGAGATAGCCTGTTTCGATGACTGTACAAATTATTTCTTCTATTACGCTTAAGCGTCCGCGAGTGATTTGGAACCATATCTTAATTGTAGTTTAATTAACGCTTATCGTAATCGCGATGAAATTTTCTGATCGCAGCTCTTATTGTAGCTATACATTAATAATTGAAATGGTAAGTTTTATTTTGTGTTCATAGTCAAATAAATGATGATAATGCATAGGTTAAATACTCACATCACTATTGCTATCGCTGTTCAAATGGATATTTCGCTTATAATTTGGCCTAAACTATTTGTAGATAAACTTCATCGATTTAAATGTGCAATATGCCATAGTATTATGTGGGATACTATTCACATATGAAATAGTAACTGTACTTAAATGTTTATGCATAAAAGAACAAAAAATTTGTCATTGTGATAAACAACCATTCAACATAAAGGAAAAAGTTATTAAACCAAACAAGAGTTTAACATTACAAAATATAATTCTATATAAATCTTATATGATACTAATATCCTTTACATAAAATGGCTGAATATGTACAATTTTTAATAAATATCCTCAGTCCCACAATTGAAAATATCTACTAGCGTATGGGCTGTGCAAAGCAATATTTTTATAAAAATTAGAATTTTAATAGTTATGTAATTTATCATTGAATGAAAGAAAATAAAAAGTTGATAGTTGATTTTAATTATCATTTTGAAAGAACTTATAAGAACTTAAAAAGAATTTATAAGATACAATTTTTTTTTTTACAAAATTCAAGCATTCTTTACTTTTCAAATAATATATTTAAAAATCCATAAATAATAATAATTTATTCTCAACCTATATAACTAAAAAACTTCATATGCACCTTATTCAAACAAGTATTAATATTAATAAAAACAAACATTAATAGTAGGAGCCCAAGAGGGGGTTCCAAGAGATTCCTTGCACTCCGTTGAGTACCTCCACCATAATATAAGTCCTCTCTCTATGGGCGTGCGTCTAGGGCAGCCGATCAATATAATAATAATAATTTTAAAGAGACAAAAATCAACAAACTTTATGGCGATTTTTGCCTCTTCAGCTTGTGAAAATCGGCAGATTATTGAATTGCACAATTTTCAGGATGTAATTAGCCCAACATACCTTGATCTGATGGTTTCGAGTACATATTTCTACCTTATCAAAATATTTTTTAAATGCATACTCTACAGAGTGCAAGATATCACCCCTTATGTTAATCTGCCACGCTTGAGTATGCAAAAATCCCCTCTTGGGCTACCCTATAAATAGTGAAAGGAAATTTAAGAGTAACTTGTAGACTAAAATTAAAGTTTTGTCACACTGCATTACATTGCCATTAGATACCATATTTAAAAGATATTCTACAATCTACACTATCATAGATCCAAATCAGAGAAAAGTTAATGGTCATATTATATACAAAGTTAGTGGTTAAAGAAAATAATAATATAAGTACAAAAATATTGTTTCATTATTTTATTAAAAAATTAACAATCATAGACCATCCTCAAACAACAGTAACGGTATGAAATTTTTAAGTACTAATATAAAACGGCAGAATTGTATTTATTTGATCTCAAGTGCTGAGAGCAAGCCTAATGTGATGAGAGTATATTTATAAAGATAATTAAGAACTTAATTTTTAATTGAGCTCTTCCTCACTTTGTGTTAATCAAATGTTAAGTTTGTTACAAGAGAAATCTCATTTGTTTACTTCCTAGAATATTTTTAGTAGTTACATATTTTTAAGGTGATTTGAATAAAAACTATTTCTTATTTTAATTAACAAGAAATGAAAAATTTATCACACCGATTAATTAACAGATATTGGCAGATATTGTTACAATCCTTACAAACTGAAAGGCTTTTATCATTTATCAGCTGTTTAGAAGTATGTGATTTTTTTTTTATATACATATATGATTTGGCAAATTTTTTTGTTGTACCTCATTGAAATGTCAATTTATAGGCTGCTGTATCTAAAGAACTCAATTACTATTGTAGTAATGTTATTTTAGTATAAATATTTTTTAACTAAATATTTATCTTGTATATTAAGAAAAGACAAAGGATGCGTATGTAATATTGTATGTAAATTTTTGTCATATATTGTTAAGAGAGAAATAGTTTGATATGAAGAGTGTTATATCTAAAAATGCCTTATACAAGTTACAATAGATTCTAAGACTTGATACTGACTTAGCTGTACTTGGAGAAGTTGTTATGTAGATTGTGAATGATGAGAGGTTTGATGATAGCAACTTTTAAACTAATTTGTTGCATTTAGAGATTAATAAAATTGCATACACATTTTCAAGTATATTTTATTTTACATCACATCCTTGGCCAATTTTTACTAAGTTTGCATGGCGTTATAGACAGCATCATCAAGAATACCTGTTAAAAGAATGATTACATTTATTATGAAAAATAAATAGCAAATTCTCATAGACAGGCAAATACAAGTTGAGTCATGTTAACTTTGCCATATCAAATATGACCAATTTTTGCTTACCTAAAGGACTTCTTGGGTTTTAAGGGCAGGGGAACATAGAAAAATTAATATATGTGTTGAGGTGTTCTTCTTTTGTAAATTGGCATGTTTATTTGTATTTTACTAAATGTATAACTGTAAACAGCGCCATCTATGTATCTACAGTACAAACTCATTACCCCAAAATTGCGGAATTTTGATCATTATTATTCTCCTTCACTTACTGTATTTTTAAAATCCAGAATATATTTTTTGTTAAATATTTTTTAATTGAATTTACACATGCATCAATCGTTATAAAAAAATGATACCAGTAACGGCATCTATTGATGTATATTAATACTGTTTTTTCTTTGCTTCCGATGAGACCCCACAATAATAGCACCATAAAGTATATTGCTACATATATAAATTAGCACATTACTATTTAAATAGATGCCCCATCCTATACACAGAGGATATTTTTTTTAGAACAGAGGATATTGAGCTAATCTTTAGGTTATTTGCTTGAATAGAAGATCCGCAAGCTGTTGGAACTAGTTTATTTAATATATTCAAATTTAAAAGTTATACATATATTGCAAAAAAATAATCGAGAATTTAATTAAACAAATTTGATATGTTTTAACCATGGTAAATGATGATGTTCTCCTAGCCGATTCTGGCTACGGCGCCAATCTCATTGACACTAGCCAACTGCGCAGGAGATATTATAGTGCACAAGTGTACGCGCAGACACAAGTGCACTCTCTATTCCTGTCACTCTCATTCTCCGGTGGGACGACTGCTCGACACGACCAGTGAGAGTTAAGGCGCAGGACCAACGGCTTTACGTGTTCTCCGAGGCACGGGGGTGAAACACCGCCAACTTCCTAACTCTGGGCTGTTACTGAGACTTACTATAATACAGAAAGACTCAATAACTAAACTTGGGCCGACCCGGGACTCGAACCCAGGACCTCAGTGTGCAGCCGTTCATGCTAGCCTCTACACCACCGAGGCAGTCGACCATGGTAAACCTAACCTAACCATGGTAAATAATTCATTAGTAAAAGAGAAATCTGCAAATATGCACCACAAACCCATTAGGTACCTGATTGCTCACCTTTAAAATCTCATCTGTATAACAAATAAAATTATACTAATTTTATTTTCAAGTGCTTATTTTTCATTATGACCATATCTTTTTGGTGTCTATTTATTTTTTGTTGTTTTTACTAATTTTACACAACCTTTAATAAAAAGCCTATACATATCTATGTGTAACATATAATAAAATTGTAACTAAGCCGAATCTGTACATTAAATATTTTTTGGAAAATCTTATTGAAATAGACATTATTATCGATACAGAGGCCGAATCTATAGTTTTTAGAATTTTTGTCTGTCTGTTACCGAATCACGGAAAAACCACTGGAGGGTTTTTGATGAAATTTGGTATGATGGTAGCTGGTTACCCGAGTCAACATATAGGATACTTTCTACTGTGGTAAAATATCTCACTTTTGAGAAAAAATACAAAAACTGCAATGTAAGAGTATACTAATATGTAAAACCTAAGAATTTGGTTTTTGGAAATCTGAATGCAAACAGAACTATGGGCTATGCTAATTGATACATATAATGCCATCTATTCACATTTATTTGAAACTAATTTTTTGTTAGTGCAATCCCTTAATATTGGTAAAGATAATACAAAATACATAAGGATAGCTGTAAACTACTTAAAAAAATTTCTTGCTTGAAAGTGTTGAATAAGATAAAAAAATATATACATGATAATCTATTAATGAGACTAACTTATTTACTACTAACTAAACTACAGGGGTTGAAAATAAATAAAACAAAGGATAAATATCTACACAATTTAATATTTTATTTACCATTTACCATTGTGATATCTCTTCAGAAATATAACAATAAATGCAACAATCACACTATATCTACATAATATATATAACAAATATTAAATCTAGAACTACAAAAATGTTTAATCTAACTCACCACATTCTTGAATAACAACTTTTTTGGATGGCTTTCCACTCTTTGAACCTAGACTTTCCATTTTTCTTACAACATCCATTCCTTCTACAACTGAACCAAAGACAACATGTTTTCTATCCAACCATGGTGTTGCAGCAGTGGTAATAAAAAATTGAGACCCATTGGTGTTAGGACCAGCATTGGCCATTGATAACATTCCTGGACCAGTGTGCCTTAATTTGAAGTTTTCATCTTGAAAAGTTCTACCATAAATCGACTTTCCACCAGTACCATTATGATTCGTGAAGTCACCACCTTGACACATAAAGTCTGGAATAATTCTGTGAAATGATGAGCCTTTATATCCAAATCCCTTTTCTCCAGTACATAAAGCTCTAAAATTTTCAGCAGTTTTAGGAACTTCATCAGTATCTAGCTTCATAACAACGCGGCCTAACGACTCGCCATCTGCTGTTATATCGAAATAAACTTTCTTCTCTGGTTGAGTAGAAGCAAACCGCAGCGTAGCAGCAGAATAAACTGTCCCATTTATAATAGACCGGCGTAATAACGCGCAAATAGCCATTGTTATTGAATATATATGAAATTGAATCGATGATATCTAGAAACAAAATTAATAGGTTATGGCAGTTAACCTAAACATGTCACCTTTGTAAATCATGAAGAGAAGAATTTATATTGTAAATAAAGGTTATAGATTTTCTTTTACAAAATATGTTAAGAAATTATTGTTTCAGTAGAGAGTATGAAGATGTTAGTTTTTTAAGAAAATGCCGGTAAACATAGTTAATGTCTACTGTAACAATGTAAAAATCTAAAGAATTAACAAAAATATACTTTTTTCAATTTACTACTCAATAAATCTTAAATAAGAATAACTAAAAAAATATTAAAAAAAGAGTTATTACCTAACTTTATTATGTAGTTATTTCCATAGAGTATGGTAACCCTTTTTATTTATTTCCATGGACTTATTTATTTCATCATAAAATAAAAGTAAGAGCTATTTGATATTTCACAGATTAAGACAGCAGAGCACAGAATATAATATACTCCTATAGTGCGTTTCAGTAAAGAGTTCCCTTCGTGGTTATATTGGCTACACTGGCTTCAATGTTGCCATATCTTGATGTAAAATTACCAACTATTATGATATAAGGAACTATTTATGATAATCGTATTTCCTGATTTTTGATATGTTGTTCTGGTGCAATAAATGTTTAAGCTATCTACATACCGATCTACGTAGGCAAGACGCAAGGTTGCTTTTAGATAAGGTATTTTACTCTTAAAACTTGATTAAATATTAATTGGTTTGCTATATTTATTTACGCTAAAATGTTCTTAGTTATTTAAAAAACTAAAACAACAACACTGATTTTTATTCAATGTAATTTAGCCAGTATTAAAACATGAAAACATGGAATTTATTTTAATACGCATGGTCCATTTCAATAGGAGTTAAACCTGAAATTATACTATCACAATCACTGTCTGAAGACGTTTCACTGTCTCTTACTTCAATAATGAAATTATCCAATTCTTTATCCAATTCTAAATCATTGACATAATATTTTTCTTCAATAGCTCTGACGTGATCACATTCTTCTTTTCGAACAGCATAAAATTCATCAACTTTATGACGTATAACACATAGGTCAAAGTCATCCAATTTAACTCTCTTTTCGTGTGGGCGTGATTTTCCCGGAGTTGAAATTTTTGTAGATGTACTTGCGGCAACTGCACCTTCTTGACTTATTTTTGTCACCGTCTTTGCTGATATACCTAAAAGTAAAATAAAATAACGTTCAGACCTAATGCATCATTTCCAATGTAAGGAAATTATTAAAATAATACTTATTAGTAAACTAAGTATTACTTATTAAATAATTATTTTTCCATATAATATAATTACGTATTTTCGGGACTAACATCTGCTTATGGCAACACCATTTTACTAACCTGTCATTGCCGCTACCCGACTGCGAACATTTTGAAATGGAATAAGAGGAGCTTTATTAGCTTTTTCACGTTCACAAAACTTTTTAACTTTGAGAACCAATTCTCTTTCACCACTTCTTAATGTCTTAGGAATGATTGAAAAGTAAATCACACTAAAACAAATTAAAAACCTCGAGAGCTCTGAACACTGACACTATTGACACAATAAGACAACCAGTGCTACCAACATTTAAAACAGAAGGGAACTCTTTTGTGAAACGCACTTTAACGGAGCAGCACAGTGCATAGAGTTTTATTTGTCATCCATGAGTACAAGTAACAAGTTGTACATAATTGGGTGTAGAAGTAAGGAGGACCATCTCAGTGTATTACAAAGTGTCCGTTGAAAAGGAGCAAATTAAGGTGGCGCTATAGTAGCAAATAAAAGAATTTTAAAATGAGCGCCACAAATTATTAGAATATGATACTAAATTAATATTTTAAAATTAACAAAGTTTTTTAGAAAATACATAAGTAAGACTATACTTGTTGATGATATGAAGGGTATGTTAAGCCTGGAGGACATTACTAAGACTTTTTCTATTACATTAATTTTTACATTTCAAAAAATAGGGCGTATTCTCGGAAAAAGAAAAATTAATGAGAACTTGCTATCCAAACTAATGTTAGAATGTGACTGACGAGTGGCGGGTAACGGTAATCAAGCGCAACTACTCTTTATTCTTGCACGCGTGCCCCGCACTTCCCTATATGTATTTAAACCTTTCATGTACAAATATATGAGAATGATATCGCTAGCTTTAATTTTGTTCTACCTACTTAATGACGTTTAAAAGGTACTTTTAATAACCATGTAAGACTTTTTAAATTTTATGGTATGAAATGGATTGATGATATGATATGAAAAATGGTTGGTCTGAAATTCTGCCAAATATTTGCTAAACATAATTATTTATCTATGATTTAATTAATGTCAATGTCATAACCAATAAACCACATTTTTGTTTACAAAAGTAACATTAAAAGCCACTAAACAAGATGAGTTCAATTGAACACTTTTGACATTACACAATACACATTCGGTCATGAATATTCGTATACCAATACTAATAATTTTTTCCCATAATTTTATGAATTAGAAGTTAAAGCCTTCAGATATTATCTTACGTTAAACAACAAATATTAAAATCATGCATTGCTTTAGATCTTTTTTGTCATACATTCGGCAACCTCTAGTGAATCCATCATTAAAAAGAAGTCCTATCATTTCGAAACAATTTAAAGAAATAACACGATTGTATGTATCACAAGTTTCAGCAGAAGATGAATGCGGTAATATTTGTGTCAATTCTAACCTAGCTTTATAGTCTTAGGACTGTACAATTAATTACTAATTTGCTTTACTTTTAGAAAATATGGTACATCAACTGTGTAAAGGCGATCAAGACTTGGAAAAGAAATTAAGAGTACTAATGCTAGAAGTAGAAGTTATGCGTCAAGATGGAAGATATGCACCAGATTCTCTTCAATTGGATCATTGGCAACATTTATTAGATTTACCAAGCAGAAATCAAAGGTCTAGTTATCTAACATTTCTTTGGAAAATTGAAAAAAAGAAGGAAAATCAAAAGGTTCATATTAATAATTTCATACTACTACTTTACAAATAATCACTCTCTTATCTGCTTATAGTATTTTTGATCAATTACATGATAACATAACAACAGCAAATGAAACTATGGAGATAAATTAAGGCTTGCTGTTTAAGTATAGAGATATTAAATCTAATGTTTATATAGGGTACATACTCATATAAATGCTCATATGAGGCTTTTAGGAGTATTATAGGATATAGGCTGTATATAAAAGTATCAAAAACTTAATGATATAAAAATTTTGTACATGAGGCCAACTTCACATTAAAGTTTTGTGCAAACTGTAGAATAGAAACATTAATGTATGGAAGTCTGCCCGATTTGTTGACATTTACGATTACTGCTCCACTCCCATGCGTAGTAGCATGATGATATATGTATAGCCTATAGCCTTTCTCAATAAATGGGCTATCTAATGCAAAAATAATTTTTCAAATCGCATTAGTAAATTCTGAGATTAGTGCAATCAACTGCCTTTTTATAATATTAGTATAAATTTAGATTTAATTTCAGGCAAAAAAGGAAGCTAGAAGAAAAGAACTGGAAAGTTCACCTGCACCAGAAATTAAAGAATATCCAGATGATATTCTTTATGGTATTAAACACCAATCACTATTCCTTAGAATCCGTGACCAATCAATTAATTATTTTGATAATTACAGGTAAATATGAAATATAATTTCCTTTTTATAACTTCCTTAATATATATTGTTTAGCTTCTATCTATACATATAATAAAATTATAACTAAACTGAATCTGTACAATAAATATTTTTTGGAAAATCTTATTGAAATATGTAGTCATTATTATTGATACAGAGGCTGAATCTATAGTTTTTTTTGTCTGTCTGTTACTGCATCACAGAAAAACCACTGAAGGGATTTTGATGAAATTTGGTATGATGATAGCTGGTTATCCAGGTCAACATATAGGATACTTTTTATTGCGGGAAAATATCTAATCTCTGAGAAATTTATACTAAATGTTAAAACGCAAGTAGGGACAAACCTGAGCAGAGCCGTGAGTCGCTAGTTATTTATAAAAGTAGCTGATGTTGTGTTTTCTTTAAAAGTATGTCTTTATGGTACTTGAAAGATGTTTTCATTTTAAGGGCACTCAAAGCAATGAGGTATGGACAAAATGTAGTTATAGATTGTTCTTATGAAGATAACATGGTGTGGAGAGAAATAACTAATGCAGCTAAACAAATGACTTTTGTCTTTGGTGATAACAGAATACACAAAGACCCTTTTAATTTACACATGTGCAATGTAAATTTAAATGGTGAATTTATGAAACAACTACGTAAAAACATACCATCTTTGGAGGAACCATGGTTTCCATTAAATATCCATACACAAAGTTATTTAGACATTTTTCCTAAAGAAGATTTAGTTTATCTCACACCTCACTGCAGAGAAGAATTGACCTGCTTTAATCCTGATACTGTTTACATTATAGGATGCATGGTTGACAAGGTAATATGTAATTATTTTTATAAAAAAAATATACAGTTAAGGGCTTGAATAGAAAAAGAATGGTTCTTATTAAATTCTTTCTTAGATTTGAGCGAATATTTGACATTTTAAATAAAAGTATTTTTTTGTGGATTTATTTGATTTTTGGTTCCCAACATTATGAATGCTTTACAGCAATCATAGTCACCGGAGAGACTGTTTTAGACATCTCAAAGGTCATTATATATTTGTTACAGACAGCACCTACAGCAGGATAAGGTAGGTTCAGTGGCCCCAGAGAGATATTTTAGGGTTCAGTGCCACAAAAGGTTAAAAAAAGGAACCATTATAAGATCACTCTCTTGTTAGAATAAATTTTGTTATAATAATGTAACACACTTAATGAGATGAGAAGCTGAACGTGTACAAATAATAGTTTTATATCTCTGCAATGCTATAATACAATTTATTTTAAAAAAATCCATTTGGAACTGCTGACCCTACCATATTTGGCTTGATCCTATTATAAGTTATAATTCGAAATGTTTTTATTTCAGATGAATAATGAACCTCTTTCTCTTGCAAAAGCAAAGCGAGATGGATTAAAAATGGCTAAATTACCTTTAGACAGGTACTTAGAGTGGGCGCCAGGTTCAAAGAAAAACTTAAATATAAACCACATGGTTCCAATTCTTTTAGATTTAAGAATTACTGGAGATTGGGAATATGCTCTAAGACATATACCTAGAAGAAAACTCATGGCAACAAAAATAATGGCCATGCAAAAAAGAATTGAAAATTCACCTTTAGCCAAAGATGCCATATTTAAGGCTTTTAAATCTGTAAATGTTAAAAAATACCCAACTCTTGCTCAGAAAAAGTTTAATTCAAAGAAAACTTTGTATGATGATGATAATATATAAATAAAATAAAAGGTATTGAATAAATAATATTTAGCTTTTATTGTGTAATTTTATTTCATCTTAGCTTTACAAATGTATATTAATTTATGATAAAAGGTTTCTATAATTCATTTTCTTAAGTAAGTTTATAAGTCTAATTTTGTACAATATATTAATCATAATTAAATCACGAAGACACTTCATAATTTGTGTGATATATAATATATACAAACACACACTTGAAAATTTCAAAATGTGCTGTCGGTCTGACACATTGTCATAGCAATGATATTGCACACAACTCAATCCAAGTTAACACTAAAACTAAAAATATGCTTTGCATATTCTTATTCAATATACCAAATATAATTTTAACTTTATAGAAAGTTACCAACATTATAATAAACAAGTAAAATTGTGAATGAAATATGAATGCACTGAAATGTTTTTCTATATTAAGATAATGAAAACTTAACCCTATACTGTACTGCATAAATGAATTATTAATTAGAAAGTATACAAAGTTACTAATCCATACAGTTAGACAACTGCAAAGTAGTGAGGCGCACGCGTCTGTCATGCTTACTTTCATATGACAGTTGAGAAATGGCTTTAGGGGTTGATGGTTATAACTGTAACCTGTGGATTTGTACACTGTAGGACAAGCAGTGCCGGATTTAACCTTAGCGCCGCCCCTGGGCATAGTAAAAAATATATATATATAGTAAAAAAATGCCGTCCTATTATCGTAATGTTGAATAAAATGTTGAAAGTTTTTTTTTTTTTTTAATTCTTATTTCTTTTTGAAAAATGCATAGAAATAATTTAAAAATGGTTTCAATTTTTCGAAAAATGTACTCATAAATTTTTTAAATTGATCATTTTTTGGAAAATAAAAAAATCATTCTCGATAACGCGAAGAGAATTTTGCTTCCCTGGGCACTAGCCCCGAGTGCCCCTAGTGTAAATCCAGCGCTGAGTACAAGTATAGAGGGAGCTAGGACATGGGTAGTGTGCGCATGTCGACGTCGGCGGCGGGCTCGGAGCGCTGCTTGATGGTGGCGAGGATCTCCTGCAGGTTGGAGGGCAGCGCGATGTCGGCCAGCGGCACCGGCGCCGGCTCCGGCGGCGTCAGCGGCCGCGACGGGGAGTAGGCTTCGTTCTGGGAAATATCACTACATGTATAAAACAAACTCGCTTCCCGCTGTCTGTCTGTCTGTCTCTATACATGCTTAGATTTTTAAAACTACGCAACGGATTTTGATGCGGTTTTTTTAATAGATAGAGTGATTCAAGAGGAAGGTTTATATGTATAATACGTGCATTTTATAGTATAGAATAACCGAGAAATCCAAAGATTTCTATTTCAGTCGGCAAAACGTATCTAGGTGAACCCGAGCGAAGCGAGGGCGAGTCGCTAGTATCAAAATATTATAAACTACCAACTTACCCGCTCTTGTGTCCGTCCGTAAGTGCCTAACAATAGCCTATGTGTTACTTCCAGCCCATAGTCTAATAGCTCTAACTAAATCACATCTTAATCCTCCCAGCCGTCATGCATTTCAGCATGAAGGAGTGACAAACATACACACTTTCGCGTAATATTGTCACGTAATGGAGAGTGTGTAACGTCATTACACCAAAAATAATAATTAAAAAGACACGTCCGAAGCATGCTTTATACATCCTAAGAGGCATCGAATTTACTAGAAATTTCTAAATCCAGATAAGAACAGTTAATCGCAATATATAATAGTAGTCTGATAAACAAATTGGACTACCGCCAAACTCTGAAGTTTCAAGAATCCATTTAGGAGGTCCGCTATCGAGCACCATCATCGTCGAATCTGCTCAATTGTATAAAATTAATATTAAGTTCACATACTTTTATTTTTTTTGTCTCAAACCTCAACGAAAATTAGATGTAGATTAAAATCGATTTCTAAGATTCTATTATACATATAATAATTAGTTACAAGTGAAGCCAGCCGAACCTCCTTTTAAAAAAATATTAATAATATTTTTTTTAAATGTGTTTATACCTCTCCACTAACAGAAGACGAATCTGCTCGTGCCATTTTAAGTATTTGCTGTTTCTGTTCTTCAATTTGGCGGTTAAGTTCCTCCATTTTGGTTCGAAGTGTGTTAGAGTTGGGCGGGAGCGAGGGCGCGGAGGCGCTGTTGCTGCCCGATGACGATCCGGGACTGTAAGCTTCATCGTCATCAGCAGCTGCTGTAGTAAATGGGAAGATTCAATATTATTGTACGCAAACATAAATATTTATTATTTGTATATGAAATTAAAATTATATAAAGAAAGAAGTCGGTTGATAAAAAACTATCCTTAATAAGTATTAATCGATTTTGAGCTTGCCATTTAAGCAATTTAAGTCTAAAATTAAAAATATATTAAATACTTCGTAGACGTTAATTGTGTGGAATTAATATCTGGTTGGGTCTCACGTAGGATAAGTAGATAATTATTGTATTACAATATTGTAAACTATTCTATTTAACTAGTCTATTTGAATAAAGTATTTATTGATTTGATTCCATTTGATTCGTACAGGATATATATAGTTTACAACATTAAAAACAATTATAACAAATATAAACCTGAAGGGATTGTTTTCTTAATTATTAGAACGGATAATCATTGAAACTACCCTTCCGATTTGAAATATTTACAGTACAAAACACAATTTTATTGAGAAATATTAAACATACGACCCATACAAGTGGAGTATAATTACTCAAAACCATACAAAATACTTTGTATATTATTATATGAACACATAAACAAACGATGTCAAGGCCAAACGTAAAGTATATTAGAAACAACAAAAAGAAAGTTACCCAACGAGGCAGCAATTTTGTCCTTGACAGAGGTAGAGAGGGCGGAGGCGGGGTACGTGGGCAGCGGCAGCGCGCGGCGCCGCGGCGACAGCGGCGGCGTGTACGACTGCTTGCGGGACCCGCGCGCCACCTGCTCAGTGCACAACACATCAATTATTATATTTATTTATTTATTATAAAGGCTTACTAACTAAATTTACATTAAATATATATTTAACATTATAATGTTACGCTATTTGTATATAAATTTAATTTAAAAGTATGCATAGCATTTTATAGAAGTATTCCATTAAATTTTTAATGTGGTTACGAGTATATAAGGACCCATTTTAGTTGTACAATAAACAGAAGAAGAAAAAAATTCAGTTTTTACTACATAAATGAATGTTGGGATATTAACACACAGCACCATCTAGTTCCATGGTATACAACGAGGTATAACTTTAAATACACACATATTATAAATATAAACACCTATGACTGGAAGACAAATATTATTGCTCATCACATAAATGAATGCTCCCATCGGGATTGGAACCCGCGACCGCTGATACAGCAAGTAGAGTCACTACAAACTGAGCCAAACGTGTCGTCAAACTCATTTAGTATTTTTATTCGTAATATTCTCTCAAATTTATGTGAATAATTGACAATTTTTTAACTATTTCTTTGGGAATTTTTGACGATTTTTGGTTTAGCAATCATGACCACGGGCGGCACATGATTGCTGCATTGAACGCATTTTAAACGTCGAAAACCTAAAATGGAACTTTTTTTTAAAAACTTACCCTCGTATTATAATATAAATATTTGATTGAAACACTACATAAATATATATATAATAAAATTAATAGATATCGACGCCTCAGATTACTAGCACAATCATAATATATAGATTTGACTTAATACTGTTTTTTCAACTGGGTATAGATAAAAGTAACCTAAACAATAAAGAAAAAATGTAAAATATTACAATTATTGCACTTTCATTTAAAGACTGAAAAAGCGGCACAAAATAGTACAAGGAATTAAAAATGAAGTTAATGGCTGACCTATAATATTTTTAAAGCAATATAGCTCTTTATTATTTGTATATAATGGAAGGAATGGAAAAAATTTAGAATTCGATTAGATATGAATTTTTATTGTTATTATGTATCTTTTAATTTACTATTCAAGAACGATTTAATGTTTAAACTTCATGAATAATGCAATTGATCAAAATTACAGATATAAAATGAATGAAATAAAAAATGTTCTACGCATGCTTATTTTACTATTTATATGAAGCAAAATAAAAATGTCTTGTTATATATGACTGCGAAAAGGACAATACTAATCTATGCAAAGATTTATTATTGTAAGAGGGAAACAGGATATAGGAGCGGATGAAGGTTTCATAATACCATATAGTATGAGAGGGATCCTGTTTGTAAAGCATAGAAATAACATGGTAGTAGTAAGTATATATTTGAGTATGCTGGCCCATATTATTATTTTTTTAAATGCATTTTAGGCTTTATTATTACGAAATAAACATTCAACATCTCAACATATATCATAAATCATTAATAAATAATAATTCTACACATGTACATACAAAATATCTTATAATAAAAAAAAATATAAGTATATATATATATATATTTACATGGCAAAACAAACTCTGTAATAGTGTTTATAAATATTTATTTACAATTTATTTTTCTCGCTTTCTCCTTTAACTAACCTTGGCTGGTACAATATCTTTGGGTATATGCGGTGCGAGTCTTTTCTTTCTCTGTCTAATGATAATAGATAGGAGGAGATGGGTCTTGGCGTCGCCGAGGCCGGGCCCGTCCAGCGGCAGCAGTACAGGCGGCAGGGACGTGTTCGCTGGTATCGGTACTATGTAGAAATCTTTAACGGTCGCCGTATTTGATACCTTCACCACTCCCAATCTAAAAATTATATATCATTAAAAGATAAAATAAGGTAAATAGTATATACACGACTTTTTATTCTAATAATTTTATTGTATCTCACTGATATATAAAAACATATGTAGATATACATTTAGAATAACAAATATTTCTTCAAAAAGTGGCGTCGTTATGTGACGGAAGGCAAACCATAGAACAACGTGCGTTTTAATTTTTTGTAATGAACTAAAGAGATTAGAAAAAGCACATAATATCAAATTGCGCGCAATTTTTTTGAGGACTGTTGATACGCTAATTGTAAGTTTTTATATACCAATGTTGTGTCTGCATTATTTAAGTTTATAAACGTAGAATATGTGCAGATCATGTGCATTTACGATACGCACGTGCAAACTGAGTCTATGAAAAACTAATAGTTAACACGCATGTATATGGGATAAAACATATAACCCTTACATGTACGAAATATAGACAAACCTATTTCTGCTACTAAGATAGCTGTACAAAGCGATATATTGCATGCGTTCCTCATCATTTGCCGCTTGGAGCTTCAAAACGACAATGTCCTTATTATTAGCGCGCTTCATCTTATTAATATAATCCCAAACTGTGTCTGGGTTAATTCTACCGACTATATCTAATTCTGGTGCGAGATCTTCTTCTAAATCTACGGCATTGCCTGAAACCTGAAACATAAAGTAGTTCATTAATAATATATTAATTTTTATTTATAATCCTAACTATAAAATTTTAAAATATCATTATTAAAATGAAAAGGAGAAATAACAAGTTGAGTATGTGTAACAAACAAATTCATTATTCCATGTATACTTATTATTATATACATATATTATATTGTGTGTTTGTTTATTTGTTGTCCGTACCTCATGTGCTGCTACATAGAACCTGGCCACATCCACCATGTTAATGCAGCCATTCCATACAGTCGCAGCAGAATGCTCCACTGTACTAGTGGGCTCCTGGTCACTTTCAGCTTCTGTTGATAATACTTTTTATATTATTCGGAAAAAATATATATACATTTAAAAAAAAAAGAAATTTATGAGATAGAAAAATATACATTTAAATAAAACATAGGTATATAAAATTAGATAGCTCACCAGACTTATCCTGTTTTTCTAAATATTTAGGCGGAGATATGGTTACATTTGCATCAATAGAGAATGTCTTCGAGGGATCATATTCCACATTGCCATACTCTGATATTTCATTCTTATAACTATCCTCATACACATCCTCCCTGGATTTCCTCAAATCCTCTTCAGAGATTGCTGATGTGATCATTGGTTCATGAGGATCGTACTCAGGATGTGCTTCCTTCATCATGGCAGATTTTGGTCTTTCTATTGAATCAGAATCTGTGGAACTGAAAATTAAAATAAAATTATTATATACTTAAGTAAAATCATTCGCCCAAAGAATCGGCATAGCCATTCAGTGGGAAAATGCGGCTACCATTTTTGCCATTATTCCATATGGACATGACTTGTACAGTAATAATTAATTAAGTGTACATTTGTTTTGTATATATAATTATGTTATATAGTTTTCACTAAAAACTGTTTACCTAAAATTTTATAAATATTGGTAGGTATTTCAATATACTTGAGTATCATGGTCAATAAAATCATGTGATATCATAATAAATTGAAAACAATATATTTACACTGATCAAGATAAGCAGAGGAGTCAACAAGCTTTTCTTTTACTGTTATTTTTCTTCTGTTACTATATACTTGTGAAAAAATACTTACTCATTCTTACTCTTATTCAAAGTAGCCTCTTGAGATCTGGAGCGGTGTTTGAACTTGTCGTCACTACTGCGGCGTTTAGAGCGGGAGCGTTCCTCCCGTGAGCTCCTTCGCTTGATACTATCCCTAGAGTGGGATCGCCGCGACGAGCGCCGAAGGGACCGCGATCTCTCCCGTCTCTCTTTGGAATTCGATCTGGAATGCTCTCTCGACTGTCTCTTTTTCACCCTTGACCTTGACCTGTGCCTTGAACGTTCTCGAACCTCTGATTTGTCTTTAGGATCTGCTTTGGTTCTGTCCTTTGATTTTGACCGCGATCTCGACTTCCTTTCGGATCGACGCGAGGATCGATATTCTTTTTCTTTCATTTCATATTTCCGTCTAGATGATCTAGATCTTCTTTTTTCAGAAACCCTCTTTGAATCCTTGTCATTTTTTCTTGTACTTTCACTTTCCTTATCTTTTTTCTTGTTTCCATGCTTTTTGTGTGATTCCTCCTTTTTAGATCTATAGATATTTAATAAAAAAGAAAAATCATTATTACACATTATATACACACCTTTTAAAATAGACAAAGATGATGTTTAAAATGGTATCACAAGAATAAAACAATGCTTACAGTTCTGGTGCTGTCTCTGGTGCTCCATCTCCAACAGCATCATTTAAAGCAAATACTAAATCCTCTACAGGTACATCTGGATTCAACTCTGTTGCTACTGATTCTTTTGTTTCCATAACCTGCACAATTTATAAAAGTTAATAAAAAACTGTAAAATAGTTAAAATACATATCACTATCTATACATATAATAAAATTGTAACTAAGCCGAATCTGTACATTCAATATTTTTTGGAAAATGTTATTGAAATAGACATTATTATATTATATTTTTGTCTATCTGTCGGTTACCACATAACGGAAAAACCCCTGGAGGGATTTTGATGAAATTTCGTATAATGATGCTGGTTATCCGGGTCAACATATAGGATACTTTTTACTGCGAGAAAATATGTCATCTCTGAGAAATCTATAGAAACTGTTAAAACGTAGTAGGGACGAACCCGAGCAGAGCGAGGGTGAGTCGCTAGTTTTGTTATAAATTACCTCTTCTCCTTTATGAGTTTTCAAAACATATGTCTTGCTTGCTGCCAAAAGGTCAATCTCAGATTTCTTAATCAATTCCAATTGATGCTTAGCTTCTTTATCTCTCCATTGCGCTAATTCTTGACTCGCTAACTCTTCTGGAGAAAGCCTTACCTTAAATTCAAGAAACAAAAAAAATAAGAAAATTTCATTCTTCATAAACGAAACAAGCAAAAATAACGTTGAAATATACCAGTTGTTTCGGTGTAATAACGCGTTCACAAATCTTATCCCACAGCGACAAATTTTTCCTATCCTTAATATTGAACATGAGAGATCTGTACTTCGCTTTGTATTTCATACCGACATCGCGGTTGAACAGTTCGTGTAACTCCTGTTCCGTATCATTGGCGAACTGTATAATCTCATCCTCTGTGAACTTGAATCCGTCGCTTTCGGCCATGCGGATAGAGATCTGTTCCTGCAGCGCTTTCCGCACGTTATCCCGCACGGGGTCGTCCGTCATCCTGGCGCGCTTGTCCGGCGCGTCCCGGCGCCGCGACGTGGACGGCGACACTGCCGGCTGCTGCGAACCGTAACGCGGTAGTGAGCAACATAACGAGTCAGTCTTATCAATGTGTAAACAGTTCAAGGTTAACTCAGTTTTGATACTAGTTTGATAATCACAATGTAAATAGACAAACAGGCTTTGTTCATCAATTATCTATTTTGACACTTCCAATAGGAATTTTATATTCCTAATATATTATTTTGCGTGTTAAAGTTTTAAAAAGAATGTTGTACGCAAATAACAAAATACCTATAACTTATTATTTTAAGTCTACTCACGAAAAACACCTTGAGTAAAATAATAAATATGAAACGGCAAGTTCAAATTTATATTAGTAATCTTTTCATACATTATTTATGTTACAAATTTATGACTACTACAAAAAATACTATTACGTCATATTACGCTCGCTAAAGCGATGAGTAATAAACAATAAGTTGCCGCGGAAATTTCCTGTATTAAATTTTAGGCATAACATTTACGATCCTGGCATACTCTTTTGAACAAAAAAATGGCGTGCAACCTTTACGCACGATTAAAGTAAAACTTCTTTGGCGCTGTGGAATATACCACAAATAAATTAAAATAAAAATTATAATATTTAAAAAAAAAATTAATACTAGCTTGATTCCCCATACAATCTATCATCCCTATTTACACCCCTTAGGAGATGATTTCCGGGATAAAGAGTATCCTATGTCCTTCCCAGGGTCTCAAACTATCTTCTTACCAAATTTCATACAAATCGGTCTAGTAGTTTTTGAGTTTATTCATTACAAACATACAAAAATACAAATCATTCCTCTTTATAATATTAGTGTAGATGTAGATTATTCATTTTTATAAGTCGGTAAAAATTATATCAATAATAAATTTGCCTCTCACTTCCGCGACAGTCACTTCTATTACGCTCATTTTGCCTTCCTAATAAGTTTTACTTCAATATATCAGGTTTTTAATGTACTTGTAAATTGTAAAGATTGCTCAGTTTTAACTAAGAACTATAAAAAAAAGCGCAAAATAAGAGAATTATATTATTAATAAATACCTTTTCAACTAATGACTGAGATCTACTTGTGGACGCCCGAGCTGGTTTTTTTTGTTCACTCGAAGTTTTAGTTGACGATTTTGGCGTATCAAATATTGGCGCTTGTTGTGATTTGGGCGTAACTGGTGTCTTCGGGGGAGGGGTTTTAATTTCTTCTTTAGGTAGCGGAATTACTTTGATCATCTTTTCCTTGGGTTCCGGCTGTGGTGTTTTCGGTTGTGCCTGTTCTTGAGATTTCTTCGGGATCCTTGCGAAGTTGAGAGTGGTTTGAATTTTATTGGGTTCATTGCTCGATTTCTTTCGTACTACATTCGGCTTAATAGCGCTCAGCGTTCCAGGACGAACAACTTCAAACGTAGGATTCTTTTGCAACCACGCTTTCAAATTCTCTGCGGTAGGGGCATTCGGACCAGCGAGTAACCTTCCAGATTTTCTTTCATAGACGATAACCTACAAAAAAAAATATTTATGTGTATATGGTCTATCAAAGCATGCAAACATGGCGGTGCAAGTTGCAGAGTGTACATACCCGTGACTCGGAAGTAGGTTTATCGGGTTTGCCGCTAGTGTCGGCCTTGGGGGGGTGGCCGAGAGAGTCTTGGGCGTGTTTGAGGATGCATGCATCACTGCAATAGATACTACTGGCTCGTGCGGGTTTCTTGCAAACAATACAAGTAGTTTTTGAGGCAAACTCTTTTGTGATAGCAGGTGGTGTACTTACTCCAGCTGTCTCCTTTGGCGGCGTTGGTACCTAAAAAGTAAAAAGTATTAGTTTCTTTGCTTGTTTCCAAAGTACATTCCTCGTGTGAGGCAGTTCTTTTTTTTAATTTTATTTGAATCAAAGGTGTAGATTTTAAAAATGTTTTCTCGATGAAAAACTAAATAGATTGTTAGTTTTTAATAAAATGGTTACCATATTGTTTTCAACAATTTGACAGCTACAGTACAAGATGATAATTATAAACATGTTCAATCAATCTTTATTTATTTGTAATTTGACAAATACAGGTTTAATTGGTTAATATGCCAAAGATTACAATTCACTACCTACAGATAGCAGTTTTCAGATATTATTAATGTTATCTGATGTTATGCAATAATTATAGGGCGACAAACTTAATAAAATAGAAATGTGCCTATAAAAAATATACATAAAATACCTTGGCCGAGTTCTTAGTTGAAGGTTTGGTGTTCTTGACACAATTTGGACATGTCCATTCAATGCCTTGTTCCTCCATTTGCTGGCCCATAGCCTTGGTGATGTTAACACATTTTCCGTGGAACCAGTCTTCACAGCCGTCACAACAAATCATGAATCTATTATTATGTGGCTGTTTACATATGCACCATAGCCTGTAAAATGTTTTATTATTTTTTTATTATTTAAATATATCAAAACTGGATGAATACCATAATTGTTCATTGAATTGGAATTACCTACTCTTTATAGGGAAAAATAATAAAGTCAAAGTTTAAATACCTGTTCGGATCATCTTCAGAATTCCAGCTCTCCTGAGATTCAACTGAATTTTTTTCTATTGCAGGAGTTTGTACTACGTGTTCCTGTTTTCTTGCTAGTTTTTTGTTTGTGTACTGTTTAGAAATTTGTTGTATAGTTGGTTCTGGAGTAGAAACAGCAGCAACAGGTTGTATTGGAACTAGTGGCGGAACTGGTATGCTTTCAGTCACAGTCATTGTTGAATCAATCTGGCTTTTTCGTTTAGAAGCCCTTGTAGCTGGCGCTTCGATAGGCGGTAAGGTAATCACGCGACCATCTTTTCGGACTATCTCTATAGGATCTTTCCGTGGAACTGCACTCTTGACTGCTACCTTTGGTTGTGGTGGTGTATACAGACTGGGAGGCTGTGTCTGCTGATAAGATGTGGGTGGTGCAGGGGTCTTGGGTGCAACTGTATCAACTTTACCCAATACTTGTTTATCTATCACTTCTTGTAGATTTTCCGAACTTTCCACTAACCTTGCTACATGCAATAGTAAATCTTCTGTAAGTCCATCTTCTTCTGGTTGTAAGCCACCAAGTAAATCTAATGTTGGGGAAAGTGGTCCAGCTAGTCCAGGACTACTAATCACATTAGCATTAGATATACTTGGTTGAACCTTCATAGACTGAGGTGCAGTATCTTGAAGTATCTGGGCTAAGCTTGCATCATCAAGTTGGGGTATAAGATCATAGTTTTTAGTAGTTTTTTCAGCAACATTCCCAATTATCTTTGTTGGTTTAGCATAAGTCTTTTGAGCGGTCATAGGTTTCAATTCATTCATGTCAGATTTGGAAACCACTGGTTGACTAACAACAGGTTTAAGTTCATTTGCTTCAATAGGCTTAACAATTTCATTAACTTTTTTACTGGGTAACACAGGTTCTTTATCTGATTTAGCTTGAATTTTATTCTCAGTGGATACTCTTCTTATAACATCTGGGGTTGAAAATAGTGAAGTCATATCTGATATGAGAGCGTTCTCATGAGCAGGCTTTTTCTTTCCTTTTTTATTCACCCTTGGAACCCTAGGTGTGTACTTAGTTTGCCTAAGAACAGACGAAACCATTTGTAACTTAGTAGCTGGAATCATTTTATCTAAATCCATTGGCGTCTTATCAAGCATTGAATTTTTATTTAATAGCTTCTCTTTAATGTCTTTTCTAATCATGTTTTTATTGATTTTTAGTTTGGATGCTAATTTAGGGTCTATACTTTGCACCTTTGCACCTTTAACATTATGCAGATTCTTCAATATCCTTGGTTTGGATTTTAGCTTTCTTAATTTTAGTGGACCCGATTTTTCTTTTGAGTCTTTATAATCTGAATCAGAATCTCTATCAGGAATACTATCACCAGAAGAACTAGCAGACGAAGATTCTGTATTTTCTTCAGATTTTGCAATTTCATGTTTCTGCGATTCATTTACTACTTTAGTTTTAGTTAAGACAGGCAAAGGCTTAGTAAGAACATCATTTCCTTTGAAAATAATACCAGGTTCAGCCGAATTAATTAATATTTTCTTTCCTTTGGGTATGATTTGTTGTTCTAATATGGTGATTTTTTTATTATTTGCTACAGGTTTTGGTGGTGGAGTGTGTGTAATCTCTATCACTGGATCATCATAAGATGCATAAGAATCACTCTTTTGTGGCAATACCTGGCTTGGTGATGTGAGAGGTGTATAGCAATGATCATTTTGAAACCCAACCAAACTGTTTTCTCTCGTCTCTATTCTTAGCGACTGTAACATTTCTGCACCACTATCTGTAATAGCATTATTTTACTTATTAATGACTTGTAATAAGAATAAATTAAGTACATCACAATATAAAATAAATTTATTGGATTATTATTAAAGTACCATATTTTATAATGCTGTCTGGTTCATTGTAATAACTATCCACAGACAGTGTAACATGGGGCACTTTATCATCTTCATTTTCTGAATCAGTAGCATCATCAGGGCGGCCTTCATGACCAACCCGGACTACACTAATTCCTGCAGCCTGAGATCCATCACTCCCTAAACAATATAGATAGTACTAGGATTGTATTATTGTTAAAAAAAACAAAGCCAAGCTAGTAAATATTTTGGCGGGAAATTATATTAATCTTGTTGAGAGATAAGATTTAGGATAAAAAACCCCCAAAGATCGTAAAAAATATTTTGTACTTTACATAGTAAGTTTCTAAAGCAAGCTTAATATTTACAGAAATATAATATTTGAGAAAATGTGAAATATTTAAAGAAATGTCATTAAATACTGCTTAAAACATATTGATGTTATCTTAGCAACGAAGGATGAGATAATACACTTAATTTGTGACATTAATTTTAATAATAGCTTACCCATTAGTGTACCAAGCAAGTTTTGATCTACGGACAAGGATCCGTCCTTGTTTACAATAACAACTACAGAACTGTCGGTTTTGGTAGATGGTCCATTAAGGTCCGTATAGTTAGTTATCACTGTATTAGACATTTTTCATCACAATTTATGCAACTAGCTTTATGCAAGCCCTCTATTTTTAGCTTCTTTTGAACACACATGCTATCGCGTCTATCTATAAACACACTCGAGTCCTGACGCCATTTTGGAATCAATCTAACAAGAAACTGCGCGCGGTGTAATAATTACACAAGCATATACAAATACATAGTGGTTTTCTTATAAATGTAGTCAATAATAGTTCCATGAAATTTATGAATATAGAAAAATTAAGAACCGAATTGGCCATACATAAACATTTGCGTTTAAAGCAAAATAATACGCACACCGAATACTCTTCACAGATAAACAAATTACAAAATGATAGACCAAGACAAGAACAACAAGATTGACAGACTTCAAACAGAATAAAAATAAAAAATATATAGAATATGTTGCGTGTTTAAAAGTTTTAAACGTCTAAAATATGAAATCCAATAATTAATACTTTAATAAACTAGAAATAAAAAATGCTTGCCATTAACTATTAAATATTTTTTCTTGTGTTAAGCTATCACCAAGTGTCTTAAGTTACTTGGCGTCTGTTAAGTTGGGTTTAATGAGTTTCATGAAACTATTTTATATATACAGTGTTATGACGTATGTTTCAAAGCAATAGTACGGCCTTGGCAGTAAAACCGACTCGTGGTATGACAGCAATTAAATGGCGGCGTGACTATAAATGTAAGGCCGGCATAAAACCAATTAAACAACAATCCGTTTTAAACTAAAAATCCCGTTTAAAACCCAAATAAATCATTTTTTTCAGTTTAAAACGATTGGTGTTGATAACTATGTTTTTCTTAATTATTACTACATTTTCTTGATTTTACTGAGGTAGGGATATAACGGAGTACCTATAAACTGAGTAAAGATTTTTTATATGTGTGTTATACTAATATTGATATACTTAGCGGGTTTAGTTCTAGTTGGTCCGTTCCAGAGTAGTAGTGTTCTGTGGTCCGACCAAGCATAGGTTTTACCTACCTATAAATAAGCTATAAAAACTCTATTAATAAGTCAAAAACTCTGTGTTGGTAAATAAACATTTTTTTCATTGTTTTCCAACGATATAAATAATCAATTTGATTCGTTTTAAAACCAATCTTACACTCTAGCACTAGTGTGTGTATATGTAGGTATACCTAAATACTTAAGTTTTAGTGTACGAGTAGTATAGTAGTGTAGTAGGTAAAGTATGTAGGCACTCTCTGTTGATTTTCTATAAACTAATTAAAACGAAAAATGACGTCAAGTGACCAAAAATTGCCCACAATGAAGTGTAAAACACAGTTCTTTTATTTTTGTAGGCGAGTTTTCAACCGTTTAAAATTATTTATTTGTGGTTTACTACGGCAACATCTTATTTAAAACGTTTTAAATCGGTTGTTTTACATCATTCATAAAAAAACACGTAGGGATTTTTTTCATATTTCCCACTGGCAAGTATAAATTAAAAGCTCTGAGTTGTCAAGTCAGGCAGCACAGGCTTCTGTCCTTGTGACTTGTGGACACTGTCAACAATTTGACCACGAGTATATTGGTTATTATATTTTTCAAATAGTTAACAATAATCACAAAGTAACCATGAGCTACTCAAAGTTTGATCTTACCTTTAAAATTGGTCAATATTTAGACAGGCATCTTGTGTTTCCGCTGTTAGAATTTTTAGCAGCTAAAGAGGTATGTCCACAATCTTTCTTTACTACAGTGAAATATATATTATTTATATATATATATATATATTTTCATTTACACTCAATCTCCTAATTTAATTATGTTATCAAATTATTGGACAAAACATTTAACTAACTTTTCTAATTTACTTAAAAGTTGAGTGTATAACCAGTGATACAAAGTTTTTTTTTCAGACCTATGATCAATCCGAGCTTTTACAAGCCAAATTGGAAATTTTAAGTAAGACAAACATGATTGATTACGTTATTGATATAAGACGGATGCTCTACCCTGATGAAGATACCCCAGAGGTAAGTTTCTTATATGTTTCATTAGCTGATAGGTATTAAGACTGTTTGGTAGTTGATCTAGAAATACTGTCTGTGTTGGAGCATTTCCTTTTGCTGGGTTTATCTAGGTTAATATTATTCTCATCTAAAAAAAACTATACATGGGTATACACACTTTTTTCAATTATATTGTAATATGTAATTATTTCTGTTATCATAAAAAGAATTCATTAATTTCTGCCCACAGTAGTTAATAATATTAGTTATATTATTGTAATTAATTATTTTTAAGCAATGTACTTGACATTGCATATTTGGCAGGTGGGGCATTTCACTTGAAATGCTCCAGGTGCTAACTTAAAATACTAATGAAATGGTTAAACAACTTTTTTTCCCAGGAAATTAAGTCTAGAAGAGGATTTGTATTATCTCAACTACAAGAACTTCAAGATGCTGTTGAACCTGTTTTGAAACTAATGCAGCGAGATGATGTTATGAAAACAGTCGAGACTATGAGAGATCCAAAAACACTTATAAACTATCTCACAACCAACAAAGAGTTTGAGGTAGATTATATATTTTATGCATTATTTTGTTAAATAAAATAATTATATATTATTTATTAACAATTATTCCCAAATTTTTTACAGTTTAAAATAGAGATGATAGACAGCATGTACCGGTTAGCAAAATATCGCTATGAGTGTGGTAATTATGTTGAGTCAGCTTCATACCTATATTTCTGTCAGTTAGTGATGTCTCCCACTGATAAGGTAAGAAATTGTTCTTGTATTTAAGTAACTGAATGTGCACTTTACTTAATCAAATATTCAATATTAATCTAATATGAAGTGATATTTAGAGGCCAATGTAATACTTTCTTAGATTTATGTGAATACTTGACATTTTAAATAAAACTATCTTTCTGGATTTTTTCGCGAATTTATTTTGATTTTTGGTTCCCGACGACGGGAGAAACTCTCCCGTGTCCATGATTGCTGTAAAGCATTCGAAACGTCAGAAACCAAAAATAAAAAAAAAATCTAAATAAATTCGCGAAAAAATCCGAAAAGATAGTTTTATTTAAAATAGAGGCCAATGTGTTTGTTAAACATATTTGATCAATACCTATACTAATAATTTATTTTATTAATTGTATAGAATAAAAATAAAAATAAATATATAAACTATTGTTTGTATTTTAACCAAAACAAATAAATTACTTGTATATCTTTTTAATAATAAAATATACACTGTAAGGATAGGCTTTAATGTTTGCTATATAGAAATTCTTAGACTAATCAATTTAAATTCCTGTTGTTGCTGGCATATCCTGAAATGATACATTTTTTTATTGTAATTGAAGTAATTTTATGGATAATAAATAATAATCTATATATCCATCTTTACTAATATTATAAATGTGAAAGTGTGTTAGTTTGACCTTCTTTCGTATGAGTGACGAATTGGCGTGATTTTTTGTGTGAAAAAAGTTGGAGGACTGAAGAGTGATATAGGTTATTTTTTACCGCGGGAGATTATTTCATTCCTACGGGTAAACACATTATAATACAACCCACAACAACTTATCATATCTATGTATATATGTATATAGTCTATCTATTCCATACTAACCATTAAAACGTTAGGTATGTTAGGGATGAACCCGAGCACAGATAGGGTCGCTTGTAATATAATAATAATATGATATTAGGGGCCATTCATTAATTACGTAAGGACAATTTTGGCAATTCTTGAACCTCCCCCCCTCCCCTCCCCACCCCCATCCAAGAGCACATAAGATTTCTGGGACTCTCCCCTCCCCTTTCTTAAGTAAGATTTTATCTGGTTTTAGAAAAATATATAACACCCTAAAACTGATAATTTGACGTAAATCAAAGATTTTTATTTTTGAAATTCTACATTAAAAAGAAAAAATAGATCTCAACGTTATTTTCGCCAACTCTTAGCTCTCAGATATCTAAAACTCTATGTTGTATATCGCACATTTCGACTTATAAAATATTCCGTAAGAATGGCTTTTACCCCCCTCCCAAGATACGGGCATGTAGAGATTGTGAGAACCTCCCTTCCCTCTCAGGACCCTTACGTAATTAATGAATGGGCCCTTAAAACTTACAATATTGTATTGTATTCCATTGTCGCAATGAGGATGGTATTGATGTCTGTGCTCTTGAAGCTGTACCATTGCATTAAACCACTGCCCACAAATTTCGCATTGATAAACAAATAGAGGTGGAAATGAACAGTTATTGTCATTAGATGGCTTTGGTATAAAATGACACATTTTGTACCTTGGGAAAATAAAAGATATAAAAACTTATTAGTGAATCGTTTTATCATTTTTTTCATTATCAACCATTTCATTTATAGAGTACACTTACCTATGGTTATATAATTGGTCATAATTTCTAAACTTTCTGTCACAAGCATTACAGAGCAACAATTTGGGTAAAGTGAACTGGTAATACATTTTGAGCCACATACATGCCACCCAGTGTTGTTCTGCAGTTTTGTAGCATGAAAACGCAATATCGCAAGCGTTACATTCGTAATTATTTGTCACAGTATGCAATTTCAAATGCCTCAACAATCTAGGTATACTAGTGAATACTTTCTCACAGAATTCACATTGTAATAGGGAAGACGTTTTTATTTCGCGGACGCAGTCAATATTATCGTCTCTACAGCATTGCTTTGCGTGCTCCATAGCCAAATCTTGTTGGGGCCAAACTTGAAAGCATTCAGTGCATGTCCAAACTTGTTGCCACCGTGGCTGCGTATCGAAACAAGCGTGTCTTACAGCATAATGCCTTCGGAGACCAGTTTCATAGACAAAACACTTTCCACACTCATTACAAGGATACGAGCGCAATATTTTTGGATTATTTATATCTCTCTTTTTAGTGTAATTCAATGTCCTATTGAGTATGTGAATGTTCTCCATTATACGAGCGTTGTTTTCCTTCACCCTCTCCAGACTGTATTCAAGTGGATTCAGTGTATCACTCATGTCATTAACAAACGACGAGGATTTAAAATACTTTTTAAACCGTTCTTCACTTTCGTCAATATCACGTAGAGTCATATATGATTCTAAATGTTCGTTATAAAGTTTATTAGGTTCATAATCATATAAACGGTTTTCCATATTTGATCCGTTTTTGTTGGTTTCTTCCAATTTCAATTCTATTGGTTTAGTTACAAAAATATTATTGAAGTTACTATCTGATTTATCAACTTTCTGTGCACAAGAATCTAGATCTAATAAACTTGAATTTTCTTCAGAAATCATTTTAACTACCAAGCGTGATTTATCTTTGTCCTTCTTTTTCAGCTCACTAATACCGTTTTGCCATTGACTAATTATTTTTACATCACCGTCTTTTTCAATTAATATATTTAATGATTTATAATCACTTTCGTTTTCAAACTTGTGAACTATTAATTTAGCTGACATTTTTGTAAATGACGCAATTATGAATAATGTCACTTATCTCATTGAATTTAATCTTCAGAAAGTAAAATGACAATTTTCTAAAATCATAACAAAGAAGTTTGAATGTGTATAAAAACTTTAAATGCAGAATCATTTTATAATTTTCAGAACTATCTATCAGTTCTGTGGGGTAAATTAGCGAGCGAAATTCTTGTGCAAAATTGGGATGCTGCACTCGATGATTTGACTAAATTACGCGAGTTCATCGACAATGGCGGCGCGGGTGCGACCGCGACTAACATGCAGGCGCTCCAGCAACGCACTTGGCTGGTCCACTGGTCTCTCTTCGTGTTCTTCAACCATGTGAAGGGACGCGATCTCATCATTGAAATGTTCTTGTATAAGCCTTTGTAAGTCATGTTTTTTTCTAATTAATGTTATGATTGTTTTGTTATTTCAAACCTACACTATTACATTAAAAAATACAAAAAAAGTGGTTCTCAATTTGTCGGAATCTTTTTTTTTTATGTATGTTCACCGATTACTCGAAGACGCCTGAACCGATTTGGATTTTTTTTCCAAGGGGTATACTTCCCAGGTGGTCCCTTATAAATTTTAACGAAATCGGTGAAGCGTCTTTATTAAATCAACAAATAAATATTTTTTTTTTTTAAATTGATTAATCTAACATGTTATTAAAAAACTTTCTTCTAACAAATTACCTGCTTATTACGTCTACACTAAAAATTGACAAATAAATACTTAAAAAAGAAAAAAAAACCGACTTCCAGGCACAAAAATGTAAAAAACAACTAAACGGTGGTTTTCATTTAGAATAGACTTCGAAAATATCTGATAAGGTATCTATTCTAAATGAAAACCCCCGTTTAGTTTTTTTGTGCCTGGAAGTCGTTTTTTTTTTAAGTTTTTATACATATTTACAATTTAAATATTAGCGCTCGGATGAGTCCCTATGTGCCTAAGAGTAGCCGTTCAGCCGTTTCAGATTGAAGGAATGCCAAATAAACATATACATACATACATACATATACGTAATAGTAAACAGATTTTTTTAAGATAACGTCACTTTTACTAACAGTTTCATTTATGTAGCCGATTAACTACAGATTGTTGTTTTTCTAGATATTTGAATGCCATTCAGACTATGTGTCCCCACATTCTGCGCTACTTAGCCACCGCTGTTATCATCAACCGATCTCGTAGAAACGCCCTGAAGGATCTCGTCAAAGTAATTCAGCAGGAAGCCTATACTTACAGGTGTGTGAATTGTTAAAATTTGTATTTCATTTACATTGGTTTTGAAATAAAGCCGCAGCTTATGAACAAACAAATGTAATTTCTCTATTGCATATTTGTTTTAGAAAGACAAGTTTTTGTATAAGATAGATTGATTAAAAAGATACTGTTGTTATATAATCTCGAACTCTTAATGCTGCCTAAAAAGGTAAAATAAATGATAATCTATACATATAATAAAATTGTAACTTAGCGGAATCTGTACATTAAATATTTTTTGGAATATCTTATTGAAATAAACATTATTATCGATACAGAGGTCGAATTTATAGTTTTTAGAATTTTTGTCTGTCTGTTACCGCATCACAGAAAAACCACTAGAGGGATTTTGATGAAATTTGGTATGGTGATAGCTGGTTATCCGGGTCAACATATAGGATACTTTTTACCGCGGGGAAATATCTCATTTCTGAGAAAAAATACAAAAACTGCAATGTAAGAGTATACTAATATGTAAAACCTAAGAATTTGGTTTTTGGTCATCTGAACGCGGGCGGAGCCGCGGGCAATACTAGTTATATATAATTTCATTATTTTCAGGGACCCAATAACAGAATTCATAGAACATTTATATGTCAACTTCGACTTTGAAGCGGCGCGCAGGAAATTAAACCAGTGCCAAGCGGTGCTGTTAACGGACTTCTTCTTGATCGCTTGTCTCGACGAATTCGTAGAAAACGCTCGTCTCATGATCTTCGAGACTTTCTGTCGTATTCATCAAGTAATCAGCATTGGGTAAGATATTTTTATATAATAACAATGTCCTGATCAAGTTCGGTCACGGCGTCCATTGTCATAGATACCACACGCACATTTCTTGTACTCTTGAAATCGGATGGGCTAGTGAGATGAGACGTGAGAGTTCTTTACGGACTCTTCGAGGCACAGGAGTGTAACCATTAACTTCTGAACTTTAACTGGTTTTTTACATAGAAAATCTTAATAATTATTGCCCGATTAAGAACTCGTACCCGTCCTGGGTAATTTGCGGCTATACTTCCTAGTATATGGATAGTATTAAAGTCGAATATTCCTTTGCGAATCTTCGCGAACTGTGAATCGTTTTTTACCGACTTCAAAAAAAGGAGGTTATCAATTCGACACGTTTGTATGTGAATATTATTGTAACTGCAAAATATTTAGTTATGATAATAATCTAGTAGGGCTTCCTAACATAATTAAAATATTATGTATTAATTTGTAATATATTTATATGTATCGAAATAGATTTGCTTTGCTTTGTATCGGCTGGCACCGACTTCGAATATATTTGGTTAGGCATCTATAGTAAATGAAAACTAGCAATCAGTTATTTTTTTTCTTTTAGTGCATTTTTTTAAGTCCGTTTTTTAAAGTTTTCCATTTTTAGTGTAGTCATAGTAGTAACATCATAAAAACAAAGTATTTTAAAAATTCAGGAGGAGAAAAATAAATTATCTCCTATTTTCTACATTTAGGGGTGGATTTTTATTAATTTAAAAGAAACCATTTCGGAAAAAAAATCTTTCAAACAAAAAAGAATTTTGTAGGTAAATCCGTTTATATATGACGGAGTTATGCCCGAACATACATAAAAATATATAAATATCCAAATTGAGAACCTAATTCTTTTAAAAAAATCTGTTCTGTAAGTCTGTTAAAAAAATAACTAAGTATGTAAATTAATTATGTATAAGTATGTATCATTATAACAATAAACACGGATAAATAATGAGTAATTTTTTTCTTTTAGGATGTTAGCGGAAAATCTAAACATGCAGCCTGATGAGGCGGAATGTTGGATAGTCAACTTGATCCGCAATGCCAGGCTGGACGCCAAGATAGACTCCAAGCTGGGGCACGTGGTGATGGGCGCGCAGCCCCTGTCCCCCTACCAGCAGCTGGTGGAGAGGATAGACACCCTCGCGGTCAGGTCCGAGGCCTTGACGTCGCTGGTCGAGAGGAAACAGAAGGCGCGTAATCAAGATGTAAGTGATTATATATATTTTTTATTCGACTACGGCGAATGTCCGAAAGGAATGTCGTTTGTAAATGAGTAATGTTGTTTCTGTCACCTTTTATTTATGTTTTAAGTCCGTAAGTTTTTTTGTTTTTGTAAACGATTTTATGTTGTATTTATTTTATTTAGCAAAAGCTAGTTGTAGTAAGTTTTTTGATCAACTTCAAAAAATTGAGAATTCAAAAGAGTGAGAATTCACCCAGTATATATTATGTAATATTTTCGTATTGAATTTGTTCTCTATTAGGCATAAACAATTATTTCAATATAACTCAGAAACTTTTGACTAAATTCCAATAACTCCTCTTTTACTGGTGTGAGAACCTTTACAACAGAGTGTAAACATTTTTAAATATAATTGATTTTTGTTCTTTATGAAGTATTGAATGTTATGGTATAATGGTTATTATGGATTTTCTTATTACAAACCTAAAAAAAAAATTAATAACTATTGTCAATATAACTTAAATTAATTTTTTTATTTATTTAATTTTTAATCATTTTTCAGATTCGCTGGGGAGCGCAAGAGTTTTAGCGACCCATATGAATGAATATTTTGTAAGCCTTTTGTAAATGAAAAATTTTAATAAACATAAATTAAACTAAAATTTTGTTTTACATTGCTTTACATAATATAAATATGTATGATGTACACAAACAAGAGGCAAAAATATAAACACCCAATTAGCATAATTTCTTAGAAAGGCAATTAAATCTATACATATAATAAAATTGTAACTAAATCGAATACATTAAATATTTTTTGGAAAATCTTATTGAAATAGACATTATTATCGATACAGAGATCGAATCTAAAATTTTTAGAACTTTTGTCTGTCTGTCTGTTACCGCATTACGGAAAAACCACTGGAGGGATTTTGGTGAAATTCGGTATGATAGCTGGTTATCCAAGTCAACATATAGGATACTTTTTATTGCGGGAAAATATCTCATTTCTGAGAAATCTGTACTAAACGTTAGAATGGAGCGGAGCGAGGGTGAGTCGTTAGTCTAAGATATAAATATAACTTCTAATGTTTATCCCAATTCAAACATACACCTAGTAGTTTTATTTTAGTAAACATGGTACTTATGTCATCTGCAGGTGGTTATGTCAGAATCACTGGCCAATAGTAATAAGAACTTAACTGAACTTTTCCATTATTATTAAAGAATTGCAATACTATTGCAGTCAAGTATGATGCCCTGATGCAACAACAGGCTTTATCATATAGGACTCCTGGCCAATTATTATTTTTATTAAACTAGAAGTGCTGTCACATTCCATAATGCTTCCTTTCAAATACCAGACACAACACCTGTAGCACACTTCACAATATACTAAATGATTATTAGCATTTCTAATATAAGACAATTATTCAGGTATTTAAATTTTTTGTATTAAACTAATAATAATTTAAAATAAAATATATTATTAATTTAATGGGAGTCAATAAAAAGTGTTAAGTAGATCATTATATGGTTTATTTTCACATTTATTATTAAAGAATTATACTATTCTACAGGCTTAATTGTTATGAATCTAGACAAAATAAAGGCAACCAAAATTGTAGACAAAACAAATATAACAACAAAAATATAGAATGTGTCTTCTGAAAATACATCTGTAAAAGCTGGTATTTGATTATATATTTCTTCTACAACGTGAAGGTTCCCTTTGGTTGATTTTGTCATTTTCACTTCTTTTTGCTTTTCTTCTTCTCCAATTTTGTTTGTATTGTGTTTGTTATTTGCTCTTCTGGTGCTAGAGATGATATGTGTTTGTTTAATAACTGAAGGAGCTCCAAACAGGTCAAATTACCACTTTTAAATGTTACCTTGTTGATTTTCACAGTTTCTAAAAGTAAATTATAAAACTATTATATTCCAAAAATATTTTAATGTCTTAAAAGTTAGCCTAAGGACTGATTAGTGAATAAAAGGTTGAGTTTTAACCAAATAGGTAGTGTTTGTTAGTAACTCAGGGAGCTTAGCATTTTAGCTATGGACAATTTTCCATAAAAAATATTTAATTAATGATAATTCTAAGCAGTAAGCAGTGAGGTATGTGCCTAATTGGTACTTCTTACAGTCTAAGAGATTACAGGATATAGGATGAATATTCAACCAAAGTATTTCATCATTAGTAGTTTCATTACAAAATTTATACATTTTCTATTTACAAGCAAAAATTTAAAGAAAAACTAGGATTTCTTATGTTTTTTTATGTACTTGCGAGTGTTTTAAAAATGGAAAATCTTACCAGCTATTGAAGGGACAATAGCAATGTCAACTGTAGGCTCACTGCGATCACATACAACTTCTGTTTTTAGAGCACAATTAGGATTCGTTAAACTAATTTTTGGTGAGCTTAAATAATGTAAGAAGTTTCTGAAAGAAAATATTAGAAAATCAATTTTTCATTATAACCTACGAATTAAAATATCCGACGGTAAAAAATATATAGGTACCGCTCATTACTATTAATATATGTACAACATTATCACTAAATAAGGGAAGATTAAAATATTTAAACAAACCATACCTAGTGTGTGTAACATTTTCACTAAAAGGATCAAATTTTACGGTTATTCGCTTTGCAGCCTTAAGATTAACAGCTCGTAATTGTTTTCCAATTGCGGATACTACACCTCCAGAGCGTCGTATAGTACCACTATAAGGGATAGACATTTTCTTTCTGGAAAATGGGAAAGATTCAGAAAATTGATCTTTACCATGAAGCTAGAATAAAGGTGGAGTGGTTACTGAATGAATCCAAAGTGTGCCAAAATATTTGACATTAAATAAACTATAAAGGATTCCTTTCTTTCTCTACTGAGTAGGGTGACTACAAATTCTTTTTTGATTTTTAAATAATTTTTAATGATCATATCATATTACCATAGTTATTAATTTGGCGATTATAGTTAATCATTTTTAGAAACGTATATGAACTAGATACAATAATTTATCTTCATCGTATATAATAAAGTATCAAATTTGTAGAACTTTCGCTTCGAATCCTCTAACTATACGTAAAAATTAAAATTAAAAATAGGTATAAATTTTGTTTGGACAAAATTTTGAGAGTTGGAATATTTTAGTAAATCACTGACTGATTATTGATTAATCTGCAAACACAAAATATTTTGCGGTAAGCCATTACTTAATAACTAATAAGTATTTAATTGTTATGACAAAGTTAAAGGTTTTTACAAAATTATAAACATAAAGAATAATAATAAAATTTATTTGATCTTAGTTTAATTGTAAAGGATGTTAAGACGGCTATACTTTTCTAGGTCTGTGACTGTGTTTCACATTATGAAAAATAGAATATTGTCTCTGATTTTAGACGTCAAAATAGCTGAATAAACGTCAATTTGCAGCATAGAGTGCAGTTTACAGCCACATTCATTTATCACATTGTTACAATTTTTAACACGAGGGATTTGTATATTCTTATTTTCAAGTTTTTGTTCATTTAATTATTCCTCAAGATGTACCCCGTTGGCCAACGTAAGCATCTAATCTTGAAATTATTACAGCCACGATTCAGAAAGACAGCATCATCCTTTGTTTGACTGTCCTAAATAATGTTTCGAGGGACATTACAATTTTTAATTATAAAAAAAATTACATTTTCATGTGATATGTAGCAAATATAACAGAAAGGTTGTCTTAAATTTAATTTATATGACAGCTCCAGCGGGGGAGACCAGTGCTGGTGCGGTGGGTGTGTCAGGGGCTGTGAGTGCAGCAGCAGGCACAACAGGTACCGCTCCAGGAGCACCTAGTACCGCGCCAGCAACAGGTGCGCCTCCAGCTGGTGTAACAAGCGGAACAGGCGGACTATCGCTCGTTTCTCCTGCAGCTCCACCACCTCCCGATCTACCTGTTCTAACATGCCCTCGCCGACCTAATTTAGGCCATGAAGGCCGGCCGATTATGCTTCGTGCCAATCATTTTCAAATATCAATGCCAAGGGGATTTGTCCATCATTATGATGTTAATATACAACCTGATAAGTGCCCTAGAAAAGTAAGTAAAATAGCTAACATAATTGCTAAAAACGGTCCCTATGATGTGTTACACTAATGTTTTATTTCAGGTAAATAGAGAAATTGTTGAAACTATGGTACACTGTTACAATAAGATATTTGGTGCTCTAAAGCCTGTATTTGATGGTAGGAACAATTTGTACACAAGAGACCCATTGCCTATTGGCAATGATAGAGTGGAACTGGAAGTTATTTTACCTGGTGAAGGAAAAGATAGAGTATTCCGTGTCACGATTAAATGGGTTGCTCAGGTAAGTTAAAAAATTGGCATTATATATTTATATTCAAATATCATAAATTTGCCTTATATTTCCTTGATAAGGAATAAGGATAAATTGCATTTTTGGTGTAGTTACAGTAAAATACAATAAAACATTTTGTGATTAGGTTTTAGTAGTGAAACTAATGTTATTGTGAATTTTAGGTATCATTATTTGCACTAGAAGAAGCTTTGGAGGGTCGAACAAGACAGATTCCATATGATGCAATCCTTGCTTTGGATGTAGTGATGAGACACTTGCCATCAATGATGTACACTCCAGTTGGCAGATCTTTCTTCTCCTCTCCAGAAGGATATTACCACCCTTTGGGGGGTGGTAGGGAGGTCTGGTTTGGTTTTCATCAGTCCGTTAGGCCAAGTCAGTGGAAAATGATGTTGAATATTGATGGTATGTAATGCTTTATTATATGACAATATAATATTATAAGTGATTATTATATTGATTTAATTAAGAAAAATAATATAATAATAATTGGTTATAATAATCATGTTTAGTTGTTATAGAAGTATATCACTTATCATTATTATAAATTTTCTAAAAATAATATTAATAAATTTATTAGAATATTATTCATATTTTCTATAGAGTCCTTAGACACATTTAGACTATGCCAATGAATGTGAAAATTTGCATGGATGGATATTTGTTAAGAATCATGCTAGAACGGCTGAACGGATCTGGATGAAATTTGGCACAATGATAGATTATAGTCTAGAATAGCAAATAGGGTACTTTTTACCTAAGAAAAATGTATGATTCCCATGGGATAGATTTGTTTATCTTCTTCACCAGAAACGAACCCGAGGAAAGCGAGGGTGAGCCTCTAGTATTTTATAATATGACTAGCATTGCCCGCGGCTCCGCACGCGTTAGATGACCAAAAACCAAATTCTTAGGTTTTACATATTAGTCTACTCTTACAATGCAGTTTTTGTATTTTTTCTCAGAAATAAGATATTTTCCCGCGGTAAAAAGTATCCTATGTATTGACCTGGCTAAGCTATCACCATACCAAATTTCAGTAAAACCCTTCCAGTGGTTTTTCTGTGATGCGGTAACAGACAGGCAGACAAAAATTCTAAAAACTATAGATTCGGCCTCTGTATCGATAATAATGTCTATTTCAATAAGATTTTCCAAAAAATATTAAATGTACAGATTCAACTTAGTTACAATTTTATTATATGTATAGACTGACCCAACTATACCTGTTTTTACACATGATCAACTGTATATATCATACTGTTATGTCTATGATACACTCATATCTTTAGACAAATAATATATAATTGTTTACTGTGTATTACTATTATATTTTTTGAAGGAAAATACTATTAAAATAAAATGTATCAAATATATGGTTAATATTGCAATTTACTTAGTAAGCTTGTTTGTTTGTTAATAGTAATACAAGAAAGAAGCTATTTAAGGAAGTGGAGTTTATCATTATTACACATATAGAATACTAGCATTGCCCGCGGCTCCGCTCGTGTTCAGATGTTCAAAAATCAAATTCTTAGGTTTTACATATTAGTATACTCTTACATTGCAGTTTTTGTATTTTTTCTTAGAAATGAGACAATTTCCCGTGGTAAAAAGTATCCTATATATTGACCAGAATAACCAGCTATCACCATACTAAATTTCATCAAAATCCTTCCAGTAGTTTTTCTGTGATATGGTAACAGACAGACAGACAAAAATTCTAAAAACTATAGATTCGACCTCTATCGATAATAATGTTTATTTCAATAAGATTTTCCAAAAAATACTTTAGGTTCAGATTTGGCTTAGTTACAATTTTATGATATGTATAAAAGACAAATAGTAAACTTATCTATTATTTACTTTTTCAGTGTCTGCAACTGCATTTTACAAAGCCCAACCAGTTATAGAGTTCATGTGTGAAGTATTAGATATAAGAGATATAAATGAACAGAGAAAGCCTTTGACAGATTCTCAAAGAGTTAAATTTACCAAAGAAATAAAGGGACTCAAGATTGAAATAACCCATTGTGGGACTATGAAGAGAAAATATAGAGTATGTAATGTTACTCGGAGACCAGCACAAATGCAATCGTGAGTTTTCTAAATCCTGATATGCTATTATAAATAGTTTGAAAAATATGATATAAAAATTATTAAATTAAAATTGCATTTAATTAATTTAAAATTTGTATTAACTTAATTGGTTTAATACTTAATTTCACATTTTTCGATAGGATGTCACAGAAACCGGAAATTGAAAAAAAACTATTTTTTAACATTTTTCATCCCCCTCCATTTTTCAGGGGTAGCTGAACAGTTGACAATTATTATGCATTTATTCACAGATTCAATACATTATTACATTAATATTTTTAGTTTTCCTTTGCAACTGGAGAATGGCCAAACAGTAGAATGTACTGTAGCAAAATATTTCCTGGATAAATACAAGATGAAACTCAGATATCCACATCTTCCATGTCTCCAAGTGGGACAAGAACACAAACACACATACTTACCCCTTGAGGTGTGCAACATAGTGCCTGGTCAACGATGTATCAAAAAACTAACTGACATGCAAACATCCACTATGATCAAAGCCACAGCTCGTTCAGCACCTGATAGGTAATATTTACACTTTAAATTATACTTATCATTACTTGTCAATTAATATTAATAAAAAAATCATAAAGTTCTGAGCTTTAAAGATCATTAAATAAAACAACAGTTTATTTATTAAAAAATAAATAATAACAAAATTCTTAAAATAATATAGGTTTTTTCTCTACATTCAAAATTGCTTGAATAAAAAATACATTACTTATAGTAAATAATAATATGTAGTATTCAGCCCTTTTTAATGTCCAACTGCTGTCCCTTTAATATGAGGGGATCATGCCATAGTCCATAACACTGGCCAAGTGCGAGTCGGCGGACTTCACATACTCTTCGAAAATTTGCTAAATTCTCTCAGACATGCAAGTTTTCCTTCGCCGTAAGACAAGTGGTAATTATGTTGCAAATGATATTTTAACATACAAATTTGCCTATATGACAGAGAGCGCGAGATCAACAACCTGGTGCGGCGCGCGAACTTCAACACGGACTTGTACGTGAAGGAGTTTGGACTGACCATCTCCAACAACATGATGGAGGTGCGCGGGCGCGTGCTGCCGCCGCCCAAGCTGCAGTACGGCGGGCGCGTCTCGTCGCTCGGAGGACAGGTAATACTTTTTATTCTTACTGATAACAACACTGAATACACAGACCAGACATAGGAATTTGGATAATATTAAGCTAAATTAAATTGATATTGGTAAAAAGTAATAAAATATCTTTTGAAAAGTGTTATTTTTAGACTAGGCCAGGGCTCGGAACCTGTTCAATGACCGGTTAATTTCGATAATGTAATGGTTCATTCATCGCTCGTTCATTAACCAGTTAATAAAACGGTTATGCCTAGCGAACGGGTACATTCTCAAAATTTATTTTAACCGGTTTATTTCGATCATGGAACCTAAATGCGACAAAAATCGTTTCCGGGTTTTAAGGAACGTAAACGAAATCTTAAACCGAATAACCTTTTGGTTTAGGGTCAATGACCAATTAAAAAATTGTCAATGAAAAATTGAACGGGTTTCAAAGCCCTGGGCTAGTTACATGTGCCCCTGCTTGTCTGGGATAGGAATTTGACATCTATTGAGCTAAATTTACATATGTTAAGGAATAATATTAATATTTTAAACACTGTCACTTTCCATATATCTATGAATTATTAAAATTTTACCATTGCATTGTACGAGTAGATCGCGTTAGGGCTTTTTTAACAAGTTATATAGTTTAGTTTATTTGTTATCAAAAAATATCAATTTTAGTATACTATGTGTGCTGAATTACTACATAATGATAACTATAGTTTAAAGTAATTAATTAAGACGACTTTGACCATTTTTAACGTCCCTTACGCGATAGTGGATCCAAAACGTATTTTTAATACTTTTGAAAACCTCATTAAATTCAAGAGTTACACTATTAACCTCTTGGCTCGATCATCAAATTAACTCGGTGCTATTGTAATATCTGCATTTCGCTTACTTACAATTTGTAATCGATATGACAATATGGGAAAGTTTAAAATAGACCTTTAAATATTTGGTAACATAGTTAATGAGTAACATAGAAACATGTTTCATTCAATGTTTTAATGTCGTTAAAGCTATTACAGCATACCTTTCTATTATTAGCTGACTTGAAAGAAGGAAGAGTTCAGAGTATATGTTCTTTTGTATGTATGTATGTATGTTATACGCAATATTTTCACCAATTGTGAACCGATTATCATAATTAGTTTTTTATAAATATGAATATATTTGACGACACGTTTGGCTCAGTTTGTAGTGACCCTACTTGGTACGCCAGCGGTCGTGGGTTCGAGTCCTGCTGAGGCATTTATTTGTGTGATGAGCACGAATGTTTGTACTCCAGTCATGGGTGTTTATATTTATAATATGTATATATTTGAAGTTATATATTTGCAGTGTATCAATTATCTGGTATCCATAACACAAGCCTCGTAGCTTACCATGGAACTAGATGGTGTTGTGTGTTAATGTCCCAACATATATTATATATATCTTTAAGGATCAAATATCAATTTCAATAAAAAAATCACTTGGAGTCAAATTTTTAAATAAGGTAATTTTAAATTTGATGTACCTACCTACCGTACATTTCATGGTGTCGTGTCGCAATATGATGTAGCAATGTGTACTCCCCGCACAGCAAGCGCTGCCCAACCAGGGCGTGTGGGACATGCGCGGCAAGCAGTTCTTCATGGGCGTGGAGATACGCGTGTGGGCCATCGCCTGTTTCGCGCCGCAGCGGACGGTGCGGGAGGACGCGCTCAAGTCAGTTTCCGTATATTTTTTAACAATTACGCTTCCCTCGAGTGCTTTCTTAGGTGTATAACTGTAGCCTATGTATTCCTCCAGGTCATAGTGTATCTGTTTATTAAATTACATCCAAATCTGTTCAGCCATTTCAGCATGAAAGAGACAAACATCCTCAAACATTCACATTTACACACATTTTAATAGTAGTCCAATAACAAATGAACATGTTCAATTAATTAAAAACGAGGTGTTTATCGAATTTCTTACACATAGGCTATTTTAATCGCGCTGTCGGAGCAACAGGCAAAAACTTGTTATTTATAATATAAGACTAGTATATGCTATGTAATGTTTTTCTTCTTCTAACATCTACATAACCATATGATTTTTTGCAATATCTTAGCCTCTTGTACTTAGCCGTCTAGCGGATTATACTAGTAGTTCTACGAACAGTAGACCTTGCAAACACAAACTGCATTTTGAGGAGCTATTCTGTACATCATCACACCGAAAGTCCTCTTCAGACCTTTACCAAATCTTTATGAGACCAACATGAAGTTACTACCTTTCAAATAAAAAAAGAAGGATCGAAATCGGATCTCATAAGGTGGGCATATCCAGCAGCCCCCTTTTTGCTCCTTTTTGGAGGAAGTACAATCGAGAATCCCGGACGACAAAAAAAAACTGTAAACTCGTAAAATTATTGTAAATACCAAATTTCGTCCAGATCGGTCGTAAAATACGATCTATAGACATCGATCAAAAAAGTACTAGATACACAATCCCATGCAAAAGTTCTCTTAAAACTGTCACCAATTGTGTTTAGGTATTTATTCTAGTTGAAATATAACAACAATGTAAATTGAACCTTAAATGAGATGCTTAAAGTTGTTTTTACAAAAATATGAAAAGCACGCTGTAATGTTCAAATGAGTGCTCGATTCGGTGAGGACATTTTTTGTCGCTGATTGTGTATCTATTACTTTTTTGATCGATGCCTATAGAGTAGTACCAACAAACTGACAGAGGAAAGGAGATTATGCCAGATTTGAAGCAGAGAGGCTTCGCTCGTTTGGTCAATTATCGCATAGAATGACGTCAAGGAGATTGGTCACAAATCAACTATATATTTGCAGGAATTTCACGCAGCAGCTACAGAAGATATCGAACGACGCGGGCATGCCGATCATCGGGCAGCCGTGCTTCTGCAAGTATGCGACGGGGCCGGACCAGGTCGAGCCCATGTTCAAGTATCTCAAGTCTACCTTTGTTCAGCTGCAGCTCGTCGTGGTAGTGCTACCTGGGAAGACACCCGTTTATGGTATGTTTGGGCTTGTTTTTTTTTAAATTATATTTTAACTATTATGTATGTATAATTGTTTCTTTTTTTAAATTGTGATATCGTTTGCTATGTTTAGTTTTTGTCAAATGGAGATGCTTACATTTTTTTTTAAATCTTTGATTGATTGATGGACGACCTTTTAGTTGGTTCATATATCATGAACCAACTAAAAGGTCGTCCATCAAAGTTTTTTAGATTGTCTCGACGTACAGGAATTGTGTTAAGTTATTATTCTGTGTTTAATTTGTTTGTAGGTCAAGAAAAATTATATGTAATAACATGTGTGTTTGGCGTAGGTATACCTAAATAAACAAAATATAGCTTACTAAAATCAGAAAGGCACCAATGGCGCCACAAATATTTAACATACATGTTTTGAGTGAGATTGTGAAAGTGAGAGTGAGAGAGATTGTGAGTGAGTTTTTTACTAATATGTACACATATTTTTACTAAAACTAGAGTAAAATTCGGAATTGAGATATATTATATTCTGAATTAACAAATAAGTTTCTTTTTTATGGATATAGTTACCGCTTACTGGTACTGGCGCTTAATTAGCGGTTCTGGCTAATACAAACTAGTTGTTATATACAAGATCATACATAAATGATGTGCGTCCGTGTGTGTTATCCAGCCGAAGTGAAAAGGGTGGGCGACACAGTGCTGGGCATGGCCACGCAGTGCGTGCAGGCCAAGAACGTGAACAAGACGTCGCCGCAGACGCTCAGCAACCTCTGCCTCAAGATCAACGTCAAGCTCGGCGGTATCAACTCCATACTGGTGCCCTCGCTGCGTCCCAAAGTACGTACATACGATATTGTTAAATATTATGTTATTAGTATATATTTGTAGGTGTATAACATAAATTATGTATATTAAACAAATATAGACCAGTATATTACCAGTATATTACCAGTAGATAGTATACATACTGGTAAAGAGTGCGGTGGTGGGGACGCGAAGTGTGTTATTGTTTGATTATGGTCTCTCTCTATCTCTTTATTTTTTAATTTGTTAGATTTTTGTTTTATTTAATATTATTAATTCCATTATGTTTTGCATCTTCTCTCCTAACTTTGATATATAATATTTTGTAACATTGGAAACTGTTATTGGTTAAGTTTTATAATGAATTTCTGTCCTATATTTTTTGTTTACACTGTTTGTTTCCAAAATAAATAAATAAACTAATCGGTAGGTATTCAACGAGCCCGTGATCTTCCTGGGCGTGGACGTGACGCACCCGCCGGCCGGCGACAACAAGAAGCCGTCCATCGCCGCGGTGGTGGGCTCCATGGACGCGCACCCCTCGCGCTACGCCGCCACCGTGCGCGTGCAGCAACACAGGTAACACATCCTACTTTATATATACATACATAATATATAATGTTACTGTTACTATTTTTTATTATTCGAGTCCTGGGTCGGGCCAAGTTTAGTTATTGAGTCTTCCTGTATAGTAAGTCTCAGTAACAGCCCGGAGTTGGGAAGTTGGCGGTGTTTCACCCCCGTGCCTCGGAGAGCACGTAAAGCCGTCGGTCCTGCGCCTTAACTCTCACCGCGAGTGTCGAGTGGTCGTCCCACCGGAGTATGAGAGTGATAGGAATAGAGTGCACGTTGTGTCTGCGCGTACACTTGTGCACTATAATATCTCCTGCGCAGTTGGCTAGTCTCAATGAGATTGGCCGCCGTAGCCGGAATCGATCAGGAGGACATTATTATTATTATTAATTATTATTATACTAGTTAGTAGTTACTTTACTCTCGTTTGCTTACCGCTAGTGATTAACAATAGCCTATATATTTTTACTCTAGGTTATAGTCTATGTGTGTACTAAACTTCATCCGAATACGTCCAACCATTTTACCGTAAAGGAGTCAGAAACATACGTACATAATAATGTCCACTCATATTTTTCTATTATATTAGAAAATATGTATAAACAAAGTAAATGTTAAATGGAGGTGGATGTAATGTAACCAAAAGATATTTATACTGTTATTTCACTTTAATACTTTAATGTACTTTGGATACAATTTTTGTAATATTGTTTATCTATTCCAATTGGCAGTGGTAGCCCAGTGGTAACGCGCTGGCTTGGGAAACCGAGTGAAGCGGGTTCAAATCCCGGGTCTCGCACCTCTGATATTTTCATGTGCGAATCATTTCTAACATGATTACCACTTGCCTTGCGGTGAAGGAAAACATCTTGAGGAAACCTGCATGTCTGAGAGAACCTATCAAGTTTTCGAAAGACATGTGTAGTCCGCCAACCCGTACTCGGCCAACGTGGTGGACTATGGCTTGATCCCCTACGTATTGAAGGCAGACCCGTGCCCAGCAGAGGGACGTTATGGGCTATTAAGGGCTGAATACATTCCAATTTTATAGTAATTAATTTAAAAAAATTGTACAAAGAGTATCCAAAATAGATTATACTAATAATTATATACAATAGTATTAAGTATTCATGCTTCAATTAATATTAATAATAGTATTAGTTAACGACGTATCCAAAGCACATAAACCAAGTAAATAACAACACCGTAACTGTACAGCATTACTTCCAGACAAGAGATAGTGCACGAGATGAGCAGCATGGTGCAAGAGTTGCTCATAATGTTCTACAAGAGCACGGGCGGGTTCAAGCCGCACCGCATCATCATGTACCGGGACGGCATCTCTGAGGGGCAGTTCATACACGTGCTGCAGCATGAGCTCACGGCAGTGCGGGAGGCCTGCATCAAGGTAACTAAAGATAACAGCTAATCTCTAAAGCAGGGATTCCCAAATTGTTTTGGGCAAGAGACCCCCTTTTCCCAAAATGAACTAATACCTTGGACTTAGCCAAATTACTTTAAAAAATTCTATATGTAGTTTTTTTTTCATATTGATACAAAATACTTGCCAATTTAAAAATGTATAGAATTGTTGGGTTTTTTTAAAAGTACAACAATAATACTTCCTGCTAAAATATTAGTCGTTCTTATAACAAGTTGGTATGTGTAACACAACTTACACAGTAACTTGAAAGTTTCAAATAAGAACTTGTCCTAATTAATAGGGGTCGATTTTTAGACCTCGTCGAACCCCAAAATCAGTTTTCGCTTATGTCGCCCCCTGGGAAACCGATATCGATCACTTTGGGAATCCCTGCTCTACAGGCTATACACTGACTGTTTATTCAAGGTATGTCTTTGAACTTACAGGTCCGATTCAAATGAGTCTTAAATAGCTATGCATTTAATTCCTACATTTTTCAATTTAATTTACCTGTTAATATCTTGCCAATAATTTGACGACAAGTTTGGCTCAGTGTGTAGTGACCCTAGTAATTGCTGTGCCAGCGGTCGCGGGTTCGAGTCCCGCTGGGGGCATTAATTGTGTGATGAGCACGAATGTTTGTACTCTAGTCATGGGTGTTTATATTAACAATATATATTTAAAGTTTATATATATGTAGTATATCAACTATCTGGTATCCATAACACTAGCCTCGTAGCTTTCCATGGAAATAGATGGTGCTGTGTATTAATATTAATGTCCCAACATATTTATTTATTTATAATTATAATATAACAAAGCATACCAATTGAGCACTGATGATTTTGTCAATGACACATAGAATAGAGAAGACACGAAGGAGATTGGTATCATGCATTATTGGAACAATAAAAAGGATTGAATGTTTTCTTTTATATCCCAAATATTTTTTTCTCATTTAATTTTATATAGAATATGAGATATTAAGACTACTTTATCATATCGTCGTGTTTCGAATAAGGAATTAAAATAAAATTTCATATTCAATATCAACAGTTGGAAGCTGAATACAAGCCGGGCATCACATTTATAGTGGTGCAGAAGCGGCACCACACGCGGCTGTTCTGTGCCGACAAGAAGGAGCAGTCGGGCAAGTCCGGCAACATCCCCGCCGGCACCACCGTCGACCTCGGCATCACGCACCCCACGGAGTTCGACTTCTACCTCTGCAGCCACCAGGGCATACAGGTATATATACATACACACATCTCCCCACACACGTGTTCATAGCATACTGTGTCTTAACATTGTGTGAATGAAGAAGAAATTGCAATGATGTTTCAATATAGTTTCTTGAGTAAAACATTGAGATTAAAGTATTAAAGATGTCCACAAAGATGTAGAAATGAAAAGTTTATCGGTATATATTTAGTGTACTGTACGTATGAGGGCATGCCTTGTGGGTGTAATGTTTTGAAAACATCAAGGGTTGAAATATTTTTAAAGTTCACTCGATGTAAATACGTAGTTTAGTGAACTGACTTAAATTTAGTATTTTGTTAAATCATAAATGTTAAAAACACATCAAGAAAGTGATGAAGGAAATAAATATTTTAGGAAGTAACGATTTACCTAATAACATGACGTGTCCGTCCTTCAGGGCACGTCCCGGCCGTCGCACTACCACGTGCTGTGGGACGACAACCACTTCGGGTCGGACGAGCTGCAGTGCCTCACGTACCAGCTGTGCCACACGTACGTGCGCTGCACGCGCTCCGTGTCCATCCCCGCGCCCGCCTACTACGCTCACCTCGTGGCCTTCCGCGCGCGCTACCACCTCGTGGAGAAGGAGCACGACTCGGGCGAGGGCAGCCACCAGTCCGCCTGCAGCGAGGACCGCACGCCCGGCGCCATGGCGCGCGCCATCACCGTGCACGCCGTCACCAAGAAGGTCATGTACTTCGCCTAACGCGAGCGCCACGTGCGCGGCAGCGGCGCGGCGTGACCGGCGCGTGACGACGCCGTGGCGCGGCGCGACCTGACGTGACGTGACGACGCCGTGGCGCGGCGCGACGTGACGTAACGTGACGACGCTGTGGCGCGGTGCGACGTGACGTGACGCGGCAGTATCGCGGCGCCGGCGAGTTATAGTTTTGTTTTCGTATCGATCGTGGCAAATATATTTTCGTTTTAGATACTTAGTTTAGGCGATGAAGTGAACAACCGGTCTCGCCCTTAATGAGAGAGACGATAACTGTAACTGTTGCTTTGTGAGCGCTTTAAACACTGTTATTCAGTCAACTTTGGTTATTCTCGATAGTTATATATGGTACTATTTTTTAAATGCTTTAAACTGTTATTGTGTAATATCGATGGAACACTTATGAGCTTATTTTGTAAAGAAAAGGTTATATAAAAAATTTTAAAATAATATATTCATACCAAGAGGTATTGACAAAATAGTCACTGTGTTGAGTAACTGAAACTATGTGAACTTAAATTTATTACGAGCAATAACGTTTTGTATGTAATAATTTGATGTTTAAAGCCGAACAAACTAACATTCACTCTTGCGATGCGACCGGTTCGAGTGTACATACCGCTGCTGCTATCATACATAAAATATTGGTAAGTAATTTTAAATGAAACTGACATTCGTAACCATATAAGTCTTCATCTTAGATTACATCATCACTTTTCTGTATAATCTATTCGATCTCAGTAAGCGTTCTCAGTCAGCTTCAAGTCATGAATTTTTCATACAAAATTTTTAGGTAGCTTTCTCTCGAATGGTTGCTACGAATAGGCAGATAAGGTTACGAGTGAGCACATGACAGCCAATTATTGTTAGATCGAGTTAAATAAATTTACTATTTTTTATTATAGGTTAAGTTTATTTTTATTTTTTTCAATATTTGTTTGATGAACTTACAAACGCTTTATGTATATAGAATCATAAAATTTGGTTTAATTCTTCATCAGGAGTTTATACATAGCGAGCTATATTTTTTGTTATAATTGTATAACGAAAACCAATGTCATCGTCATGCAGATAATTCTCACTTCGATAGCCAATGTAGTTTAGTTCGTTCGTTCTACGCTACTATTGTAGAACACTTTATTTCTGCAAACATTTAATCGACGACGTCATAAACCAACTTTTGTAATCATTTAAAAATAATGATATATAATATATGTAGTTTCACTTCGCAAATAGTAATGTATTTGATTGAATGACTTCAGATTTATTTGTGAAAGATAATTCATTTATTACATTAATAATATGTTATAATGGTAGTTAATATCATGTTGCTTATACAAGGGAAACAGCGCAACAGCGTATTATAATCTAGGTGTAAGAATAACAAACAAAAAAGCAAGAGTCTTTATAGTTTGAACGTTATTTATAATCTGTATGATAGCAATCTATTCTATACTAAGGAGGGTAGAGGTAAGGAGAACCATCTTACACGGAGACAAGTTGAAAATTTGTCACAACTGTAAGCGGTAAATAACAGTTCAAAAACCCACCAGAGTGGCGCTAGCGTAGCAAGAGGGTACGATATGAATTTACCAATTGTAAACGGAGTGAAGTCTGCTGAGTTGAAAATTTTTTAAATTTTGTGTGACTTGAGTTGTTATAGAAACTAATTACGTAGTTCTAAATAAGTGTAAACTTTAGTAAATATAACCGAAAAAACTGTGGCAATATAAACGCAGAGAGTGCTTTGTTTTTTGTGAACTTTTTATTTTGGCGCTTTATTCAAACTGTACCAATTTGCTGCCGTTGCACCACCCTAATTTAACGCTACTTTATTACTTTTCAACGGACACTTTTTCATCTTCGAGATAGTTCGCCTTAGGTCTACCCTCCAGAATTATACTTATATGTATTAGAAAACTCAAAAAATAATATTATTAAAGAAAAAAATATTAGGCCTTCGTTATTCTGTAGGTACCTAGTAGTGATGTAGTCATATCTTCATAGAAAGGATGGTGGATGACGTTTTTCTAATATTACGATATCTATATTTACAAAAGATTTTTTTTATTTTGTTAAATCACACTTTTTGTATTGATAGATGTGATTTGATAGATGTCACTACGTGTTTGGAATAAAGTATAAACCATTCGATTGGATATAAAGATATTTTTAGTTATAATAAGGTACGTGTTTTAAGCTAAAATTGCTAATAATTTGCTTTTCTATGTTTTCTAAATTTTTTTAACACTTTTCTATACCACTTTCAAAAGCAATTTTTGGCGCCAAAATGGTTTATTTCATTATATATTTCTCATATCTGAATTGTAGTCACGTACTTACTACGAACAAAAGACAGACATTGGACCAATGTAACTTAATAATGGAGATAACTATCGATGTACTAAAATTGAATTATTTGAAAAAAAAATTTACAAAATTGTCAATAAAAACCAACAATAATCCATAAGAGTCCATAAGAGGCATCTTACCATATCTTTCACATTTATAAAACCAATTATTTTGTAACAGCTAGCTAGCTAGCTACATTTATTTGTTTTAAAATATACGAAAAAAACATTACGAATTAATTAGAAAGAGACTATTTACTTATAATGACGACATCGCTTAGTCAAATCACGTTCTTCAAAATCCAAATTTTATTACAAATCTAACTTTTTGTTAGGTCTGAAAATATATAAATACTTTCAATGTTCTAGATCAGATTTAAATTAATTGCCAAATAAAAAAGTATCGTCATCTTCATCTATCGTCTTCGTTTAATACAACTTATGTTTTTGATATTTCTACTTAATGGAATAAAATGATGTATTCAAAAGCCATAATTACTTATACTTTCAACATATTATGCCTTCAAAATACCCATTGTATAGTGCCTAATGTAAATATTTCACTTTCTAAATAGGGAATATGCGTGTGATTTAAATAAAGGTGATTTTTTTATATATATAATCTTTATTGCTTTTGAATTAAACCTATATTAATATATATTTTTTGTAATTTGTGTAATTTCTTTATGATTAAAAAAATAATTACTATAAAGTGCAAATATAGGTGGCAAATTCCAAAGTAGCAAACGCACGCCATTGGTCAGACCGAATATGACGTCAAAGTATTATCTTTACAGCGATTAGCGATTTTGTCGCTACAAATCGAGCATTTCTGTGTACCTATATCATACTTTGACGTCACGCCAAGCGCGCGAAATGACAGGCGTTTAAAGTGTCCATATCGGTATGATATTTTATTCTTTTTTGTAGTAATTTTATAACGATGATATTTATAGTAAAAAAAAAATTAAAAAAATCACGCATATTCCCTAATAAACGATATCCCATAATAGTTACGTAACAAGTAGACTTGCTATATTTTTTTAAGTAGTACCTACACATATGTGACTTATTTGTTTTCAAATTGAAAGCAAATTTTATCGGTGGCAGTGACAGTGGTTTAACAAAAGATTTTTTTTTATAAATTCTGCTTAATTTTTAATACAGAATAAGTATAATATATTTAAGTGTTTATGTTCAGATTCTAACAATTTAGCACTGACGACCGTGTAATAAAATTGTAAACAATCGCACTGTCGCTTCCATCTAATAGATTATATTATATACTTACTGTTAGAACTTTCAAGCATGTTTTAAGTTGAAAGGCTCATTTAAGTGGAGAAAATCTATGCAATTATAGAACAATGTTTAGGCAATAACCGGCAAGCTACGTTATAACTATGAACGTGTAAAATATATGTAGTATGCCATTATTTACTGGACATAATTGCTTCAAGATTTATGTTCAATAATAGCAACTAAGCTAATTTTGTTTGTTATTTTTCGCAATGAACTGTAATCTTGTAAATGAGCCTTCACTTTTTTTATATTTTTTTTAATTATGTTTTTATTTCAAATCTAATTTTATGTAGTCATCAATTTTTGCAACAAATAGCATCCGATTTTATAGCTAAATAGCCAAATATCTTATCGACAAATGAATAATCGAAGAATATGTAACCGCGTTAGATGTAGTCATATAATTTATTTTTAATACAATGGTAAGATTTTAAACAAGGGCCACAATGGTGAATTAGTTCTAAGTGAATTTTAACATCCCTTTAATCAAATGATCTAGAAAGGTAAATGGATCCAAGTTAATATTAAGTAATACTTAATTTTATTTATCTATGCTATCCACAACATTAGAACCTTTACGTAGACAACTTATATTATCACAGTATCATATTCATATATAACATAGAAGATAAACTCTCCGCATGTTAGCGGCGAACTTTGGGGCAATATTTTTTTATAAATTTTTATTACCAATCATGTCTCAATATATAGTACGTGACCTAAGTATAATTCACTCGTTCTGTTTATATTTGAGAAACGGAAAATTTCGACGATTTGACTTCTTTTGATTAATATAATAATAGTATTAGATAATAATGCTACATAAAAATATTGTATATATTGCCAATTTTAAAGCAAACATTGATGTTTGTTATAGTTTGTTGCTACCAATGAATTTCCTGTCGTCTTTTCTGCATATACATATTATACCTAATGAATGTAATTAATAACATATACATTAACATAGCGAAAAAAAACCAGTATGTAATAATAAACTATTTAGATTTTTTTGTAAAGCACTATTGTTGCGATCTCTTTTATATCAATTTCAACAATATTTTTTTTAAATCTAAACGTCTAATCGCAATTAATAATTTTTGTTCAAGCTTTTTATCAATTAGTTTATATTTCATATGAAATCTCACCAATAGCGCTGTTCGTCGGGTAGCAATAATTATAACTATCAATACATAATTAATATGATTATTTTTTTTATCGTCTCAACTGCTATTAAACTTGTGTTAGATTTATGAACCATCTCTTGTTTTTAATACCGAGATGCTTATTAAATGCCGAGGATTAATTCTAGGAATTATTAATTGAAAACTTAATTTTAGTACGTAACATAAGTTTAGTCCAGAATTTGATAAAAATAATTACATTTCTTTAGTCCGATACCAAAAAGACACTCTGGTTCCATGTACCGCTTCTTTGTGATAACAAATATAAATTAATTTCATGTATTTAAGTGTTGATTTTGCTTTTCGTCTTGATAAAAGTACCGTTAGAGGTATTACAAAAGGTCTTATACTTAAAAGGTGTCTGGTTCTGTCATCTTTACAGAGCGGCTATCATGGGAAAAGAGTAGATAATATATGAATTTATAATAAACAAATGATTACCCAATAAAACTGAACTGTGACATTTCTATTATATCGCTGTATCTAAACCATACGGTGTCCTATGATAATCGAGCTGTACCATTTTGTAGAACCTGACTATGATTTGCAAGAACACTCAGCCATCCCCACGACTCATGTCTAACACACACACACACACTCATAGTAAGTAGTATTTGTAGTAGATAGCATATAATTTTTTCTTTATTGCACACAAATTTTATTGTGTAGGCTCCAAGGTTTCGATATAGATTGTAAAATAGATTCCAATTTTCTTCGTGCAGGGTATGCGGATTTAAAATATTGTAATTATTACGCTCAATTTGCGTATGAAATATACTGTTATTTATTATTTATAATAAGTAATAACGAAGAAAACGTTCTGCTTATAAAATTACTGTTATGGTTGGAAATACTTTGTGTTCGCGCATATTATTGCATTTTGTCTCTAATGTAGTTTTGTACACTCTGTAATAAAATGTAAGATCATGATATGTTCACACCATAATTTGTAAGACACATGTGCGTTCATAATCTATGGGAATCACAGATAAGCAGTGTCGCTTAATTCTTTTTTAATACTTACAGCCTTCGGCGCTTAAATGTAATATATGTATTAGGAAACTTGTAATCCCATTGTCACGAATCATTATATTATGTAGATGCCTAAAATTTCAAAATAATTTTATATAAACCCTTTACAAATCTGGAGTAGCTTTAGTAATAAATTTAAAAAAACTTGAATGTTTTAGTGTTTTAACGTCCCTGTATAGTTATTGTAACTTAATGTAAACAAGTCCGCCTTCTTTATTCTGAATTAGACAGTGTACTCGTCCGTTAATGCCAAGATTCGCCTACAATTATAATATACATATCCTAAATAAATCGATGTTCGACCAACTTTTTTTTTTTATTATTTTGACTGTCAAAATTGTAACAAACATTGATTTTGACAATAGGGCATTTGACAACAGAAATTAGGAGAATGCAAGATGTTAGTATTTTTGGCGGCGAGTTTAAAGCTTTGTTAAGAATATAATTATTATGTATCTATTTATATTGCTTAGTAATAGTGTTTACTGTTGTCGTTTAAGTGGGCTTTAATATAATAACACAATTGATCAAATTCCCTATTGACTAAGCATAAAAGAGTTAAATGTAGAGGCTATAACTTTCTTAACGTTTACTCTATAGCTCTATAATAAGTATTCAGTATGTATGCAATATTATTAAAATTTTTATTAAAATAATATTCGGTATAAAATAACAATGGTGTATACTGTATATTATCTCAATGCATTTAGAGCACCAAAATTAAAATAAACGGCAGTATCAATATTCTGTTATTTTTTATATTATTCATTGAAATATTAATAATAAGGTAACGTTTAAGTAGCGTTAAATAACATTGATGGAATAAATAAAACGTATGGGTTCAAATGCAATCTGTTTATGAAATATATTTCATTTTTATTGTCATATTTCCTTGTTTATTGAATTATCTAATAATATTCCATTATATTACAAATACTAGTCTAGTCTATAAGATTTGGGAGCTCCAATTCTATATTAGTCTGAAGTTAGTTGAATGCAAATGAAATGCAAGAGTCCAAAAAAATCAACTCTTGTCTAATACGAAGGTTGGTTCAGAGAAAATTTAATTTACGTAAATAAATTTTTAATTCCTTTCTATTCGTTTGGAAATTTACTAAATAAATATTTAATGATAATAAATGGAATAGCTGTATGAATATGATCGATAAATAGTCGAGTTGCTTAAATATATTTGTAAGAAGAAATATATAATTTTCAATTCAATGTAATTTGAACATACATATTTTAAGAAATGCAAAACAATAATGATATTTAAAACGTATAACTTACAAATAGATAATCTATGTTTGCAATATTTTTTACTATAATATAAAATTGTAAAATATTAAATAGATTAAAATTTTCATTGGCCTATCTACTTCTGTTGTTCACTTTAAGAACTAGAACTACACTTTTACAAAGCAAAAAACTCTTATCAATATTCGATTAAAGGTCCTTCATATAAAAATGTCTTTTTTGGTTTTCACTCTTAGAAAAAAAAACACAATATTTATACATAATTTTATTTATTTACCATTTAAATAGGCATTTAATGTAAATAATGGGATTATTTTAAGTAAAGGAAAGCTAAGCATCTTATAAAAATATTTTCTTTTGAACTGGACTCAACAGACGTCGGCAAGACATCATACAAAGATTTTTAATCGTTATACAGTCACGACATTTTGATTTCAACAAGTATATAATATTTATATAAAAGTGCCCACCGCGAAGCGATTAAATATCTTTCCTTACATTTTCGTCGACTACGATGACATCTTATAAATAAACAGTAACAAACTAATGATTTTTATCGCTAGATGCGCCCTGCACCGTATTTCTACGTCGCCATGGTAACGCAAGACATTTGAGAGACAAATATATAACGTCCCGCTTCAGTTTGATGATTGTTACTAAATAAAATAAATTGTTTTCTATAAAACATTACGGATTTTATAACACATAGTACCTATTAGACCATTTTCATAAGTTTTCCAACTTACAAGAAGGTATTTTATAGATTTTTTGTACGCAAAGTAAATAACTACGAAATATCACATCGCTCACAGTCCAAGAACGAGTGACTGGACGAGTGTACTCATTTAGTTCAGTATGGACACTTTAAAATGCTCTACACACGGTGAGGGCTCATCTATTGATAAAAATCTTTGAAATAAACTCAATAAATATCATATGGAATGCTATCGAGAACCACACGTCGAAGAAGTGATACCATCAATATTCAAGATAAGCATAAGAATACGAAGCCCTTTAGCTCTTACCTTACAATTTGATTCCACGCCGCGTTGTAGGTGTAAAAAGCAAATATAAGCAAATAATCCTAATAAGTAAAATAATTTATTAATACTTTTTTTTTGACAATTTTTAAACAACTTGTATGTATGTTAACAATAAGTATTAAGTACTTTAAAACGAAATCTAAACACACTGTATATAAGACCCTTCAACACAATAATCTTAAATATAAAAGTCAATTATTGTGGGGTTTACAAAGTGTTGAAATATTTTTGCAAAATTGAACTTAGAGGATGGAAGATTCTAGAGCGTTACAATATTCATATAGTTGCTAATATATTTTCCCTGCTTTCTCTGGTTTTATTATTGTCAATAATAAAGTTTATACTTGGAGAAGTTTAAACTATGTATGTATGTAGTACAAATTATCTTACGAAATGAATGTAATTGAAATATGACTCCAATTCGAATGCTCCATTAGCGTTACGCGTAGTCACCTCTACTTGTGTATATGAAGATTAAATTTCTTTATAATAATTGTATAAATGAATTTTATGAACACATTAAGATATTAATTACTTAACTTTAGAAAATTATAAATCTTTATTATATTCTAAAGCTCATTACAATTTTTTTTTCATATAAAAAACATTTGCTTGTGATATTTTCGAGTTGTAACCTTATAGATCAAAGTTAAGCGAAATAAGAAATATTCGTAAAGTATAGAGTATCGATATCGCGGCGTGGGGCGACAGTGGCGGATTTACTATTATTAATAAACTTGTGGCCAAGATGACTGTTCATGATGATTTCTATTGATTAAATTTTAACTCTTCCAAGTAAATTTCTAAGAAATTAATTGTTAACTGTAACGCCGGCGTGTCCGCGGTCGTGGAGGGATTAATTATATATACACTTACACAAAGCGTATCCAATTACAGAGTATATAGACGATATTTCGCTAAAAATGTTAGTGAGACGACAAATTATTATTACAAATAACAAAGTTTACCAACATTTACCATTTATAACCACATGTGACATAACGACGATCAAGTTTGAAATACATATAAAATATAAATCCGCCACTGGGGTGAAGGTGAGGAGAGTGAGTGAAGTGAACGACGAACATTAAGGCAAGGGCTTGTTCTCGGGGATGGTGGGCGAGCCGGCGCCGCTGGCCGCGCGGCTCGCGTCGCGCAGCGCCTCGTCGAAGCTCTGCGTCGAGTTGGACCTAGACGCCACTTTACCCTGAAATATATAATAGCCATAATAAAATATTATATCAAACTAGCGATTTATCATTACTTTGCTCAGGTACATCGTTAGGTAGGGATATTTCAGTCTTAAATTGCACATGACCTATTTGATTCGTGGGGAAACCCCTTTACGGGTGCCAGTGCGCGGGGAGCGCGCGGAGTATGTGGGACGCGGACAGTCTACCCACTACGGTGGTTTCACAAAACCACCACGGTGATCCCGATCGCAAGAGACAGGGCAACAGGATACTACGGGATACGGGGACCTTACTGCAACTTACGTGTTTGTTACAGTTTGGAGAAGGAAATACTTATTTCGAGCTATCTTCTATTTTTTTTATTTATTCTATATTTACTTGTTTAGAAAGTTGCAATAAATATCTCAGTTCACATATTAAAATAATTATGCAAAATGCTACTAGATCATGTGCAGTTTAAGAGCGAAAGATCTCTACCTATGTGTTACTCCAAGCCATAGCTTAACTGTGTACTGTATTCATCCAAATCATGTACTTCATGCTAAAACAGCCGGACGGATAAGTAAAAACATACAAACATTTTTTTTGTGCATTTATAATAGTTGTCCGTTCAACATATATAAGTTCCTGCGGGATGCCATTAGAAGAAAAAAATGTTTTTTCCGTAAATTAGTTTCGCAGTTCAATAACGTCACGCCGGATAAATTGCGTTTTTTTAGGATTCTGCATAGCTTTGGATATATAGAATTCGACACTAATTCGAGAACGGGACTATATAATTATTTATATTTTTTTATGAATAATTGCTTAGAAGGTAATAATTGTGTATTGTTTGCTGTAAAAAATAGAAAGTAATTTATCATGTTCTTTTTCAGCGAAAGATTAGATCTAAAACACTACGCGTTGCGTTCTGTAAATTACCCACTCACTGGTCTGACTAGGCTTTCAAATTACAGCATTGATCGTATTATTGTTAATCTAATAACGCCTTATTTTTCTAGAAGTAGACACTTTGAATTAAAAGAGACAACTAGTTCAAACATTTAATGCCTTGTATCTTAAGCAGGATCAATTCTGCTAATACTTTCTTAGATTCACGCGAATATTTGACATTTTAAATGAAACTATCTTTTCGGATTTTTTCGCGTATTTATTTGGATTTTTGGTTCCCGACATTTCGAATGCTTTACAGCATTCATGGTCACGGGAGAGACGAGGTGTTAGATGTTTCGAAGGTATAGTTGTTACAGACAGCCTAACTACAAGTAACAAAATGAAAATTGCACCTATTGACCATGAATGCTTTAAAGCATTCGAAACGTCGGGAACCAAAAATCCAAATAAATCCGCAAAAAAATCCGAAAAGATAGTTTCATTTAAAATATCAATTCTGCTATTTGTAATGGTAATAAAGGCATTGTATTAACAGTGTGACGTATAGCGTAAGTGTGCTCAATGAACGGTCAATAATATAAGTGCAACACGTAAGGTGTTGCGCACTTATTAATATTTTTGCATGAATGTAAAGTATCGATCGGACTAATTACTTTATTACGTACCTAGCGTGATGTTCGATATGTCAATCGTAATAGTATCGATTTCTTATATCACATTAAATAGTTGTAAAAATTACTAAAAACTATAACACGTAAACAAAATGGCGGGCAATTAGTATTAAAAGGATTAAGAAAACACGCAACTAAGTATACTATTAATATTACAATATATGTACAATGGACACATCAAAATTTTGACGCTACAATTAGAAAGGGAATTTTCAAACAATTACAACAGTCACTTATGTAAGATACTTAACAATAATTCGGTAACTTATTGCACACGCTAATGTGCTTTGTAAAATTTTGCACTAGATCATAAGTTATGTAAGAGTAGTCTTTAATATGTTAAAAAAAATCTTAATATCTCATCATTTAATAAAAAAAAAATTACGCATTTGATATTGACGACACGTTTGTCTCAGTTTGTAGTGACCCTATTTGCTGTACCAACAGTCGCGGGTTCGAGTCACGCTGGGGGTATTCATTCGTGTGACGAGCAGGAATGTTTGTACTCCACTCACGGGTGTTTATATTTATAATATGTATGTATTTAAATTCATATATGTGTAGTGTATCAACTATCTGGTATCCATAACACAAGCCTCGTAGCTTACCATGGAACTAGATGGTGCTGTGTGTTAATGTCCCAACATATTCATTTAATTTTTTATATTAATAACGAAGTGTTCCAGATAATCAACCGTTCATAAAGTCGCTAGGTCTCTACTATCAGTTCAAATGAATGAGCAAATAATTGGAGACATGACTTTCGTTATTATTTCATAGTAATAAATGATAATATAATCAAATAATGTAAACAGAAACAATAACAAAATGGAATCTCAATTTTGATATTGGAACCGAATTTCATTATGTTATGACATTATTCCTTGTTATCGATACATATATGTACATACTAGCAGAGCTCGCGGCTTCGCTCGCGCTAAAACTACAAAAAAACTCGAAAAAGGTAGGTTTCATACAAACTTTCATGCCCTATTTTATGGGATGAATTTCGAAAAATGCTTCAACATGTATTTATTTAATTATATTGAAAAACATTAATACCAAGTTTCAAGTAATTCTGATCATAAAAATTTTCTTGGGTTGTATTATAACCAATTCGTCACTCCGTTTCGACGTGAAAGAAGGACAAACAAACACACGTTCACATTTATACTATTAGTATAGTATGGATGTTTAAGAATCAATATAACAATTTTGATATATTCTGACCTATAAACCTAAGTCCTCAGCAAGCGTCTGCCCCTATTGCCGCTGTGTATGTGCGCACTAATCTTCAAAACTACTAAACGAATTTAGTTTATGCAATTATTATCTGTATGTAAATTTGCTCTAGTATAAGCGTAAACAGTCTATGTATGGACATATAATATTTAATATTTCTACAAAAATTGCTGCGATACATTTTAAATACACAATATTTATAGCGATTGATAAATTCCTTTTTAAATAGACCAGAGACAGCTGTTTCATCATTACGAGAACATAATAGAGGTAAATTTTGGATGATGGTTATATATGTAGTTTAAGAGATGAAAGATAAAAATAAATGACAACAGGAGAATTCTTCTATATCGATTAATAAAATGTATGATTACATTATTAGTTAAACATAACTAACGATATAATCTCGCTTCGCTCGAGTGCGTCCCTAGGTACGATTTTGTTTACATTTGCATGGGTTCTAATTTTTTTACGCGGACCCCTGATTCTTTTTCTAAAATAAAAGTATCCTTATAACATCAGTTTCTGCCGGTGAAAGTCCCGTCAAAATCGATCCAGCCGTTTCAGAAATTAACCGGAACAAACAGACGGACAAAAATTTTAATAATTGTTTTATTCTTATTAGTACCGTATATACTTCCATATCCATTTAGTAAAAAGCTGTTATTTTGACATCACAAAGAGACACTTCAATTTTATTTCTCTATACAGATATACCATAACCTGAAAATTGACAAGAGTTTGTTATGTTATTCAAATGAAAATTTATAAGCGCTCACCTTTACATTTTCATACGCTGAGCCGACCCTCTCCTCGATGGAGCGGAAGGAGTCCGAGTTGCGCATCTGGCCGAGCTTGCTGGACACGCCGGCCGTGATGCCGCCCAGTATCGACGTAGTCTTCTCCGCCGTGGATTTTATCACAGATTCAGTTTTTTGGTATCTGTTTGTCGATTGGTACAATTGATTAACTAATATCAATACTACATCGATTAAATGGTTGAAAATATTGTATAGAATATATGCCTGCCTTATAAGTATTTTTATAAGTGATAAAGGTAAGTTATTATTTTTTATGAGTATTTAAAATATAATTTACAGTTATTAAATATTTAAAAAGTGGTACGATTTCGAATAAATATAAAATTGTTAGTCTTATGCCCGATTTCACTAACGTCACCTAAGTTTAAGGGAACCCCTAATCATGGTTAGGAGGCTGTTAGGATACAGTTTCTGTTTCACCGACAGTTAGGGGTCACCTAAATGTTAAAAGGCCCCCTAAATTTAGGTGCTCGAAATATGGGCTTAAAGACGATCGTAAAACGAAAATTAATTTGGGGGCTAGTTTAGGGGAATTTTAAGCTAGGGATCCCATACGTAGGTGGTAGCTTATGGGTTGTTGGTGAAATCGGGCATTAATCTGTTTTTATTATTGGCTAAAACCGACACACAGAACTAACTGAAGTACACACTGCAGTATAGTACCTACATTAAAATAGTGCTAGTGTGTAAAATTTTAATTAAATTAAATATGAACAGTTTAATATCGAAAAGAACAAATAGGTACATTAACCAATATGAAAAGGTTATATATTGCATAAATGAGACATTGAATCTATGCTGTTTAAATGAGTACGTACTATACTTTATCTACATAAGTACGTTACTTTAAAACTACCAAAACCGAATTATGTCAAAGCGACCCGTTAGTTTCACATACAAAGATTAAACCACTCCATGTCGATAGGCCATACTTTTGATATGAATTACTATCAAATAAAATGATTTTATCTATAGATTTCTCAGAGATGAGATATTTTCCCGCAGTAAAAAGTATCCTATATGTTGACCCGGATAACTAGCTATCATCATACTAAAATTCATCAAAATCCCTCCAGTAGTTTATTCGTGATGCGGTAACAGACAGACAAAAAATCTAAAAACTATAGATTCGGCCTCTGTATCGATAATAATGTCTATTTCAATAAGATTATCCATGTCCCTAAAAAAAATTAATGTACAGATTGGACTTAGTTACTATTTTAATAAATGTATAGATTAAAACAAACTGAAGTAAAATTATGCAATTGCTTTATATCGAAAACTGAAACAAACTTTATGCAATACACTAATCACTGATACTGTTAGTCATATTTTATTATCACTACCGTTAGTCATATTTTATTATCAATATTGTAACATTTACCCCGCACACGTCACACAAGGCATTCTTTGCACTTTAATAAACAATACAAGGTAAAAAAATTAAAAAGCTATGTTAACTCCAAATAGTGTTGGAGATATCAATTCGTTTTCATAAAATATATGTATATGTACATACATACAAGTATACTATTCGTATTAATAAAGAAATTTATAATAATTTCAATAATATAAAAAATATTTCAAATTCCATTAAACCCAAAACCCTTCCCAGGTTGTTACTGATAAGTGATAGTTATAGAGTTTAATCATGTCCTTTTTTTTATGAGTAATGATACGTACTTATGTCATTAAAAAATATAATTTCTTTCGGGTTAGAACTTCATAATCTAAGTCAGTAACTAGATCGATTTACTACGATAAAATACAAATGTTTTGTTTATAATATATATATATATATATATTATATGAAGATATGTACAACTTTACAACTAAACATCATATCTGAAAATTTAAAATATACAAAAGATTACAAGCACTATTATCATGCTCTGTTAAAATTAATTACTACATTTCGTGGCGAACACTTACTATTGAGAAATTGAAGCAATTTCTATGAAACAAATCTGATCGAAACTAATGCAAAACCACTAAGAACAGAAATTTTTAAAATATTAATTGTATAAGTGTATACAGTATATTATATACAAGATTTATTAGTTGTTACATAATATATACATTATATATAATATTCCAGAAAACTCTGTTTCAAAGTACTTACATTGGTGCTTCAGTGACGGCCTGTGTAAGCGCAGCCACGCGAGTTTCTATCGTTTGATAACTGTTATGTAACAAATCAAAAATCAAATGAAAGAAACTATGCCACCGTCGCTCCCTATAGTGGTGAAGCTCAAGCAAAATTCATACAGCGAGCCAAGCCAAACCATCGCGTCGGTCCTACATACTAATGAATGAGCATTATACGTGTTCTAACCCTCGAGAAAAAATTGTAAGCTAAGGATGTTGATGTGAAAATAAAATTATAAGTGGATATTTTCCGCATTTCATAAGAAAGTACTTACACATGGCTCTCTTTAACGTTTTTCAAACCCTGATTAACGTCTTCAGTTATTTCCTTCCACACTGTGATGCCAAGTTTCCTTTTCAAATCAGAACTCTGCCGGATCTGATGAGGAGATGCTTTCATAAGAATTATTTCAATCATATATGTACAATGTACATATGGGGGCATTCCACGCTAAATCGCCTTCCATAATTACTTTTTTTCTTGTAATTATGGAAAAAAATAGTAATTATGGAAGGCCCACTACCGGTTTGGGCTTAAAAGTTGCATAACGGATAGAAAATTTTCAAAAAAATCGAAGGATACACACACAGTTCTTAAAACACGACTGAAAACTTAAAATTCAAAAGCCTCGATAAAAACATTTTAAATATATCTTTTATGCAAAGATATGTGTATTTTTTCTTATATTTATGTATTTTAATCCAAAACTAAAAATTTTGAAAACAAAATAATTGAACTTCGACCATTATTGAGAAAGTTATAAGCAAAAAACCAAAAAAAGAGCGTTTTTTTTTGAAAATTCAATATTTTTGAACCACTGTTAAAAAAAATCTCAAAATTTACCAGGAAACCTCTTTTAAGAGGTATTAAAAAATACCTAAATATGTATTAAGAAATTAAAAAGTAAAAGTTTTTGAAACCGTCCGATTTAGCGTGGAATGTCCCAAAATAGAATTTATTTAAGTTACGTATGAATTATATGTCTACCACAATAAGTCATATATGTATATTATTTAAGTTTTGCGAATATCAGATCAATTATTAAAAAAAATCGAACGAATACGATATATCTGATGAGATAAGCATCTATAGGTATTGTATTTTTAGGTAGGACAGTAGTATTTGAAGTAGACAATAGAAAAAACACACACAAACCCTTAAGTAACTAGCTGATTAGTGTGAAAATATATATAAGAGTCTATATCGAAATTGCAACTGACATTGCATAGTATAAAATGTCGTGCACAACAAATAACCGTTGTACTCCAACGACCTCAGTAATATATATCAATGTTTACTGGTTTAACACATTCATGATATTGCGAGATGACCAATCTTTCCTATTCTTATTATCTTAACATGCGCGTAAACTTGTTTTCTGTATTCCGAGTTGTTCATCACAACAAACTGGTTTGACTACATCTAAAATGTTATTAGAAACAAGTCTCCCCAAATAACCATCGCATCATCCTTAAATTAATTTGAAGTCACTCCAATCGTCTTATTTAATACAGACATACTTTCCCTCTGTTCAAGCACGCCCCTAACAGTAGCCTGTGTGTTACTTACTAAATTTCATTAAAATCTGTCCAGCCGTTTTATCGTGAAGTAACAAACATACACGCACACAGATGTATCCAAGTATGTATAATAATATATATAGATGTGTGTATAATAGTAATCCGATAAGAGTTTTCCGCTTCCAATACTTAAAATAAAATAAAAGCTTACTTTGCTCTGCAAAACCGTGCGAAGGGTGGCTATCTCATCCTCGACCCGAGCCAATTCCCGGCTCCACTCGGCGCGGAGCTGTTCTGCCTGCTCGGGAGTCAGCCCCGCTAGCTCGTCAGGAGTGTGTGCGTCACCGGCGCCCGCGCCAGCCATCGCTTCTTCAGCTGAATTATCATACAAATGTATATATTATTGAGACCTAGTACATTTTATTATAAGGCTTAAATAATTAATACTATTTTTTATATTTTTCTTTATTGTTATAAATATAATAATGGCAGCACTAAATATAGATTACTAATTAATATTTTAAAAATTGTAATAATTATAAGAATAACAGCAAAAATTAAATAAATAATATTCCATATTCAATTATAAAACTAAATAAAATTATAAAAATGTTTAAAGTTAAAAAAAAATATTGTAAGGTAATTGGTGCAATTTTCATTTTTGTTAATTGTGGGTAGGCTGTCTGTAACAACTAAACCTTGAAGACATGTAACACCTCAGTCTCTCCCGTGACCATGGATGCTGTAAAGCATTCGAAACGTCGGGAACCAAAAATCAAAATAAATCCGCGAAATAATCCGAAAAGATAGTTTTATTTAAAATTTATTTAAAACCTAGTACTTTCTTACATTTACGCGAATATTTGACATTTTAAATGAAACATTCGAAATGTCGGGAACCAAAAATCAAAATAAATTTGCGGAAAAAACCGGAAAAATAGTTTTTTTTTAATACGACCTTTCAATTTTGTCTTTTGATAGTAATAATTAATTACACTATTATTTCTATTAGTATTATTGACTATAAAGATAAGTCAGTAAGTATGTGTTAGATAATGAGATTAAGTTTTTGTTGTAACTACAATTAGTATAAAAATTTGAATTTTCAATTCAGGAGACCTAGATTACCAAACTAATTAACCTCCATAGTCATAAAGCTAAAACATGTATGTAATAAAAATGTATGTATGTAAAAATATGTACATATTATAAAACCACCACTGTACCAATATTGTGCCGTGAGGAATTTGAGGTTTCATACAAGTATCGAATATCGTTATATTATATTTTTTTATTATATATTATTACGATTATAGTTACCTACTCGATTTAAGGTCAGACAGCAAGTGCAGCAGCTGTTTTCATTACATAAAATTGCAAAACATGCGTGTCCACATGTAAAGTAGGTTACATGTAACAATTCGGCAAAATTTTAAACGAATCCAAATTCCTCACTTAAAACAACTTTACAATACATATTGTTCAGTTCATATTTACGTTTTTAAATACGAGTTTAAATTCATTGATATCATACAAAAAAAAATAATAAACGAACCTCCTGGAGTAATACCAAGAAACTTTTTATAATTTGTGTGGCTAGAGACTTTAGCAAGGTAGGGTTTTGATAAGTCCTGAAATGTAACACGAACTTCTCGCATTTTCTTTCTAAATATTCGCAATCTGCGACGACGATTGTCCATATAAAATTCTGTTTCAATACATAGTGCAGTATCGGCAAGGTCGGGCAGCGTGCGCCAGTCGGCCTCAGTGTCATCTTGTGGCCAGCTGACTATGTTCTCTAATTCATCCAACTCATCAACAGCCAGGTCGAAGCTTGGAGTAGAGTCGTCGTCTGGCGGCACGAAATAGGGATCCTCCATGTACTCCAAACTGACTGGCTCCACGCTCGTCTGCGCATTGTTCGCCATTCCATATAATTAGTTCGCTTCATCTGCCACAGTATCCCAACATATTTCCAATCTGAATGCACAAACTTGGACAGAGTACTTTTCGTAACTTGAAAAATAACATATACATTGGTCACGACGTAATATCACTTCTAACAAATAATTAACTCACTTTACTATCATTTTTTTTACTTTTGGCAATAATTTAAAGCAAAAACATCTATTTGACTTATTGTTAGTGTTGTCAATATGTTATCGTAGCGCGTAATGTGTTTTCGTCTCTTCCGCCACGTCGGGCCCCGCTAGCACGACCACTCACGTTCGTCTCGCGCCGCTGCCTGAGCGCTCGTATTTGCCACTTTCACCGACAACTTTGCGAGCTCGATTCTGGCAATATTAATTCATGATCTTGACCTCCAATCGTGATTATTTATAATGAAATTATATCTTAGCTTTCAAAATATTAAGACAACTAATGTAAAAATGCACTAGTTAGGTAGGTTTGCGAGTGGCGTGGACTGGGAGTAAAACGATGAAAAAAACCAAGTTCGCCTCGTGCGCCTAAAGTTTATTGACAGTGCCGGCGGCAAGTGAACGGGCGTTCAGCACTGGTCCATCGACTTTGAATACAAGAGTTATTACGTCATCTTCGCTTGACGATATAATGAAAAAAATACAGATTGCACAAATTTGAATGAGTCATAGCCTGTCTCTAAATGTTTTAAGTATTTTTTTGATTGCAAAATATATATGTAGACATAGAAATATTACAGCTACCAACAGCTTTGCATGCAACAATAGTACTATTTCATCATCCAGCATATATGCAGGAGTAAGCTCCTATCTTTGGATGCCAAGGAGATAATACTTGTTTTTACAAGAGCTTTACAATAAAAAAAATCCTAGTTGAAGTCATTCAACACTACTCAAGAGATATGTGTTAAAAGACATTAAAAAACCATAAAAAGACTGTTACTTTCAGGACAAATATTTCTTTTAATTATATCCAAAACACATCAACAATGGACTACTTAACATCTCTTAAACATCCTTTAAATTCAATGAAAATTTGCCAGAATCTTAAATGTAGTACAAATCCCAATGCCTAACTTTATCTATACTAATATTATAAAGAGGTAAAGTTTGTGATGTTGTAGTGGGTAATATCTGGATCTACTGAACCGATTTAGATGAAATTCGGTATGAAGATAGTTTGAGACCCAGGAAAGGGCATAGGATACTTATTTATCCTGGAAATCATTCCTTAAGAGGGTAAATGGGGATGAAAGTTTGTATGAGGAATCAAGATAGGGACAAACCCGAGCAAAGCGAGGGTGAGTTGCTAGTATATATGTATATATAGCAATAAATAAAGAGATACAAAAATATAACAGGGCAAAAGATAATTCATAATTTTTCACTTATTTTACAAATCCAATGAATCTAGAACACATGATACTATAAATAACTTCAATCGCTTTATGGTAAATTATTTCAAATATGCGATTTATTATCACTCATTTAGGAACTCACTGTACAAAAAAATTTATTTAATAAACTTTAAAATCAACATTGTTACAAAAGTAATTATGTTATTATGGCAGAAATATATTATTAATATATAGTACCACCATTGAAGTAAAACCAAATAATAAAAAAAAAGAACAAAAGGGTAATGAAAAACCATTCTTAATTGGTGACAATATTGTATAACATACATAAAAATAATATAGGCAAATTGGATACCTTTTTTTGCAAATTAAATATTAGCTATCATGTTGAAAATCAAATATTTAAATTTATTACTTGGCTGAGATAACATATTTAAAAATTTAATCAGAAAATATAGTAAGGTAATAAATGGCTTAATACATTAAAACATAAACTGTGTATATATTTAATTGTTCATGTTATACTTCATCTATTTTATAACCTAGTCTACTTAATATTTCAAGTAAAAATTATCTACAAATTTTAAACTTTTCAGATTCTTGGACATATTATCTTAGCTATCAAATGAAATTATAATAAATTTAATAAGTTTCTGTCATATATCTTGTACTCAGTACCTGCCAGCATTGTATATTTCACTTCCAGTCAAAATTTAGTTTTTAGTTTATAGGTCCTAAATACTGTATATGGATATACACAAACAACTTGAGGTGATAGCCACAAACCAGTTCAATTCATCCCATTTACCAATTAACATCTTTCATTTTAACTTTTGTTATCATTACATTGTACAAAATTGAAAGATACCTGGTGATAAATGCTAAGTTCACTATACATAAATTCTAAATAAATCTAAAAGATTCTATATATTCAAAAGGTCGTAAGTACATATCCTTAAAAATTCTCAATCAAGCAACTTCTAGTAAATAAAAACCACTGACCTGTTTGAACGCCGCTCATTTTGAAGAGAAATACAAGAGTTCAGTCTTTAGTGTATATTAGATAATTATGTCAAGATATTTCAGGCAATTTATTTTGTAGATCGATATTAATTTATTTAGTTCAAACTTAAACCAATAGCAAACGCCTCCACTTTAGTTAAGTTTTCTTTTTCTTTTCAAGATCCACTGAGAACGAGAAAAAACTAATTAAGCAGATAAAAATAAAGTTGGTATTTGGTAATGTAATGTGGCAACTATACGTTCTACAATAATCAAATAAGTGAAAAATGAAAATAAATTTAATATAAAGATGTCATGCACGTCCCTACACACGGAAAAAATTAAAGATATGTGATATCAGAAAATATCAAAATCATTAATAGAAATCAAAGATAATTTAAAGAATAATCTGAAATGAAAGTTATTAGGACTGTTTTTGTAATCAATATTATTATAATTTAATAATACACAATGTCGATAAAAATATTGTTTAATTTAAACTATTTTAAAACGTTTTTTTAAATTATTTTCACATGTCGTATGCCCTGCATCGATCGGCCAATACAATTTTTATTAAATATTTTTTTTATTCCATATTCACGTCTCTCGTATAATCTTGTCGGACGATGCATGGAAAGCTTTAAATAAAGATTTACTAATCTGTTTCTTCCAATTTTATTTTATTTAGATTATTTTACGATTTCCATTAAATATAAAGAAAAGTTGCATAATATTATATATATTTTTTGTAATGGCTAAATATAATTTATAAATTAGTGTTTGGGGCATGTAAAATTCAACTTATGCCAACTAAACATTCAAAAGCTTTAAGAAAAAAAATCAAAACTGTCCCATCATTTTCTGGCTTGCGTTTTCTTTTGTGTCACCTGACACCTATCATTTATGACAGTTCATTATTTTAATTCACATTTCACAATTCACATAATTTTATGTTGTTGAATTATATCTTCTGTGATTTAGAGTCGTCTTAATATTACCATATTTTTTCCTATTCGTGAGTATTAATATTAAGTGAAATAGTAAAAGTTGTTATTTTTCAATAATCATCATTTATAAATAGATCATTACTATTTACATTTTACAGCACACTCATAACTCATAAGCCAGAATGTCTGCAACAGCGTTATTTGGTAATACTTCGGCATTGGGGGGTAGTTCTGGAGGAAATAAGCATTTAGTTGAATTCAGAGCTGGAAGAATGACTCTTAAAGGACGCATGGTACACCCAGACAAAAGGAAGGGCTTATTGTACGTGTATCAAGGCGAAGATTCTTTAATGCACTTTTGTTGGAAAGATCGTACTACAGGAGAAGTAGAAGATGATCTTCTAATATTCCCTGATGATTGTGAATTTGTTCGTGTCAATGAATGTACTACTGGGAGGGTATATGTGCTTAAATTTAAATCATTTTCAAAGAAGTATTTCTTTTGGATGCAGGTATAAATATAAGCAGATATGGATTGTAAGCTTTTTTTGTTGAAGTAATAATATTAAATACTATAATTTGCAGGAACCTAAAACAGACAAAGATGATGACTACTGTCGCCGTATAAATGAGGCTTTGAATAATCCTCCCACATCAGGTGGACGTGGAGGAGGTGGAAGTGGGGGCCAAGATGGAGAGCTTCAAAATTTGCTAAATAATATGTCACAACAACAATTGATGCAATTGTTTGGGGGTGTAGGCCAAATTGGTGGCTTATCTTCATTGCTTGGAACTATGGGGTATGAATTAATATAATTAAAAAATCATTAGGGACTATAAATGCTTACTGTACTTTTAATACTTGTGATAACTCAGCCAGGCTGGATAACATTTTTATTGCAATTTATCAGTGAGCAACACTTCAATTGTGTTTTTTGAGGGATCACAATATTTAATTGGATACTTGATTGTTGAGTACATGATAAAACCACAGTTTACCAATTTATAGAATTATCTAAGAAAAACATATATAAGGCAGTTAGTGCAAAATAAGCCTAACACTCTGACAGCTACTTTGGTGAAAATGGCTGAAATGTTTATTTAATACATATTTCCTATATGTATTTCAAAATTTATTTATAGTTTTTCATTTAGCGCTAACTTAAGTTTTAAGATATTTTTGCGTTTTTAGCTTATTTTCTTTTAAACTACATTTGTTATAGATTAATTTAATAACAATTTTTGAAAAATGAATGTAGGTTATGCTATTTTGTATTTTAAATATGTTCAAAATTTTTGAAATATATTTTCAGGTTAGGCCAAATCTTACCTAATTTTTCTCCCGCTATTATTATGATTCTAAATTTTATTTACACTACATTGCATCTCATTCAGCCTAAGCCATATGACAGCAATGGCGATGCTTAGTACACTGAGTGAGTTAGGTTATATTTACATTTCCAAAAAGTCGAAAAAATTTAAATGCATAAACAAATCTTCAAGTGATTTTTTTTATTTATAAATAAAACTGCATCCAGGTCTTTTGTAAATTAAATTTTACCATATTTAGAATACTTTGTGTTATATAAATTGAAAAATAAAGAGAAATGGATTTGCCTGTTTTTCCAATGACGGCCTTTTTTTTTTAACGTTGGGAAATGCATTTACGCACGAGGTGTGGGACTCACTGGCAAAGCTAGTACTACCCACTAAAACCCAACAAAACCTTCCCCCGTCTTAATGGGGCGTCGCAGGATCGCTTACGCATTCAACTACGACGCCCCGACGGCAGGTCTGCCGAAGCAGACCACAACAACCACGGGGTTGCTCCACAGTCCACTCTGCTATCAGAGAAGTACCAGGAGCAACCCGCATGGTACACCGCTCTCCGAAGAGGGCCACCTCCCACCGCCCACCGAAGTGGGCCACCTCCCTGTGCGTTTCTTGGCTTCGCGCCCGGTTGGGTTGCCGAGCACTACTGAGCCCCCCCACCACGACAAGGTGAACGCACGTTGGGGGGGTTCCAATGACGGCCTGATATAACAGTTGGGAAACAGATTTATGGTTGATGGGTGTATTTTTAACTTGGCATGAGAGGGCTTTAACGGCACTTTAACTCTGACACCATTCATCATTAAAATTGGTGTTTTTTAATAATCTTTGCTAGCATGGCACCATGTCCTTAAAATCAATGGTGAAATGGATTTTTACATATATATCTTTATATATATAATTCTTCTGTGAGTGTGTATGTCACTGAACTTCTCTCAAACGACTGGACCGATTTTGATGAAATTTTTTGTGTGTGTTCAAGGGGATCTGGGAATGGTTTAGATTCACAATTTGAATAATAATTTTCATCAAAAAAATATTAAAAAAAGTTTGAAATTTTCAAATTAAAGACGTTATATATATATATATATATATATATATATATATATATATATATATATATATATACAATCTTTACAAAATGTTTTGCAAAAAATAAAAATTTTCTATCATATTCTATTTACTACAGAATATTATCTTCCGTCTATCATCTATCGTCTTTACCTTTTAGCTTTTTATGAGATATACACCAGAGATCTTTTTTTTATAGTTAATTTAATTTCTTTTAGCAATAACAGCAGTGGTACCACTGGCACTCGCCCATCAGGCAATAGTGGTAGCAGTTCACGAGGTGGTAGTGCGCCTCGCACGACCTCTGCTGAGGCAGCACGCACTCCCGCACGTCCTCGCTACGCCCCGGCGCCAACCGCCACACCACCTAACACTGCTACTGCTGCTGCCCCTGGTGCCCCTGGTGCTGCTGGTACTATATATTTATTTTTAAATGCTATTTTTTTCCTTTATCTATATATATAATAAAATTGTAACTAAGCTGAATCTATAAATTAAATATTTTTTAGAAAATCTTATTGAAATCAACATTTTTATCGATACAGAGGACGAATCTATAGTTTTTAGAATTTTTGTCTGTTTGTTACCGGATCACAGAAAAACCACTAGAGGGATTTTGATGAAATTTGGTATGGTGATAGCTGGTTATCCGGGTCAACATATAGGATACTTTTTACCGCGGGAGAATGTCTCATTTCTTAGAAAAAATACAAAAACTGTAATATACTAATATGTAAAACTTAAGAAATTGGTTATTGGTCATCCGAACACGGGCGGAGCCGCGGGCAATGCTAGTAAATAATATAAATAATATCTAAAACAGTAGCACAAACAGTATAAACATTTATGAATGATAGTTATTAAAGCAGGGTTTTAACAACATTAGTCTATAAATCAATTTAGCTAATACATATAACCTCTGCAATAGTTCTGATAACTTCAGCTAATAAACTAGATATCTCGATTGCAACTATTATACTTAAAAATCATCTATTGATAGTTCATTTTTTTTTATTCGATTACAAATTTGAAACAATAATATCATGATTTGATAAGACTATCTTTGATATGACTGATTTCACAATGTGTCACTCAATTTAAAATAAAATAATCTTAAACATAATATTGGGCTGTAATAGTTAATTAATCAAAATATTCCAGGTGGTCAGATCTTCTTATCTGACTTGCAACGCTACTTCTCTGGGCTGGGCAACGCGCCGGCCGAGGGCGAATGCGCGGCGGGCGGGTCGGCGGCACCCCGCGTGGACCTGGGCGCTGCGCTGGCGGCCCCCGAGGTGGTGTCCACGGCCAGCGAGCCGCCGCACGCGCAGCGCCTGGCGCCGCACCTGCCGCAGGCCCCGCAGGACGATGTAAGGACCACACTGCTCTCACCGCAGTTCGCCCAGGTGAACCCTCAAGTGTTGCCTCCCCGGACGCGCTGGACGTCCCCGACACCGCTTAGCTCGCGCGGGTTGACTAGGTTCACATGGTCTATTAAAATCACTCGCTTTATTTTGTTTAGTTTTACCTATATGTGTACACAAATAGACTTAATAATAACATCACAACACACTGTTCTTTAGAAGGGGACTAAGCGCATATATCGACAAGTACGTCATGTATGGGCCAATCCATAGACTTAACTCACTATTGTAAAAAAGAAAACTACTAGCCAATTTCCCGTTTTGTCATCCCTTTTTTTACCCTTTTTGACCATAACTTGACAGGACAGTTACGAATACTCGTTCTATCTTATTCATATCGAATTTCAACAAAAAAATCGATCGTTATCGGTACTTAATAGGCACTTGTGCATTCGGTGTCTATTTATTCTACAAATAAAGCGTGTGGTTCATAGCTCTGTGAACTGGGTACTTCGCTTGGTAGACGCTTTACGCACGCATGCTTCGGGACTTTGGTAGCGTTGGGGAATGACTTATAATCTTATTATTATAAATATAAAAAAATAAGTACAATGTTTAATTTTTTTTAAATTCTAACACATAATTAGAAAACCTTAACGGTAGAACTAGAGGGTTTTCACTGGTAATGTTTTGGTGTTGACATGGTTTGGTTCTGTGTGATTTGCTCTAATACTTGTGCTTCTTTAAAAATAAATAAATATGGGTAAAAATATTCTGCAGTTAATAACGTATTAATCAATAGCAATCACAATTACCTTATTTCAATTATATATATTTTGAATAAAAATCAGTTTTTTTTTCAAATATTGATAAAATATAAAATTTCAGGCTGCCAACCAGTTTTCTTCGGCGTTGACTTCAGGTCAAATGGGTCCGGTAATGTCACAATTTGGGTTACCATCGGAAGTGACTTCTGCGGCAAATACAGGCGACATGCAAGCTTTCTTCAAAGCATTGGAGAGTGCATCATCTGGTTCAGATGCTAGCAAGTCTCAAGATGATAAAAAGAAAGATAAACCTCAAGATGACAAAAACGACAAAAAAGATGGGGATGGTGGGATGTCCTTAGATTAATTTCTATTTGGTTTATTATGAATTATTACACCATTTCTTGTACTATTTATAGTTGTGTCCGGTGATCACACAATGTAGATGATAAATATTTCCATTTGCATTTAATCTGATTTTATGGCATTGGATATATTTACTATTTCAATGAAAAATATCTGTTACTACACTTGTAAACTGTGTAAATTTGGTCTATTTTGTAAAAATTCACCGTCATACAATATTTTTATTATATCAGACATAAAATAATTTGTTATGTATAATTTGTTTCTTGCTAGCAATAAATAAATAATCAACACAATCTAGATACTTTCAATTTTCTGGTCATGCCTCATAGATTTTATCTTAAATACAGTAAATATATATAAAAGCATATTTAATATATTATCGATGTTAGTCTTAGTTTTACGTGATTTTTTGTATGAAATACGAGAACCACAACAATTGAAGTATTCAAGCAGTAATATTTGTATTTTACACAAGGAAACAATTTATTAAGATGGATACTGTCATATGATATGATTTAAGTATTAGTTAAAGAGCTGCGACTGTAGTTACATACTACCACTTATATATCAGACCAGCGACTCACTGTCGCTCTGCTCGGGTTCGTCCCTAGATTCGTTTAAACGATTAGTATAGATTTCTCAGAGATGAGAGATATTTGCCCGCAGTAAAAAGTATCCTATATGTTTAAAAAAGGGCTGAATACATGTTGACCCAAATAACTAGATATCATCATACCAAATTTCATCAAAATCTGTCTAATGGTTTTCTCGTGATGCGTCCCCAGACAGACATACAGACAAAAATTCCAAAAACTATAGATTCAGCCTGTATCGATAAAAATGACTATTTCAATAAGATTTTTCAAAAAATAGTTAATGTACAGAATAATACTCAAAACTTTATTATATAGATATTTCAAAACGCGAATTCCTCGTGTGACACGTCGACGTTCATATTAGGTGTTAATAGGCTTGACAATCGCTGGTTTCGAATCGGTAGCTATTAGCTAAGGTTTGGTTGAGAGTTGCGTGCGACCTCGAGAGGAGACGCGGGGGGCGAGGCGCTGGGGAATCCTTCTGGCGCCAGACCGGCAGCGCGTCTGCCCGCGCCCCGCTCCCGCTCACTCGAAATAGATGCACGGTGATTTACGCCTCGGGCGTATGAGTAAATATCAGCGCTGCCAATCGGCGGGTAAATTACCCGAAATGCGGGTAATTTCAGGCGATTTTTGATGGCTGGTTATTTTTACAGGTATTTGCATTGAGCAGGTCAATGCACGTATTGTAGTTTAGCTGATTAATTTGATATTTTAAGATATTTTCATGTTTGATTTCATAATATAAAGCTGTTTAATTGAGAACTTGATTACAATGACTTCTTTTTCTAACAATGTTCTTTTTTTTAATTCTATATAAAACATGAATAAATTACTTAAAAAAACTATTTTCGGGTATTCTGCTCATGGTTGGCGCCGCGCCGGCGAGATAAACCGGGTATTTTGAGTTTTATTGGTCGGGTAAATCAACGACTGTTATCTGGCAGCCCTGGTAAATATGTAGCTTGCCTGCCTGCCTTGGCACGTCCGACCCCTCCGCCCTTCTCCCCCTCTCTCTACAAACCCCTCCCTCCCGCGCCCCACCGCATGTCGCGCTCGAAATTTGAATATATTGTTCGCGAGTAATCGCGACCTACCACGTCTCTGCGAGAATGCATGCGTGGGGCGTTATGACGTAGCCAATTATTTTATATGAACACAGCGGCGGTCACTCACAAGGTGATGAGGTGAATTTCCATCTACTAAACACTTGTAATATATTACTAAAGAAAAAATGTGGCTATAGCCTATGATGCCATCTAAAATAAGTTTTGCCAGGCGCATTACTATCATGGAACGCAGATAAAAAATGTAAGCCTTAAATCTGGGTACAATCGAAGCAATAATGTTATTTTCATATACCTAAATTAACTAATTTTATCTTGTAATAAAATAAATAGATAAATACTAAATTACATTATTTAAATACCTATACAACATAAAACATTCTAGAAAAAGTATTACATATATGATCTGTGATATTAGTATACTCTTACATTGCAGTTTTTGTATTTTTTCTCAGAAATGAGATATTTTCCCGCGGTAAAAAGTATCCTTTATGTTGACCCGGATAACCAGCTATCACCATACCAAATTTCATCAAAATCCTTTCAGGGGTTTTCCTGTGATGCGGTAACAGGCAGGCAGACAAAAATTCTAAAAACTATAGATTCGGCCTCTGTATCGATAATATTAATCTAGTAATCATACGCCAAAATGCCTTACATCATTTTGGAATAGAGCTGATACTCTTACACTGCTGGACCGATATTAACCAAACATAGCTAAGAACCACTGCAAGGAAACTGGCTATCAAATGAAACAAACCGCATCGAAATCGTTCCATCCGTTTGAGAGCTACGATGCCACAGACAGACACACACACAGACATACATCGACGTCAGACTTATAACACCCCTCTTTTTGCGTGGGGGGGTTAATAAAGAGGTAAAGTTTGTGAATTTGTGACGTTCTCTGGATCTACTAAATCGATTTAGATGAAATTTGGTAAGAAGCTAGTTAGAAACCCTGGGAAGGACCTAGGATACTTTTTATCACGGAAATCATCCCTTAAGGGAAAATGGGTATGAGAGTTCTTATGGGGAATCAACCTAGGAACGAACCCAAGCGCAGCGAGGGTGAGTCGCTAGTACATAATATGTGTCTACATTTTGTACACATATAATATGTATAATTTAACTGGTATTCCCTTCCGAATTAAGATATCGTATTATCACAGCATTTATCAAACGATTGATATTCAATATACGTCATTTATTTTGATAATATTCTAGGAACTTAATCACCTTTCTGGATTATTTAACAAAAAAACATTTGCAATTATTGTAAGTCTTGAAAACTTTGTTTTCTTTTAACATAGATGTTGTAACAATTCCAATGTTAGCGTCATTTCATATTCGAGATTGTTCATTAGCAGTGGATTGGTGTCTCGGCGGGCGGTGATCGCGTCCGGGACAAAAAGCGCTCCTGTACGGCCGCCGACCGGTCCCACAGGTTCTTGTGAGCATTAGCTCTTACCGCCTCCCTCATTCATCACATTAACTCATACAATTGTTTTAATACTAATACCTACATAGTACATACATATTTTACTTGTAACGCAAAGATAGCTGATGATAACGTGTGTGTGTGATAATCATGTGTAACGATAAATAACACTGATAAGTAAGCCTGAATTTAAAATGAACATTATTTTATTGATGTGTAAACTGTAAACAAATACGAAATTGTAAATGAAAAATAATTTCCAGTAAGTACATAAATATTTGCTTTCCTGTTTAATCAAGGTCTGATGAATGATTTCTCAACCTGGACAAAATGTTCATAAGGCATTTGCATACTTAATTTAATACACCTATTTACACAGTAATTAATTTACTTAATTCAAATTCTTTGCTTTGTGGTTTCTAGGTGATTACTTCACCATTGTACAAGGACCTATGTAACGTCCCCATTTCAAATGGAAATTATTAAAAATGGTCCCTTTTAAAACTGATTTGAGCCGCGTTTTATCATATTTTTGCAAAATTATTACCAATAATCCCCTAAATATGATCATTGAAAAAAAGGAAAAATGTATAAAATAAATAATATTTTAACAACTAAAATAGGTACTAAATAAGCGACTAACTGAGCACCGGTTAACTTTTCTGTTAATTTTTGAAGTTATACTTACTTCTTTTAACGCGGGAAAAATGATGAGAATGAATTTTTACGACGCGACAGATTTAGACTACAGTATGAGGGTAGTCGTTAAATCCCGCTTTAGTGTGATGTCTTTAATCAAAATATTTATTCCGGTATTTCTTTATACACAACACGTGTTTTATATCGATACAAATGAAAATTATTACAAACTTTTATTTAGTTTCACCTGTCCCGGTGTCTGTCTGTAATCAAATCTTGCAAGTTGAATTTGACTCACGTCCCAGTGTCTGATTAAGCTGTTTGGCTCACACTTTTGGTTCTCGTGACTGCACGATTACTTAAATGCCGCCATTTTTAATTCAATATGGAGGACGTTACAAAATGACGATTTATCATTTTCATAGTGACCCATATGATATGGACATTATGTGAAAGGGCTTGATGAGTAAAACACAATAGTCAATAAGCAAAGTGAAGTCTTTGTTAATCCAATACGGTGGCCGCCGCAAAATGACGATTCATAATTTCTACATTAACCTCTATCATATGGGTATCAAATGAAAAGGATTGATAAACTAAATACGATGAGTAAAGTGACGTCATTGTAAATCAAATACATATGACGGACGTCGCAAATTATTAATTTATTTAGTTTCACCTGACCCGGTGTCAATCTGTAATCAAATCTTGCAAGTTAAATTTGACTAAACGTCATTCTTAATCCAATATGGCGGACTCCCAAAGAGAAAGACGGACTATGTTTTTTTAGGCACCCCCGTGATATGAGAGAAGAATAGGTACGAATTAAATAAAAACTAAAACATAAAAAATAAATTAATATAAAATAACATTTTTAAAAGGAAGCTTTTATTTAAATGTTCTAAAAAGAAAAAAGTAAACTTTAAATTAAATCAAAGCAATCAATTTATTAGATTACACAATAAAAAAGCATCCCATATGACGTCAGTACAAGTACGAACTCTTCATCGAGGTCGTATGAACTATGAACTCTTTGACGGGCCCTATATATATTGAGCACTCCTTGAGGTTCGTGATGTCCTAGTTACTCTTAAACAAAAATACCAGGCGATCATAAGTAAGTATATAGAGTGTATAAGGAGTGTAAAATTCGTGTGTACTCTATGCAGGCTTTTCTTAGATGAGCTGCCTTTGTTATTTATGCCAAAGGAGTATAACTTCTTACATGAGTACATATTATTAAGTTACGTAC